ATTTATATTCTTCATCAGTAACACTATCTCCACTCAATGTTTTTTAGAATTTATCTTTAGGTGGTAGATTCTTTTCATTACATCTTCAAAAACTGTTAATATATTCATGCATACGGGTAAATGCCCCTACGTGTTAAAAGTGCATCTTAAGTGTATTTAAATTGTGACTTTTTAAGATCTTTGACTAAATTCTCACGAGAACTTGCCATAAATTAAAAGTATCAATAAACTCTAGTTTCAAAAGAGATTTCCTTGATAGTGTGAAACCTATATATTTCCCTGCATTAGATGGTATAACATTTATTTCAGCATCTTTAAACTTGCCAATTTCTTGCATCATTAAATGAGAATCATAACCATGCAAGTTATGAAAAACAACAGGTATTTTGATGGCAATTTTGTAATTCAAGTTACAATTAATATGTGCTGGCCCTCTATGCAATCCCGTAAAATGACAATGATCTCTGACTTTATCTTTTTTTATCTACAATTTCCTTCAAACATATATGACAAAAATTTGTCTTATATTACATATATTACATTTGACATTACAATACTGACATTACAATTTCAATAGTTTGCCTCTTTTTCATTAATTTAGTTAAAGCATTTTTTCTTTAAGAATTGCCTCAATAGATTAGAGAGAAGCATTTTCTCCCCTAAAAATCTTGACTCTCTTTGTATATTTGTGATCACATTTACAGAGAACTTTACATCCGTAACTACATATTTTATGTTCCTTAGTTTCATTTGTAAAGCTCTTAGTTTTAGCTTTGTGTTGAACTTCACATGGAATAATAATGCTCTCAAAATCTGCATGAATGGCGAAAGGAGCAATCAGCTTCTAATGGTAACTCTCAAATTCAACAAATGTATCCGTAGGTGGTAAGTTAATGGTTTGTTTCCCATTAATGTTGCTACAATCAAGTTTTTGTTTATCAAGTAATTCTTGTGTAATAAAACATTCTTGACAAAATATACAAAAGAATTTATTTTCATGATGGTTTGATTGGCAATAATTGAATCTATTAAAATCTTAATATAAACAAAATGACTATTGCCTTTATTATCAGATATTAGTACTTGATTCAGCTCATCTTTAAACTTACATTTTGAAATAGAAATATAAACACACTTTTATTTTCGAAACTGAAGACTTAAAACTTTTTTTAAACGTTTGATGTTTCTGATAAAAATTTCTATATATCTAACTCTTTATTATTGTTAATTATCTTATATCCACTGAAAATTTATTCTATATCATTTTCTTTGATTTTTTTTTATTACTAAGTTGAATGATATATCAACATCATGATGAGCCTTAATATTACCACTTTTTCACTGAATTTCATTTAAAATAATAGATATTTTGTTTAAAATGGATGATTTTGGAGATACTGATTTATTGCAAAGGAGGAAGGCTGCACGTAAAAAATGTTTGGTCAGGGAAAGAAGACATATCCCTTGTATAGTGAAAAAAGTGGTACAAAAAAAGCAAACGTTGAATCCATCACTCCCAAAACAAATAAAAACCTCACTTGTCCCAGAGCGAGAGGTTTTGATTGCTCAGAAGGATAACGAAGTTGACGAGCTGCAGAAGTCTATTCAGGAGGATCGGGGGACTGCCGATGAGGAGAATGAAGACCAAGCTATAAAAGAAAGAGCAAGAGAAAGGAAAATAGAAAATAAAGAGCGGATTGATGATCTTGAGAGTGAGAGAGAAGAACTCGAAGAAGGCACTTGACGAAGAGAGAGAGTGAAAAACATCTTCAAGGGGTATGGATCCACAGTCACTCCTATTGTACTCGCAGTCGGAACAACGATTGGAGTGAATTTGAAAGAAAATCAAAAGTTAATTTTATTTTTCTTAATATTAAAAATGGGAGATATTTTTTCATTGTCGGAAGAAGCCCGGAAAGAGGCAAGCCCCAAAACGGTAAGCCGCGGAGTGGCAGGCCTCGAAGAATCAGATTTGAAAGTAAGGTAATTTTTTTTAATTACGCTTCTTTGCGGCACCATAAGGTCTGAAGTATTGCTCAAATTTGAGAAAAATGACTCATTGATCTTTTTGTTTGAAAAAGAGAACCTTTTGTCAAGATCAATCATTTCAAGCTGATGGAAATAGCTCGAGGAAAAAAGATCAGACAAAGAGAGCTGCAAGAATCACTTGGCATTGAGAATGTTGATGATAAGATCGCATCAAAGCCATACATTTTCATTTAAGACTCAGATGCCAAACTATTCACATTCAGAACACGGAAATAATCTATGGATTTACTAAGAATAAGTGGCAGTCGCCTCGCTGAAGGAATAAACAATAAGCGAATAATTGTTGACGCTATTGAGTACCCATTTAAAAGACGCTGGAAACTTTAGTCTTTGTAAAAATGTCTTTATCTTTTTAATTTTTGTCTGGTAAAAACTCTCAAGATTAACAACATCAATTTTTTGCTTGGAATCTCCTTTCTGTATTTTACTCCGTAGCTTTTAACAACTTCTCTGAACTCTTTCGCGCGTATTATAATTAAATCCGTTTCCATTTTAATAATGTGTGCGAAATTAAAAATAAAAATTTTGTGCGATATAAGAAATATGGAAAAAAAAATGTTCCAGACTTAAGATCTGAGGCAAAACGGCTCGTACTCAAAAAATATCCAAGACTTAGATAAGCAAAATTCTTGTCTATCCAGTTCCAAATATTAATGCTCCACTTCTGACACCAACAAGTTATGTCCCTGTCAAGCCGCAACTTAATGAATGTGAACAACAAAGAAGCTATGAAATCAGAGAAGTCAAGGAGGTGCTTGGATTAAGAAATAGGCCGAAGGCGACTCCGAAGTTAAGAAATAGGCCGAAGGCGACTCCGAAGTTATCCCAAAAATCAAAATATCAAGTCCAGAAGAAGGAGAGCGAGATAGAAAAATCAGAGAAATCAAAGAGATTAATAGGAATTCAACTCAGGTTTTGGACCGAGACTATTTATACAAACAGCAAAAGCTGAAGTTCTGAGGCGAATTAGAGAGAATCGTAGAACAAAAGAGTCATGATGATTTTGAATTTTGAGATGGTTGGAAAAGAATTATTCAATGAGTGTGAGAACTTCTGAATCCAAAGCTGCGTAATCGAAAATCTGGAAGTAACAGATGAATCTGAAGAATTTGACTGTTCAGTAGATTCAAGAAAGTATTCAGAATGTTATTCAAGGAGGAAGCAACTGGAGATTTCAAAGAGTGACATCTTTTGACATCCATCTTGCGGAATACAGACGGTTAAACGGCAGCTCTTACATTGAACTCCCAGAATTCAATAAAAGTAAGAAAACAGTCGTGAATATGAAAAAATGCAGATAATTAGTTTTCAAGTGGTGCATAACAGGAGTGCTTAATCCGGTTGAGAAAGACCCTCGAAGGTTCACAAAACTCCTCAGAGCACCACCTGAGCAGCTTAATTGGAGTGGTATCAACTAACTTATGAAGCTGACTGATATAAGCAAGTTTGAAAAGCAGAATGAAAATATTGCAGTAAACGTGCTTGGTTATGAAAGTGTTTTTATCGATTGAGGATCAGCAAAGGGAAAAAAATAGGAAATATATCAATCCTCTTCTCATATCAATTGTACACGAATGTCTGATAAAAAGCAATAGCAGACCGCTATCGAGTCAAACCTCCGAGGATAAGAAAGTGAAAGAATATTACCTCAGCTGTCTGAACCACTTCTCAAGCAAAGAAAAGCTCGCATACCGTAAAGAGCATTGTTCAAGAAATGAGGCAGTCAGGATGGAGAGGGCAGATAAAGGTAGTGTAATCAAATTCAAGAATCATAACCTCTAAATGAGAGCACCCTTTGTGCTTTCTGCTGACTTTGAGGCTTGTGCTAAACCAAGAAGTGGTTGTGAACCGAAGGGTGGTAAGAGCTTCATATATAAATACCAGAAGCATAAACCATATGGGGGTACTGTTATCACATCGTTTGCTTAGATGATAAGCTTTATTCTCAAGAGCCAGCCATCTACAGAGCAAACAGCGAGGATAAAGATTTTGCTCAGATATTTGTTGAAATGCTCGAAGAGAACATCAAGAATATTCATAAGGAACTCGTTATTTGCAAAGAATCTTAAGCGATAAAGATGAGTTCAACAATGTTGCGCACTGCTGGATTTAAGGGTTCACTTATAAACGATAAAGTGAGAGACCACTACCATTTCACAGGGAAGTATCGTGGAGCAGCTCACTACATACACAACCTACAATTCAAGAAGCCGAAGTTTGCTCCTGTCATCTTTCACAACTTGGCTGGTTATGACTCTCATTTATTCGTTAAGACTCTCGGTAAGACTGAAGGAAACATCAGTGTATTCCAAATAATGAGGAAAAATACACCAGCTTCAGCAAAGATCTCGATGTTGGCTCTTTCATCAACAAAGAAGGTAAAGAAGTTGACATTAAGAATGAGCTTCGCTTTATCGACAGCTTCAAGTTTGAGGCTTCTTCTTCTCGATAAATTGGTTAGTAATTTGAGGCTTGATAGGCTGTACAAAAACAAGTACAAAATCGAGTTGGTCTCAAGAAAGGGTGTGTACCCTTATGACTACATGGACAGTATCACTAAGTTTGATGAAACGGAGCTACCGCCAAAAAAAGCATTGTACTCAAAGCTGAATGACTATAATATGTCTGACGAATATTAAGAGCACGCATGGAATGTCTGGAATGAGTTCAAAATGAAGACGATAATTGATTATTATGACCATTAACTCAAAACGGATGTTCTCCTGCTTGCAGATTTGTTCTTGTTCGAAGAGTTCAGAAACGTCTGTCTTGACGGTATTTCACTCCTCCTGGATTGGCTTAGGATGTTGCATTGAAGGTGACAAACGTTGAGCTTGAGCCATTGAGAGGTCCAGACATGCTGCTGATGATGGAAAAAAGAATTCGGGGAAGAATCTCAAGGACCTCAAATCGCTCTGCGCGGGCAACTAATCCATTTATGAGTGAAGCTTATGATGAAACAAAGGCAACGAAAAACAACCTCTCTTAATGCAAACAATATTTATGGATGGGCAATGTGTAAGCCTCTTCCTATTAGAGGTTTCGAGTACATGCCTGACTTTGACAACTGGAGAAATATTCCTTGCATTCTTGAGGTAGATCTTGAGCATCCAAAAGAGCCTCATGACTCGCTTAACGACTACCCACTTGCTCTCCAGGGGCTTATGATCAATAAAGTTGAGAAGCTGGTTCTTAATCTCAATGACAAGGAGAAATATGTCATTCATCATAAGAACCTCAAACAATATTTATACCTTAGTTTGAGGATCAAAAATATTCATTGTGGAATAAGCTTCAAAAAAGGTTTCTTTGAGCTGATGAACAATTCTGTTTTCGGAAAAACTATGGAAAACATCAGGAATCGGGTGGATGTGAGATTAGTTAGCAAACGCAAGGAAGCACAGAGGCTTTCAGCAAAACCAAACTTCAAGCAACTGACCATATTCAATGAAGATCTCATTGCAATCCACATGAAGCGAACTAAGCTAGTGTTCGATAAACCGGTCTATTGTGGAATGAGCATCTTCGATATCAGAAAAAGGTTGTTGTACGACTCTTACTACAACTAATTGAAAATTCAGACACTGACAGTCTTGCCTACCAGATCGAAACCGAAGACTTCTACAAGGATATAAATAAAGATGTTGGAGATAAGTTGGACTCAAGTAATTACCTTGAAGATCACGTGTCAGGGATACCAACTGGCCGCAACAAAAAGGTGGTGGGAATGATGAAAGATGAAGCTGGTGGAAAGATCATTGAAGAGTCTGTTAGATTGGGAGCAAAACTCTACAGTTACTAGAAGTTTGAGGGAAAAGAGGAGAAGAAGTGCAAAGGGATTAAAAAGGCTGTAATAAACAAGAGTATCAAGAGTATAACTCACTACGACTATAGGGAGTGTTCACTCAGCGGAAACATGCAAAGGAGGAAAATGAATGTGATCAGGTCGCATAAGCATGAGGTCTTCACTGAGTCAATCAACAAGACAGCTTTGAGTGCTAATGATGATAAGAAAGTAATAGGAGAAGACAAGACACCAACTTTTGCTCGTGGTCACAATCAATTAGATCAATAAAAAAAATGAATCCTGATTTAATGCATTAATGTTCGGACCTAGAAATTCAGAAAAGACAAGATTCCTAGTCGATCTCTTGAGCACCACCTTCCGACGAAAGTTTTATTACATCGTTCTCCTCTGTAAAACATTCATTCACAACATTACATATGACTGTTTCGGAGAAAATGATAAGGACTCACTTTTCTTGACTCCACTCCAAGACCAGATTGATAATTGGCTCAAGATTAATAGTTTTTTGTATGAGGGAACAAATACACTGATCATTCTCACTGATTGCACTGCTTCGAGAGATATGAAGCAAAGGATGGATGAACTCGTGAGTTTAGCGTTCAGTGCAAGGCACAGGAGAATCAGCATTTGGGTCCTCACAAAACAGATGACAAGTATCACGAAACCATTCAGAGAGAACACTACAGTTCTATTCTACACACCGTCAGCTAAAGACATGAAAATCATTTTCGAAAATTATTTAGGTGAGTTGAGAAATGATAAAAAAAAAAGAACTGGCAGCAAAGCTTAAGAGTGAGAAGTATTCACGTTTCAATTTCTCACTTTACCATCCCTTCAGTATTGCTTTTAAAATTTAAAAGACATCTTATAAAATGAAAAAGAAGGAATCTCAGATGTTATGAGTATTCTCGAAGCTGAACCCTCAAGTGATTAGATCATCGAGAGGAACTCACTGTTCTCGTTGAAGTGAAGGAAATGATTGGTGTATCTCTCACCCAGGATCAAGTCCAGACGCTTTTAGAACAAGATGTTGAGAAGTACTTCAAGAGATATGAAGCTTCATTGTCTTCAAAGACTTGCGATGCAATGGTAGGTACATTTCTTCGGCTTTCATGTAAAGCACTGGCTCATTTCCTCCCTCTGGATGAAGGAAAACTTTTCAAGGACTTGAACGATAACTTCACGGTAAAGAGATAAGGAAGGCTCTGTTTCTAACAGCTGTAAAAGATTATGTAACGATGAAAAAAATTCGTGATATCAACTCGCCTCCTTGGATTGATGGTGAAGTGCGTCACCTAACTCGCAGAAAAAAAACGCTGCTCTGCGGAGATTTCGGCAGAACAAAACAGCAGAGCGTAGGCTGAAACTACGCCATAGTACTCTAAGGTACTCTAAGTCGAACATCAATTGCTTGGTACGGAGAAAACACTAGCAATACCTGGCCAAAATTGCAACGTCATTCAAGCACAACCCAAAGATTGTCTAGAGTTATCACAAAGCATTTCAGAGCGATCGATCAGGTGCGAATTCAGTAATCTCTTACAACAGCGTTGCAGCCGAGAAACCAGGAGAGAAAGCGGAGCTGCTTAACAACTATTTTTGCTCAATTTTTCGCTCAGCTGCTCCCGTTGTAAACAACATACCTACTTATGATTCACCAACCGATATGGAAATTTCGCAAATAGAAGTGGCGGTTGACAAAGTCAGGGAATGCTCGAGTAATTTAGACACTTCAGAGGCGTGTGGGCCAGATGGCATCCCGGTGCGTCTCTTGAAAGAATGCCGTGAACAAATAGCTCCCAGCCTCTGTGCGATTTTCAGTAAAATTCCCATCTAGTGAAAAACTGCAGATATTACACCCATCCACAAGAAAGACTCAAAAGAGCCCGGCCGAAAACTATCGGCCCATATCACTTAATATTGTCAGCAAAGTTTAAGAATGTTGTGTGGGCTCCCGATGTTACGATCACGTGAAACGCTCGATTACCCTTTTACAACACGGGTTCCTAGGAAATCGTTCATGTGTCACCCAGTTACTGTCTGTGTTACACGCCATAGGACAAGCTCTAGATAAGAACAATCAGACTGACGTGATTTACTTGGATTTTGCGAAAGCATTCGACCCAGTCGATCATACCATGCTCTTGGCCAAGCTTAGGGTGTATGAGGCCTCGGGACACTTACTTGCCGTGCCACAAGCTATAGGTGCAGCTGACACCACACAAACTTGTTCTATAATTTAGATTTCTTGTGTTTTATTGTATTTTAGCTACGGGGCGGTGCCTCGCATGGGACGTCAGTCCCGTTTGCACTTGCCCTTTTGAGTTAGAATTATTTTTATTTCTATCTTCATTTAGTTTTGTCTCTATGTAATATGTTTTTGTAGTTAGTACCTTGTTATAAACCCAATAAAAATGTTTAAAAATAGAAAATAACTCGGAATGATTGCCAGCGGATTGAGTCTGAAGTATGGACTGAACATGGCAATCGCAAGTGCTGTTCTTCTCACTTTCAAAAATGTTTAAGTATCTTTCAAATCGCCTTCGGTCTATGATAAAGAAATAGACAGTTCTTGTGAAGAAACTGATTCACATCTTATCAAGAACTTGAATAAGAACTTGTGTAAGTACTTGATAATAACTTGTGTTAGAAATTATGTAAGAACTTGCGCAAGAACTTAAAATTATGTATCAACAAATAAACCGGATGGTAAAGAACCTTAAGAGGCACGGGCTCAACAGGTGACTTCAACTGAAAAAATAAGACAAAACTAAATAAAGACCCAGGGCGTGTCGCAGCTAGCAAAAAACTTGCTGAAAACAATAGCAGAGTGAGAAAAGAAAAGAAGACGAAAGGAGGTTTAAAGCAACCCGATGGATTACAACCAGAGCCAGAACCAGAACCATCAGCATCATTCTCACTCACTGAAATTCTTTCAGTAGCAAATGTCGTTCTTTCACTTGTTGGACTGTACTATAAAAGAAAAGAGTAGATGGCTCTCGTTAATAAACCAAAACTAGCACAGCTAAGGGAAATGCAGCAAAACACACAACCACAGATTCCTGTAAGAGTAAAGTCAACGGATTGTTTTTTTTTTTCTTTTCTGTTTACCAAATAAAATACCTGATAATAGGCCTGTGAAAACATTGAGTGATTCAGTTACCTTAACTTGATTGGCTTCTGGAGTCGAATGGATTGCGAAGAAAGTTATCAAGGGACCGATGACCTCTGATCCGAGTTCAAGTTTCATGAACTATGTTAAGTTCACTGTCGTGATCGCTGCATCAATTGCGGCAAAATGGTGCTTTGAATAACAAAAGATTTTACCATCTTAAAAATGTTCGGGCTATTTACAACTTATGAATGCAATAAAGTTCGCAGCAGTCTACACAATCATTGAGACTGCCTTAGTATTCTACATCAACGAGATAGAAGAAGAACACAGTCAAAAGTTTCATGATGAATACTTGTTGGCGATTCTCAAATAATGTTGAAGATAAATAAAATGGAAAGGAGAGCAATAATGATCGGAGGAACGCTTATCAATGCAACTGCATTTGTTGGTGGAAGCTCTCTCGCAAAGTATTTGAGTGGAGACCAGAATAGTGTTGAAGAAGAGAAGAAGATACATGATCTCGCAGTGGAGAAGTACCAAGCGGCCTATGAAAAGTATCAAGAAAATCGAATAAAGCTCTCCGATTGTATTGCAACTAATGACAGAGTCAAAGAGCAGACAAAACAGGATTTCTTGATGCAGACTATGCTTTGAAACTTTACAATAAAATGCATAATCAAGATCTTGATCTAAGGGAACCACAACTTTTCAACCTCGAAATAACGAAAACAAAGTAAGATGATCTATGTCGGGGAAATGGCTTAGGCTTTGGAATTGGCTGTTACTCGCTCTATTGTGAACTATAATAAAAATGGAAAGGAAACTTTCAAGAGTCTATTACAGCCCAAAAGGATTATGGAAGGGATTGGCTGTAGTTAAGAAGTTGGCTAAAGAAGCCGGAGTATCTGAAGATAATGCAAAGCTTTGGCTGATGAAGCAAGCCATCTGGCAGATTTATTTGCCTACACCAAAACATATCCCGAGACCAACTTTTGATGTTGAATCTCCAAACGTAGTTCATCTGGCCAAGTATGCATTGACAATTGTTGATGTTGCAAGCAGATTCAAGGCTGCTGAACCTCTTACCCCAAAAGATTCTTCTGAGGTCTGGAAGGCTTTTCAAATAATCTATAAGCCAGGACCAAAAGATGGCCTAAAGTTCTTCAGGTTGATTCCGGGCGTTAATTCATGGGTGAAGAGGCTTCCAGAAGTTGTTTTGGCTTTGAATAGTGAAGTGACCAGGTTGACTGGAAAGAAACCTGTGGATGCCACCAAAGACAAGTCGGTTTACGCAAAGAGTTCAACGAATTATTCAAGGCCTGTTGGCTTGAAGGAGACGAGACTCGACTCTTCAATGAATGTGAGATATCTCTATGCCGCTGATGAGATGGAAGGTGGTCAAAAGAGAGCAACAGGTCCAATCTGGTCTCTGAAGGTCTGTGGTATCGAGAAATCAATTGTGAATAAAGGAGAGCCAGTTTTCTACTCTCTGAAAGATGGTCCAAAGCGTGGATTCGTTCGAGAAGAGCTGAGTTTCCTCCTGAAGGAATTCAGGAGTCAATCTTGCCAATCCAATTAACATTAAAGACGCAGCAAACAAAGAGTATGTAGATGAAAAAACAAAAACAATCGATTTATTCACTTTTTTGTTAGAATATGCAAACATTCATTCGAGAAAAAGAAACATGCTGGTATCACACAGACCACAACTTCAACAGTGAAATTTTTCATAAAAAAAAAATTTGTCACTGCTTCCCGTCAATCAGGATTGAACAACCACGCAACGCAAAACAGAAAAATTTTACTACAAAGACCGAGAATATCTACTCTAAAAAACAATGGAAGACACTTTTTCTCTTTCACTGAAGACAAAATATTCGATGTCCCTTCCAAATGTTTTCTCTTCTCTTTCACATCGTCTCTCTGTTTTTGCTGTCCTAAATCAAACAGAGAAGAGTTTTGGTTATTTCACCATTATGTTAAAGGGTGAGGGTCTGTTTTAAAAACAATAGAAATGTTAAAGGGTGAGGGTCTGTTTTAAAAGCAAAAGATATTGATCCAAAAACAAACCCAACAGCTTCTGGGATATGGAAAATTATCAGCTGTCCTTGGGTGAAAGAAACTGACAACGATTCAAATTTCAATGCTTCTTCATGGTGTAATGGTGTGAAGCTTCACAGTTTTTCTGCAATTCCTGCAACAGAGGCAGTATTCGTGTTGGGGAATTACACAAAAATAGTTGGACATCATTTTCATGAAGGACTGAACTCAGACTGTCACACTCTTCTCATTAACAAAGATACTCTTTTGATAGAAGAACAAAGCAAGGCACACCACGACTTCTTTGCGAGAAGACACAACATTGATATTTGAGAATCAACAAGATTGCTCTTTCAGCGACGCCGATGGCGCGACAAGAGGATCGTTTAAAATGACAATATTCACACCCTCTTCAGAACTCACGAGTGAGACATTGTCAAACTTCTGAAAATTTTTTTTACTTGTGGATAATTTAGGTTGCCTTTAAAATCAAGGTTGACTTCAAAATGCGCAAAAGCTGGTTTTTTTTTATTTCAAGTCAACCTTGATTTCACGATTAGCTTCATGATTTGTCTTTAAAATCAAGGTTGATTTCAAAATGCGCCAGAACCCGCTTTTTCTGTCTACCATATTTATGAAGTCTTTGCTTCTACCCAAAAGTTTTCTTAAAAAATCAAGGTTTTGAGTAAAAATAAAATGCGCCTAAACTGTTGACGTGCTGGACTCTTTTCTATGGGTTTGAGACCCTAGGTATTTAGCTCTGAAGTCATATCATCATCCATTTAAAGGTACCAGCTTCTATTAGAGGGAGGGCAAGCCTGCGTTTAATCCATCAAATACCCAAAAGATTTTTCATATAAAATTGCCCAGCTAAAAATGAGACCATAATGGTTTAGTGCCCTCCCTCCAAAAAAAAAACGCCATCCATCGAAATTCATTTTTTGCTAATAATTACCCCAATTCTAATAAACGCTCCTATTCAATAAGCACCCTCATTCCGATAAGCGCCCCTAATTCTCTTCTGTTTCGGTAATAGCACTTTTAGAGTACATATATATTGAGATCAACCACGGTCCATCTTCCTTTAATTTCTTACTAAAAGCCTCACGACAAGAAGTGGTCTTCGTCTCAGTTTCTCAGCTATCATGTCGCCGTAATTGTACCGTTCCTTAACACAAAAGATCCCGTCCTAAAAATTTTGAAAACGATTGCTTGGCTAATCGTTCTAGCAAGAAAGGATCCAAGGAAAACAAGGCTGTTTTCCAGTCTCTTTTATCCCAGTCAAATAAACATCAAAGTTTTGTTTCACATTCTGTTGTGAAATAAGCACCCTGTTCCTAATAAGCGCCCTCCCTTGAGATGTCAAAGGGAAATAAGCGCACCGGGTGCTAAATCGAATCGTAACGGTATGCCCCAAGTGATATTTCCCAATTTTCAAACCTTACGTCTATGACAATAAAAGTCTTTGCTTAAAATTTGATTAAAGATGAGAGAGCGTTTAACTTTTGTTACAGAAGAAGGGACTTGTTTGTTTGTTCATAAAGTCGAATCAGAGAACACTGAGAAAGTAAACATTCCACACAACAAACAGTAGGCTGTTTGTTAATATTTTCCCTCACGTTGTAAAATTATTCGTAGGATAATAAACACAACAGCCTTTATTTGGCGCGAAAATATGCACGGATATTTGCCTACAGTCATGATCCATTCCGAGATAAGCACAGTTTTCGAGAGCAAGGAACAGACAATGTCGATCCCCGAGTTTTGGGTATCCCCAAAACACTAGTGTTTTTAGTATCCCCTCCGACAATACCCAGAACACTAAAAGAGAATTAAACAAGAGACTGGGGCACGTAACGTGGCATCCTCTTTTGACTTGTCGTGGACATAAAAATAATCGCTTGTAGACGTCAGAAAATTGTCATTCAAAGTTAATTCTCACACTTAAGTATGTGATTTGTGAAGAAAAATGTTCATTTGTTGTGACACGTCTTGGAAAGCGTGATCAGTCAGCTGTTTCAAGTGTTAACAGTGCAGCTGCAGCCGATCGATTTGAGACACGCACGGAAGGAGGATTTTTTCAGTTGTTGGGATTTTGCGTTTAAGAAAATGATAAACCCTTGTGCTTTTCGATTAGCTCTGAGTCTGTGAAAAATCATAACTGTGTGACTTGCTTACCATGAGTGCGTGTGTGTGTGTTTGTGTGTGTATGTGTAGGAAGTTTTGCTCTTGCTTCACTAACCTTAGCAATGTTATCAGATATTTATTACGAATTAGGACAAGTATCTTAGCAGCAGTGAATCTCTGGGATATAAAAAAAACTCTTTGATTAAATAACCGACTTAATTTTGTAACTTTGATTATTAAAAATATCTTGATTCCTTGAAACAAGGTAAGTTCTATCATTCTAGACACCCATTATGGATTATGCTCAACCTACACGAAATCCCAAACTTTGTCTTCTCCTCCCTTTTCCAAATATAAACATGTATACAGGGGACACCTCAATAAGGTGGGTACAGAGACACCAGACCAAGTTTTATCCTAACGCAGAGTGCACAAAAACTTCCCTCCACCTCTTAGCCCAATTAAAAGAGCAAAACCACCTTGTTAAAAGTGAAAAGTAGAAGTACTTAAAAACACATACACATACAAAAGAAAAATAGTAACAGCACAAAAATACAAGAAGACATCGAAATAGCTGACCTTGAGGAATACTAAGAACTCAACAGCCCTATTAGATAGGATCCTTTGATCACTAGGGATTGAGTGACAGCGCTAAATGGAGAGCTAAGGGCTATCGCGTTCATTACCCTTCAAATATTTTTTTTCGGAAAAATGTATTACAAATTGAAGGATAATGCCCTTGGTTGAAAACTTGTTCTCAAGATATTATTCTTGTGGTACATATTCAACTGTAAGGGTTTCTCCGGGTACGGGTACGTACATTTTTGTGACCGTCCTGAGTTCTCAAGCAGAGAGGAGAAAAGACCTGGGAACGAGGTCTTTACAATGAGTAGCCCTGAGAACGAGAGTAGTCGCATCGACCGCCATTTTCAATAGATCGTAAGGGAGAACGAAGAAAAACGTGAACAATTACGATTCTCAGAGAGAATAGAAACAGCTGTCTGTACCAATGAAGCGTGCGTGCTCTCCAAACTCGATAACGCCGCTGGATTACTCCATCGTGACCACAGAAGGTTTGGAAAGACCCGATGTCGTCAATGATGCACAAAGTTATATCTTGGGAGGCGTTCTGGGAGCTGGAAAGTTTGCGTGGCTCGCTCGTGGTGCTACTTTGGAAGTCATAAATACCATAAATGGTGAGAGACAAGCGTGCTGTCGGTTTGGTTGGAGCCCACAACGGCAGCGCTTTCTGTCCATTTCTTCAGTCAACGAACTTCATATCGAAGACGGTACAAAGCTTTTGGTAGGGCTAAAGGACTTATCAAGTGGCGGTGCAGGAGTTTTGGTCATTTTTGATCCTTTGCTGTCGCGGGTGATCAAAGCTATTGAGGTTCCGTACCCTGTCACCGTAGTTGAAAGCGTTACCAGCTCTGGGGGAGCTCAAGCAGCTCCACATGCTCTCAGGTTAGTTTACAGTGTACAAATTATGCTTCACTCTGACCTAGGGCTAACGCTCGAAACGTCAGCTTTGAAACTCTTTACGGTGGCCAATTTACCTTATCAACTTAGTTGATAAAACAAAATATCTTGTTACACTCCCCAACCGACGCAGCACCGCGGTTTCCTTAGAATCGTACCCCCTAGTTTACAGCAGGACGTAACATGTCGATCATTTCAAAAGTCGATCGATGTCGATTGAAATCGAGTTTAATCAATCGACAAATAAAATGATAGAAATCGATCACAAGGTTTCTTTTTATTGTCGATTATTAACTCTAATGTTTTTCCTGTCTGGATGTTAACTGTCTAAGGATTGGGAGAATTCTGCAGGGTATTCTGCCGGTTAGCCAAGGATTGTTCCTGTTACAGTCAAACCTTGATTATCCGGACCGGTGGTGACTGAGCAGAATTGTCTGAATGATCAAAAGTCCAAATACCGTATTCGCATGTGTATAGGCCACACTCATGTATAAACCGCACCCCAACTTTTGACCATGTTTTCTTGAAAAAAAAATAATTTCATGTTTTCTTGAAAGGACAAAAGGCCTGGCAAGTGATGCATACCACCAAGATATATTTGTTTATATCACAAACTTCATCATAATGAATAATCTAATATAGCATGCCATCGATCAAACAAAAATTACAAATGCAAACAACAATGGTGATTCATATCTTTAAAATGGTCTTAAAGTTAGAAAAGGTAAAGTTCAGTTCAATGTTCACCAGCTTTAAAATCCTTCAAAAGTTATTTTCATCGTCACTCTTGCCAAACAATGCCAGATAGGAAGCTTCGTCAATCTCCGCTTCAGCCACTTCATTTTTGTCAGCATAGTAAAGTTCGCTGTCATCCTCAGGTAGTAGTTCACTGTCCACAGCATCCTCCTCTTCATCTTGTCACAAGAAATCTTCCTCGCTGCCATCCAGGGCATTCGTGATGCTGCATTTTAGGAAGGACTTCCTAATTAGTTGCTAAGGTATCTCATACCAAGCTTCTTTGATCCATGTGCAGATCACATCCAGCTCAACCTTCTGCTTTCTGCTACTGGCTGTCAATGTGTGCTCCTCAGACAATATCCATTCCCACCACTTTGGTCGTATGATATCTCTGAACAGCTTGTTCATGCAGACGTCAAGAGGCTGCAACTTGCTAGTCATACCACTAGGGATAATTGCAGTACAGTGTTCAGATAGGTTAGTTTGTTCTTAACAGGCTGTGTCAAGTGGCCTCTAAATGAGTCCCACACAAGGAGGGACCTATGCTTTGAGAGACCTCCAACTTTAGCTCAAATAGAGGTCAACCAGTCTTTGGCCTTGTCCATCCAACCCTTTTTGTGGTATCTTACAAGCACACCATCAGGGAACTTGACTTTCTTTGGCAGGGTCTTCCTCTTACAAGCACACCATCAGGGAACTTGAGTTTCCTTGGCAGGGTCTTCCTCTTGAAAACAACATAAGGGGGAGTTTAGAGCCATCTCCTCTACAAGCTAACATCATGGTGAAAGGGTCCTTCTTGTGTCCCATGCTGATAATCGGCACGGACTTGATTCTGCTGGAAGAAACTGGCATGTTTGATGCAATGTCAAGTGTTAGTGATATTTGATCTGCATTTCCAGTCATGCTTAGATCATAGTCATAGCGTTGCCGCATTCACAAAATGAACTGTTGGAAGTTGATGAGCTTGTCTTCAAAGTTCTCAGGAAGTTTCTGGGCCACTGTGGTCCTACGGCGAATAGAGAAGCTGTTGCAGGCAAGAAACTTGTAACACCAGCTTTGTGATGTCTTGAACGTGTCAGCTGCAATATCTTTTTCACAGGCAAGGGCCTTGGCTTTTAAGCAGATTACAGTTGTAGATACTGCAACTCCTTCTTGTCTCTTTGAAGTAATCCATGCAGCAAGGTCTTCTTCAATTTCAGGAAATTGGGCACTTTTCCCTGCCTGGCTCATTTACTGCAAGGCATTTTCTTGAGGTTCTCCTTCAGTGACCTCCATCTCCACACACACTTTTCATTGACTGAAAAACTCCTTCCAGCAGCACTATTCCCGTTTTGTTTTGTAAACAACACAACCTTCAACTTAAAGCCAGCAGTGTAGGAAACATGAGGTGATCCTTTTTCAGACATTTTCTAATGTGATCAATGATCAGAGTAAAAAACCGTGTTAACAAGGTGTCTTTGATGCACAGACTAGGATCAAGATTACCATTTAGAACAAAGATAATTGTTTTAATTGGTTGTTTATTTCTATTATCACTCCATTTATATATTAGCATTAAGTGGGACCTCTCAGGAAACATATAAAAATGAACACGACTTGCACACACAGAGAAATAAATGGTGGCATGTGGCCTCTTACATGTGGATTGTTATAGGTTGCTAAGATTACTGAATGAATCAAAGATAGCAGCAGACTCAACTTTATCACATATGAAAGTTTATGTTGCGTTTTCTATGCAGTGTTTGATGTCCTTAGATTCTGCTTTCATTGTGAATCTCAAATCGAATTCAAACAATAAGCACATGGGACATGCAATTGCCACCTCAGTGTACTTCTTTGCTTGCAAACGTGTTCTGGCTATACATGAAAAATTACGTGAAAACTTTAAAAGGGGTTTCCATTTAAACATAAAGATTTAAGGTACACCATGTATAGGCCACACCCCCATTTTGCGCAAAATTTATATGAGAAAAAAGGGCAGCCTTTAATGTGCGAATATGGCAGTCAAAATTGGTCTATACTAAAACAATGGATGGCATCAAGGGCACTCTGATTGGCTATTTGAAAGCTGATTTGCGCAGGATTTGCACCCCAAAATTTGTATTCATTGCAGGAATGAATTATTTAAAATCATCTTTTTCTGCCATATTTTCTCACTGTCTAGTTTAAACTAAAACAACTATTCACATGAGTGAAGGCAGTTAGCAATGGATATTTATGCTTTGCTTCTTTGTAAATATCCATCACAAGCCACCTCCACTTTGGTGAATAGTTCTAAATATGAATATTAATGTGCCAAAAATAACACTACATATCATTTAATGAATATTATGCTTGAATTAAAGTATATTCTAAATCATTTTACGTCATTGCCAAAATTTGTCAAAGTATTTACAAAAATGTTTTATGGCAACAACATATAACTATCTAAAATGCTGACATTAATCAGTTTATTTGAAGCTGCATCAACATGTTCACAATGATAGTTCTATTATTCTTGGAAGCTGCATTAATGAATGGCATCAACATTGTTTCAGTTCATGGGCTTTGTTTGATGGGAAAAGTTGGGTACAGATCTCAAATGAGACTAACTAATATTCATGAAAAAATGGAACCAGAGAAGTGAGTCCAGATAACAGAAAAAAAAATTAATAGAGGTCTGGATAATTGAGATTCAACTGTTTTAGGGACCTTATTATGCTTTGTCATTAAGGCAGCTCCATAGGATTTTTGCTTAATGTTGGCATGCCCACTAGCATTATGTTTGTCTAGAAAATTTTTATGTTTTGCTTTTCTTGGTCACTAAAAGCCATTAAGAGGGTAATGAGCAAGGTTCAGGCTATTGTTTGCTGTAGTAAATATTATCAAAATGATTTTTGTTATTAAGCTAAGACTCCACTTGGGGAGGCACTTGCCAGTGGTAATTTGGCTCAGCTTTGATTTTCTTCAATTTTCTTCAGTGAAATCTTGTCCTGCCAATCATTTAAGACCTGAAAAAATTGGGGTTGTAAAGGCAGTTTCCTCGCTATATGCAATTTTGTATTTTCTTCCACCTCAAATTTGGCCTGATGAATTTGTCTGTCAACGGGCACCAGCAAGGGCACAAATATGTTTAATGGTCTAGCAAATCTTGGGACTTTCCACTGAAGGGAAACACAATGAATCTTGCTTGAAAGATCCCTATTTTCTTTGTCTCAAAATATTATGTTATGGATAGAACTTCGCCAAGATGTATATTTGAGTGTGTGTAAACTTTACAATTTGTCACAATCTGTCACCTTTTGGCAATTTTTCCCATGGTGTTTCTTTTTGTTTGACCTCTCTTTCAGGCATAGAAGGCCTATGAATATTACAGGTGTAGTTGCTGGAAACCCTAGATTCCATCACACAAAAAGTGTATTGTGTTAAACTGTTTTTAAGACATCTTTTCAGATAACAATAGTGCAATTGTATTGAGCTGCCATGTTTTTTTGCATGTTAACACTCTTAAAACTCATGCTATGTTTGCACCCAGATCCCGAGCAGTCAAAAAACCATATGAAACCTCCTTAAGGTGATTCCCAAGAAAGAATAGTTGTCAGTAAACCTGAAAAATACATGTAGCTTGCATTATTTTCATCTTACCCCGTAAATACACCAAGATTATCCTAAATCATCCACTTAAGTCAGAAGATGCAAGAATAATTGTGTCAGTATTATATGCCAGTCAGCCTTGTGGCCAATATAATGAGTTCTTTAGGTGCAAGGTCATAGCAGAACATTATGCAGCTTTAATCTCTATGGAATAATTACAGATTATGCAAATTATGAAGAGCACAAAACTGTTACTTAATTACCATGGTGTGTCTCTTCTTTTTTCTAAAATCTAAGTGCTTGAAAATTATGAGGGCAAATTAACATGTGGCCAACATGCCAACAAGAAGTCAATGTTTCTGCATTTAGCAGGACTCTTTTTGGTAATGTATAGATTTGGGATTCATCATTTAAACTTCTTTCTATAATTTCAGTCCCCAGTTGAGGCTGCTGTTTGGTATTGCAGCTGTTGGTACTGAACAAGGGCACTGTTATTTAGTGGATCTTCGCCTTGATGATGAAGATGAACAGTTTGATGAGTGGCGCACAAGCCCTATTGAAGTAGTTGATCCTTTAGCATGTGATTTGGCTCAACTCAGAAATACTGCCAGGACCAATGAAAGCCATTTAGGAATTGAAGTGGGAGGTATGTCAAACTATTGGACAAGTTGTTGTACATTTTGAAATCAAATGCATATGCATTGTAGCCTTGAAACATGTATAGGTATGCCGTAAAGCTAGAGTTCATTAGAATGTAAAAATAGCTAATCAGTATTTTTCCCCCAGTAATACTTAAGTAAATAACCTTAACTGCCTCTTGTATGTGAGATAAGTGAAATTTTTGTTAAGTTACTGTGCTCAGTGGGCTGTACCATTATTTGGGCTTACTGTTCAAAAGCCTCAGTTTAAAATTCAGTCATGTTTTGTCATCTCTCTCACCAGCATTTCTACACAGGCACTGGTTATCTGATTAAAACACTCAGTCAATGATCTTTGACTGCTCCTATGGCTGGCTTTTCACATCAGATCTAGTAAACAATTGAAACAATTCTTAATAGTGTTGGTTTTGTGACTAAAAATTGATTTTTTTTGGACATAGTTTGATCAATTCATAGACCCAACGTTTTGACACTTCTGTCTAGTGCCTTCATCAGGGGTGATCTAAATGCTGCATCAAGAGGTCCTTTTATACATTCACTAATTAGCTGTCCTTTTTTTTCTGACAAGGCATAAATAGGCATCAGGAAGTACTCTGCCATCATCATGATTTAAAGGAGCATGGGCTGAGTTGATATGCCGCGCTTCCAAACAAAGGGGGTGGTAATAATGTCAATTAGTGGAGATAATTTTAGACGTATCCCACTCAATTGTATGGTTGGTTAGGCATGTGTGCTCCCATAAAGCTGAATTTTCTTTTTTACAAAAGAAGACCACTTTTTGATACTCTTTCAAATGTGTATCAAACTGATGTTTGGTCTGTCCAATATACTCGTTATCACAGTCATTGCAAGGAATAGAATAATTAGCATCAGTTTGTTGGATCCTTAAGTTTGGCAAAAATATGCCTCAAAGTCTGAAAAGGTTTTTGAGCAACTTTAACATTGTGGCTATTCAAAATTCACCTGATGGGTTCTGTAAAACCCTGAATGTTGGGAATAACGGCAAAACCAGTTGCTGGTTTCCTCTCATCAGGAGTGCTACTAGTTGTAACTGGTTTTCAGCAGTTACAGAGAAAAGTTTTGGTATAGCCATTTGCCTTGAGGACATTAGAAACATAACTCCTCTCCTTAGCCTTCGAATTGAGTGAAGAGCCTTTAGCCCTCTTGACTAAAAATTTTGGCTACAGACTTTTTAAGGCAAATATGGTGGTGAGAATCAACAGCAAGGTATTTTTCAGTGTGGGTAGGTTTATAATAGACATTTGCCTCTAAATTCACCTGTTCCCCTCTATGCACATTTAAATCTAGAAAGGTCAAATGTCTATCCTTTTCATGCTTAAGGGTGAATTGGATAGATGGCTCTACTGAATTCAAGTGTGATAGGAGGCGTTCCACAGAAATGACATCATCAACGTATCGTTTCCAGAGAAAGGGTTTAACCGGTGAAGTGGTTAAGGCCCTTTGTTCCACGTTGTCCATTACCATATTGGCAATGACAGCAGAGATGGGCATATTCATAGCTAGACCAAAAACCTGTTGAAAGTAGGTGTGGTTGTATGTAAATTGGGTGGTTTTGAGGCAAAAAGACAGCAGATGAATAATATCCTCCACAGGCAAAGAAGTTCTTTGTCCCAGGGAAGCATCTTCTTTAAGTCTCTCCTTTGCAACCTCAACACCAAGATCAACTGATATTTTAATGAAGAGCAAATCAATGTTGAAAGATACTAATTCTTCATGAGTGTTAAGGGTTTTATCCCTTATGAAATCTTCAAATTCGCAGGAATTCTAGACAGTGTAATCAGTATTCCCAACAACAGGCAACAAAATTTTTGCAAGATAACCAGAAATTGCCATAGTCGGGGAATTAACAAAATTAACAAATGAGACGATAGGTCTCAATGGAATTCCTGGTTTATGGATTTTAAGTAAGCCATAAAAACATGGACATAAGCCTTCACCACTGTATAACATTTTGTATGTATGCCTGAGTATGCTCCTTACTTCTACTCTTACCAGGTGCCTTTGGTCATCATTGAGTTGAGAAATGCTCTCCTCAACCGCGGTGACAATTTCAGCTGACAGTATTTTGCAAGGAGCAATAGTGAACCTTTCTCTAAACCACTCCACTCCAGCAGGGATAACTCCTCAAGGAAGAGGTTCATGACCCATTTGTCTTTCAGAGATGAGCCTGAATTAGCAGGAGACCTCTTAATAAGCAAATGACGCAATTTTCTGTCATGTTTCTCTCTCTTTTTGGTAAATGTCTGTTGTTCTTTGGAATGGCAGAACTCCTTGACCCTGGAGGTTTTCAGAATTGTTAATCAAAGCAGAGAGTTCTCTGAGTGAACAAAGGAATAACATACGCAACCACAGTATAGAACTGTGACATTCATGTATTCATAACTTCTGAAAAGAAAAACCAGTATGGACCATGAGCTTGTATCCCTTATCACTCCGCAAAGAAGGCCTCAATTGTAAACTTGATGAAAGCACATAGTTCTCTTTACATCGGAATACTTGGCAATGCAGACTCTTGATGTTTGCGAGCTGGTTGACCCCTGTAACAACAGTTTGAGCTATTTACACCTCGTCAGAAAAAAAGGGCAGCTAATTAGTGAGCATATAAAAGGACCTCTTGTTGCACCATTTAGATCACCCTAGATTAAGTCACTAGACAGCAGTGTCGAAAGATTTGGGTCTATGAATTGTAACTTCTCAATTACATTCATAAAATCTCTAAATCAGAGTAGCATCAAACCATGTCTGATTGCCATTTGAACTTTAATATATCAATTTTTTTGTTTAACAATGTTTGGAATAAACTTTGAAAAATTAGTTCTATGATGAAAATTTGTGTGCTAAAGGTGAGGATGGATTCAAGAACCCTTGTCAGCAGATAGTACAAGCCTGTCAGGATCCTTTTTAAGAGCTATAATTGCATTGAAAACATCCTTCTGAATGTTTTTGGGAGGAGGTTTAGCATGCCTGAGTATGCTGCTTACTTCTGCTCTTACCAAGTACCTAGAAGCACTCCTGTACCAGTAGCACTCCTGATGAAAGGGAACCAGCGACTGGTTGTGTTGTTATTCCCTACATTCAGGGTGTTATGGAACCCATCAAGAGAATTTTGAATAGCCACAATGTTAAAGTTGCTCAAAAACCTTTTCAGAATTTGGGGTATATTTTTGCCAAACCTAAGGATCCCGTCATTAAAGAACAATGAGCCAACCCCACTTATTCTATTCCTTGTAATGACTGTGACAACGAATACATCAGACAGACCAAACGTAAATTTGCTACACGTTTGAAAGAGCATCAAAAAGCAGTTTTCTTTGGCAAAAAAGAAAATTCAGCTCTATCAGAGCACACATGCTTAACTAACCATATAATTGAGTGGGATAAGTCTATAATTATCACCACTAATTGGCATTACCACCAGCACCTTTGTTTGGAAGCTTGGCATATTAACTCCACCCATGCTCCTTTAAATCATGATGATGGCGGCTTACTTCCTGAAGCCTATTTTACACCTCGTCAGAAAAAAGGCAGCTAAATAGTGATCATATAAAAGGACCTCTTGTTGCAGCGTTTAGATCACCCCTGATGAAGGCATTAGACACGAGTGTCGTAATGTTGGGTCAATGAATTGTAACTTCTTTGGTTACATTCATTAAATCTGTAAATTAGAGTAGCATCAAACCATGTGTGATTATCCAGCTGGTTGCTATGTTAACTTTAATATATTTTGGTCTTATTCTATCTACCCAAAACAGCATCATTTAAGAGGTTTCTAATTTTTCACTCTATTGCATTTAGGAGTAACTCATTGACTTTTTCAGCTCAATCTGCCTGACCCATATTGATATGTTACTTGTAAGTGGACTCTCCTGACACATGTTTCAATGTAGGCATGTATCTTACTCACTAGTTCACCTTGCCTGCATTAGATTACTACGCATAGTTCATAGCAAAGATGATGGTTATTTTATTGCTCTATCGTGACTTAACTTTCATTTCATCTCAGGTTGTTGCCACACCTTTGGAAGATTTTCATATGTGAGTTGTGACTTTACTGAGTTAAAAAGCTTGTTTTCAGGTATGTTTAAATGGGCTAGAAAAAAGTGAAGCTTTCTTTCAATAGGTACTATTGCCATCCTAATAGTCAAACATGCACCATTTCCCTCCTACATGTGTTACCTATTAAATAAAGTGAAATATTTCTTGAAAGAAACTTCTTCAGAGTGGGCAAGTAACATAAACATGAATTTAACAAAAAATATGTTTAAAGGCACATTTTTTTAAAAAGTCATTTAACAGCTGTTTAGAAGAAATATCTTTGTATCTATTTAAGTACAAACAAGGTTGAATGGCCTTTGGTCTTTGTTGATCATAATTGTACCCCAGGGGATCATTTCTCCCTGGCGGTGTTTACTTTCAAACATTTTTGACAAACTTTTAACTTTCTTCAGTTGCAATCATTGGCAGTAATTGGCAAAAATAGTGAGCTTTCTGTTAGAACCATTTATGGTATTTTGAGCTTTCTGTTAGAATTTCCCAGATTATGAACAGTGAATTTATATACAATCCTGTAAAAAGAAAAATACATCTTAGAATGCCCTGATGAGTCCAATTGGCTATAACAAAACAAAAAAAAGGTAGAAAATATGAATAAATATTATTGAAGTATTGATGTTTTGTTTGGGTCAGGTGATGTGTTTGTGACAGCAGTCAAGTATGTAAGGCAAACAAGCACCTTGGTTGTGGGATTCAACTTTGGCTGCTTTCAAATGTGGAATATGGAAACTCTATCACATGTGTAAGCTAAGTTGTTCTATGATTTTTCTCTAATTATGCTACATACTGTACATGGTAAGTATAACTTAAATACTAGTTCTTAACTGCTCCAACTGACCTCTCATGACCAATCTTTCTATTTTGTCTATCAGAAATTGAATGAAATTTACTGTTAACAAATTAACCATTTGTCAGATTTTGTGTGACAATTGTGCAGCATAGTGCAACTAATGGTCTGAACTAAGTGTGAAATAAACCTTTTCATACAATTACTCCCCTTTTGTCTTTTTCTTCTAATTAATTTTGGTTGTTGCACAAATATCCAAAAGCCATGTGACTGATCACAGCTGTCAAATGCATGTCTTGGGCAAATGAATCAATTTTAGGCAGTTACACTCCAATGTCCAGCACAAAATTTCCAAGGAAAATATGATGCAACCCCTGTCATGCAAAAAATATGAAGGTGAGGAGTTCAATGAAATCTGCTGAAGGAAGAAAAAGGAGGAGTAAAGAAATTCAAGGCTTTTAAAAACAAAATAAAGTAAAACAAAAAAGACAAAGTTTGATTTATAAAAATTTTCCATTGATTTAACATTCTTTCAGATTGATTTTTGTTTTTTTTATGGTAGTTAAATTTTAATACTGGTGACAAAGTTATGGTTTTAGGCAACTTATTGGCAACTTTGAAAAATGTTGAGCTTGCAGCCTTACTTCACTGGAATAGTCATTGATTCCAAGTTCTAACTGATGCCTGTTTTCACTGTGTTTTTAATGAACTTGAAGTAAGTAATCTGTTACATTATTTAGCTTCTTGCAGTATTTAGTGGTCTTTGTTGTGAAATTGTTCGTTTTTGTTTTGGTTCTAGTTACAGTAGCCAGGTTGGGCAGTATTATTCAGCTGTCACACACTTCATGTACCAGGTAGTTGTCTGGCTCTTTTTGTATCTCTCAAGTGCATTATCTAGTGATGTTAGATTTTATTTTATTTTATTTTTTAATTTTTCACAAACAAAATAACGTCAATAGGGGAAAGTACAATTTGTTATTTGATTCACTCATCCCAGATTGCCTTAAAATATGTTTTTTAAACATGTGAATTTCCTCAGATATAGAAATACAGGGTGACATGCTTTTTCTTTTCCTAGATCTGTTTATGTTTTTTATGTTTATGAAAAGGATGTCTTGTCACAATTTGATGCAAAAGGCCTGTAATTGAGTTTTCTATTTGTGTTTGTTTTTTTTTTTTGTTTTTGTTTATTTTCTTTTTAATTTGCCACCAATAGGAGCCAGAAAATGATCCACGCTATTGCTGTTACTTATGGGTAGCTCGTGGTCCACTTGTATTAGAAAACTGTCCAGAGACTCCAGCAACACTGACTTTATATCAATTGGTTTTTGCCTCAAGAGATATACTGACAGGTTATGGGGTGATCTACAAGGTACGTACAGTCCAAGAGTTTCCTTAGAACTTTAGTAAGATTTGATGACTGGTGACAATCATGATGGTCACTCTTTAGGTAGGTTTGATTTGTCACTGATGATTGGTGTATCAGTTGGAGGGTAACAGAGTATGATTTTTTTTCACTAGAATGTGTCTTTACAAGATAGTGAATTCTGTGTAACTGTTTCCCATTAGGAACTTGGTGGTGTTGGTCGGAGATTTGAACATCAGCTTACTTCTGATGTTCATCATCTTGCTGATGCTACATCGGTGGGAAGTAAAATTGTGTGCTGTTACACTTTAGGTAGGGAGAGACTTTTATGAGTGACATTTTTCATACCAGTTTGATTTCTATTTTCCTGTGTCTTGTATTCATGTTCACAGTCTGAAACAAAAGGAAAGACAAGTTAAACTTGTATGAAACATTTTGAATCAAGAAAAATTTGAGCCACAACATTTACCAAACCATGGTAATAATCAATTCCAAGGCAATAGAACAAACCCTAAGTTATAACACTTTCCCACTGATCTAATGGCACTCTTGCATTTTAATTTCACATTTCTACATATACTGGACATTTATGATTGTCACATGTTTAATAGTTCTCTTTCTATTTTAGAAAAAGGTTCCAGTGCTTTGAACAGTCTGAGGGTGGATGAGAGTGCAGGTGCTGAGAGTAAGATCTTCCTAGTCTTTTGCTTTCTTGAAATACTTGTAGAAGTTTTATTCTCACTGATGTATGTACAAAGGTGTTCAAGTAAAACAAGAGTCAAGGAGACAGTTTTAAGATCAATTGGGGAAAGGTAGTCAGGCATAGTTGTAGTGTAACTTTCACATTGAGGAAACTTCTAGATTTACCTAACCATGAAGATAATGATAAACTGTACTTACATAACCTCTGATCTTCTACCAAATTATTCAGGGAAATAAATCACACCTAGAAAAAACTACGTTTATTTTATGCAATCATTTTGCTTTTACAACATGTTTGAGTTTCTTTGCGTTCTTGAAATACAAAAATTTCACTGAACTGTTTGGAACACACTGAATAGGGGGCTCGAGTTAGGATAACAGACTTGATCATGTTACCCAGTTGTATGTTTGTTGCCAAATGAAGCACCAGCTTTCTCCTTCACCCAGCCCTCCTCCCTCCTTTTCTCTCTTTCCCAATGTTGTTCCTTTGAAATCAAGATACATGTTAAGAATGCCAGCAACATTTTAATTTTTTGTTACAGCTGTCTTGAATATGATCCTTTTGTAAGTGTTCCAGTGGGTTGTCAATTAAGTACTGTTGTACTCTTTTTGTGACAGATAAAGGGCATTCAGTGTGCTAGGATACTGGGTTGATTTAGAGAATATGCATTAGCGAAAGAGAAGAAAACCAGGTTAAAACCTGAACATTTTAAATTAATTTTTTATTTGCCATAAATGTCAAGCTCAAGCTCACAAATGCCTTAATTAAAAATGAAACTTCCAGCTTTTTTTTTAGAGTGAGTTAAGATGTAATCCTAGACTAGGTAGAATGGGTTCAAGAGTAAAACTACTGTGCACTCAATTATTAAGTGTTTTTTAGCTTAATTTGGGGTGGCTGAGTTAGTTGTATTATATCTTTGTTTCAGTGGAACATTTCAGGGATCTTACTCTGGCTGTATGTGTTTGGGAAGCTCCTGCACAGGATCCACAATCCAGGCCCACATGTCATTTGGGGATCTTTGATATTAATTGTTGGTACCATTCACAAATGCCCCCGTCCATTAGGTTAGAGTTATCTGATATGGTTACAGCTTAAGATTAGTAGAACAGCCACCTGGCATGAGGTGGACAAATGAAATAGGAGTACCCCATGGCTTGTTATGTACATTGTATGTTATCAACAAGAAGGGGATTGAAATCTTTTGATCTTTTTCTGAAATTAAGACTTATATGGTTACTGCCATTCAGCAGGAAACAAGCTTATGCAAACTTTGAATCCACTTGATTTTCTTCTTAGAGGCATTTTTGCAGCTCACAGTACTTCCAGGCCCTTATTGAACAGTTCAATTCTTTTTAGGTCTTTAAAAAGTGTCATCATGAGTGTGAAATATAGTTTGATTCTATAAGTGTTACAAAGTTACAGAAGTATTATGAATGTTTATTTATTCCATTGAAATCATAAATGCTTCTTTCTATTTCATTTCCTTGTGGTCAGAGATGCTATGTTTGGTAGTAAGGATCCAACATGTCCATTTTTTGCTTTCTTTTCGCTGGCTGACATCTTAGATGCTGCATCACCGGATGGTATTGTGGTATGTTACTGATTCACTACTTGACTTATCAAATGAACCATTCTGAATCCCAGAGTTGTCTCTATCATCTCTTTGCTATGGCATTCATTTTGGATGAGATGGAAAGAAGAAGGGGTTAAACATTTTGTTATTAAAAATTTTGATCTGTCATGCAGTGTAATGAATGATCCCTCAACTTAATCCTTTAATCCTTTAATCCTTTAAAACAAAATAAATGTATTGTACAACTATTATGTGCTCCATAAAAAGGCTACAGGCTAATCATGGTAGATATTAAAGTTTCTGCATCCCTTTAAGGTTACTTCCCACCTTCAGAGGCGGAAAAAATTGATATTTCTTTTATTTTACTAATCTGAATTATAGCATTCCACCAATTCTTTCCATAAAAAATTCTGAAATCTTTCAAAGCACCCTAGTTAGTTAGAAAAATGTATTTTCAAATAATTTTTCCATTTTTGTCATGGGTTTTGCCTTTGCCTTTGCCTTTGCCTTTAGCAACTTTGCTCATTATTGTGTCATCCACCTCAACGCTCTACTGAGTGATCGAGATAAAAAGAAATGTGTCTGCAATGGGTTACTCTTCCCGAGAAATCAAGATCCATCATCATTGACTCAAGGAGGTCCAGTTGTCCCATTGGTTTGCAGTTTCAGGAGGCGATATAGTCTCCTGGAGTGGTGCAAGTTGTTTGCAAACCTTTATGAGCTAAAGTCTCACATTTGATTTTGGGAAGAATACAAACACTTTGAGAAAATATGTAGGGTATATAGATTTGACCAATTTTCATCAAGTTTTGCCAAAACATTCCAGGAATAATGAAAAATGAAAGTGTGTCGGGAAATTTTGATTTTTCACATATTTGTCCCTTGGTGTCCATTTACACAACATGCCTTGCATGTTTTAAGCTACTCCAACTTTAGATGCCAATATCTCAACAACCAATCAGAATATCAAAAAGCCTGACACTCTTTTGTCAATTGATGCCTTTTGAATAAGATTGTGCAGCCATTTTGCTTATGCTGCAGCATGCAATACCCAATGAATTTAATAGAAGAACCTTTGGCCCTTTTATGCCTTACCGGCTCCTGACACTTCCTTAAAAGGAAAGTCCCTTATATTACATTTTTTTATCGTAATCTACACTTATTAAGCTTTCTTCTGATATGTGGTGTGCTAGGTTTTTTAGTGAAACTAGTGCATGTACAAATTTTTTCCCGAAGGACAGCTGCGAAGGTGGGAAGTAACTTTGTGATAGATCTTTACACTAAGATTTCTTAAATATAGCCAAATTGCTTTCTTTCTTATTCTGAATTGTACTGCAATGCAAAAACTGGTTAACTTACCAGCAGATGGCAAGAGAATTTGTTTAATATTCTCATCTGTACTGGGTATAAGGCACTTGATCCCTTTTAGTGCCGGGTTCTTGTGTTTTATGTGCAGGTAGGATAATAATAGAGGGTAGTGGGTGAGGTTTGCCAGATTACTACATTACTTCAGGCTAATTACCTCTCCCAGTTCATTTTTTTTGTTTTCTTTTTTTGTGTTTAAGGATGTGTTTGTAAATGCTAAGTCCATGGGCAGCTTTGTATCAACTGCAGGGTCAACACTTGAGGAGCACATGTGGCCAGCATCTCTAAAATTTGGTTAGGAGTTTCTATTGTTTGGTTTTCTGGTATTTTTCATGCACTAAGACTACTTAGTGACAACCTTGCAGTGAGCTGCAAATGAGAATACATATGGACCCTGTGATGACCTTGCTTACCAAAGAGTTTCTGTGGCTCAGTGGTAGAGCATTGAAGTGCTAATTTCAAAGGTCTGAGGTCCAACTCCTCATAGGACTCACAACAAGACGAAAAACTTCTTTTTCATTTTCCATACCCTTGTCAAATTCTTGCATCTTTCTATGGTTAATTCTGTTTACACACATGAACAATTGAAATGAGGAATTCTTGAACATGTTGATGTAGTGAATTACACACTTATCAAACAATATAGGGTTGGCCTAACCAGGAGTAATGATGATACATATCCTATTTTTTGCTATGCTTTCTTCCATTAGCTGATTTTTCATGCAATTTAGTCTACAGTTTGTTTTTGTTTTTCTTTTCAAAACTCTTATTTGTTTCCTAATATCCCAAAACAATTTTTGATTTTTGTATTACTATTTCAGACACTTGTTGTTTGTTGGAGACAGGACTTGTGCACTCCAAATTCCTGGGAGTTCAACGTCAGGTGAGAAGATGTATTGACTCACTCGATGCTCATTTTGCCCATTGGCATTACTGGCATTTGAGGCAGCAACAATGGTCTTCCACTGCTGTCTGCCACTGGCCAGATTATGGGTTTTATTTCAGCTGCCAAAAAATGCTAATTAGTGGTAGTCCTACCATGCTTGTGCCAACCTTTGGGTTTCAAATGTATTGCTGTCTTGGTAATGGAACCATTTTCCTTTCTGGTGGCTGGTTATGTCCTTATCTTTATTCCTAGTAATTTGGTTCTTCCACTGCCACCATCACCATTGTAAGCAGGTCTGCAGAATCTTTTTTGAAAGCTTAGAGTCACCTTTAGAAATCTCTGCTCTTAAGTTGTTTTGGTGTAGAGCTTTACCTTTCTTTCATGGCTTTAATGATTTCATATTTGTTTGGAGTAACTTCCTTTAGGGCAGACTCTGTAACTGATGGTTGGGAGATTGTTGAGGGCGTGTTTGAAGTAGTCTTCCAACAGGTGTCCTTTTTTTTAAAATTCCTTTTACTTTTGGTGTGCACTCTATCCTGTGCAACCTTCATGGAGGTTTTGTTTTTGCTATTGTATTAGCTACAAATTGTCCTAGTGTTTCTCTGCAGTTGTATGGAAGGTTATTAGCTCTTATTATTTTTATTGAAAAAAAAAGGTACTGTAGTGTGTATTATATAGGTACTATAGATTCAGCACATAAAGGAGAAAGTGCTTTTATATGAAAGAGTGTATATTGATTTCCTCTTTCTAAGATTTCAAATTCTGAACAATCATGGAAGCAAGTTGGGAGTACTGTAGTTGGTGTTTGTGGGTTGTGGGTATCAGGTTGTTGGCTGTGGTTTGTGGTTACTAGGTCTTGTGTTGTCATTGGTTCAAAATGTAGATTGCTCATCAGAATTGCAGTCAAGTCACCGATGGTTCAACTAGTCAATACCAACTTGCTGACGTATAAAATCGAGTAGAGGCATAGGTGGGTTGGTCTTCAATCCAGTACAACTTATTAGAAGTTAAACATATAGAAAAGTAAAAGATCTTTAGTAAAAAAACAATTTTTTTCTTCCAACAAAGTTTATAAGGATCTCAAGGGGAATAGAGCAAAGTAAACATCACCAATGACCAAAAAAGCTTTAGACACGAACGAGTTATTGTGTGACAACAACACTGTAAAGAATTATCATGTCAATTGGTCAGATTTCTTGGAAAAAACTTGGCTTTCTAGACAAGATCTTTGGTAGAAAAAATTTTTTTTATATCCAACAAAGTTTATAAGGATCTCAAGGCAAATAAATCAAGGTGAACATCGCTAATGACCAAATAAGCTTTAGATGCAAATGCCCTATTGTGTGAGAACAACACTGTAAAGAATCATCATGTCAATCGGTCGGATTTCTTAAAAAAACTTGGCTTTCTTGACAAGAGCTTTGATAAAAAACAATACTAAAGATCTTGTCAAGAAAGCCAAGTTTTTTTTAAAAACTCTGACTGATTGACATGATGAATCTTTACAGTGTTGTTGTCACACAATAACACATTTGCATTTAAAGCTTTTTTGGTCATTAGTGATGTTCACCTTGCTTTAATCACCTTGAGATCCTTATAAACTTTGTTGGAAATAAAGATAATTTTTTTACTGAAGATTTTGTCTAGAAAGCCAAGTTTTTTTTCAAAAATGTGACCAATTGACATGATGATTCTTTACAGTGTTGTTGTCACACAATAACTTGTTCACGTCTGAAGCTTTCACAGTCATTGGCGATTTTCACCTTGCTTTATTTGCCATAAGATCCTTATAAACTTTTTTGGAAGAAAAGAAATTGTTTTTCACTAAAGATCTTTTACTTTTCTATATGTTTAACTTCTAATTAGTTGTACTGGATTGAAGACCAACTCACAGACGTCTCTACTCCATTTCATATGTCAGCAAGTTGGTGTTGGCGGGTCAAACTGTTGGCGACTTGACTGGATACCGCTCATTGAGGTTATTAAAGAAAAACTGATCACAATCTCAAGCACAGAATTAAATGTCAATTCACGTTTGACAATTTTTCTATTACGCTGAAAGGCAACTACCCTGTAAGCCTCTTGGTCAAGTTCTCCTACACCAGGTCCCTCTTGTTTAGCATAGGAGAAACCAATTGATCTCTCAGGGTAAAACAGATGCAGCTAGCAATTGCTGAGGAACAAAGTTTCAACTGTTGTAAATGGTATAAAATAGTTTAACTCAGATCAGAGCTCATTGTTGCCTCACTAAGAACGCATTACCAATCTAGTGCTACCCACAACCTGGTGCCCACAACTCACAATGCATAAACAGTGGCTACTCCCACAGATATTTCACCACATGTATAAGTGTGAAGAAAAGAAAAAAAAAACAGAAAAAATGAAAATCATGGTGTTTGTAACATCCTCTTTGGCAAATCCTATTTTTGCTGAAATTCCAATCTAAAGTTCTCATGCATTCTATATATTTTTGTTTAGATTCTTGCTAACATAAGCAAGCAGGGATTCAGTTGCCTCTCTGATGCTCATGAGTACTTCAATACATGCTATGTTGCTGGTCTTCTCCCAAGAAATTTTGACCTTTCCAAGCCACAGGACAGGACTGTAAGCATTATTTAGTTAGATAATTATGATGGTTTTTGTACTTTATGGGCTTTCTGGCTGTTATCTACTGTCACTCTGGTTTTACATGGGAAATACAGTAGCACCCTGCTAACTTGAACTCAGTGAACTTAACACCCCTCCCCCCCCTTAGTAACTCAAGCAAGATCTGATTTCCCTTGAACCCATTTCTCAGTCATTTACCATCAGCTAACTCTAACTATTTTTTTTGTTTCCCTTTGGGAGTTCAAGTTTGTGGGGTTTCCACTGAAATCATAAAATGAAGACATGCAAAAAAAAGTCAACAATATGAAATATTATTTGTGATTACCTATCCAAGTTCTAACACCAGTAGACAGGGCTCAAATTTATTGGGCAGCACAAGTATGTGGCTAATTTCCATGATTTCAAGCAAACGTTTTAACATGGTCTGCCACAGGCATCCCACATAAAACCAGATCACTTGATGTGCAAACATTAGTTAGGTCATCATCAGTTACTTGACTCTGATGATGGTGACTGTTGATCTCAGTCATTGTACTTCTCAACATTCTCTAACTATATTTCCTGTAATTCAGTTCCTAAGTTTCAGGGGGTAGGGGGTATCAATTTGAGCCTGAAATTAAAAGAAGCCATTTTCCAAGGTTAAGAGTGGCATAGCATTAAAACAATCAAATAAGCCTATGGACTAATTTTTTGGCATGATGGGTTTCTTTCCCAAAGATTCTGTGGAGTCATATTTGAAGGTTTGGTAGAGAAGCTCAAGGGTGTGTAGAGCCTGGCACATTTACATATGTTGGTTGATTTTTTTCAGTTTCACTACGAGGCTCTTCTTTCAGTTGCCTTAGAGCATGGCTTGGTGACTTTCATCACATTATGCATTCAGAAACTGGGGACAGGAAGTAAGTTGAATAACTGATTTAAGTTCATTTCTTGGCATGAAGAAATTAGGGCTATGAAATACTCCAAACCTGTGGTTGTTATAATAATTTGTCTCGCAGTTTCAGTGATTCCTAGTAATGAAAATCTAACACTGTCACTATCATCCTCTTGGGTGACATCAAGCTGTAATCAGTCATTTACTTCAATAATATTGCATAATATTGGATTCTCAATGTATGCCTTACTACCATAATTTCCAGTCATTTACCCGCAGGTAATCTGTTGATTTTGCATTAAACGTGCACCACTGCGGGTAATAGGGAGGTGCAGGTTACATGACAATTTTAAATTCTTCTGGAAGTTGAATTGAAAAAATTTCTCACCTACCTGTGTTTCCACCTCTCAAATGAATTTTATTGTAGTAAAAGTGCCACAAAGCGGCACGAAAACCTGATGCCAACTTGAGTTTATTTCACGCATAATGAGTTGCATGACAAACAAATTTTTATTGGCACATGGCAAGTGGATGTCAGAGGGAATCCATACCTTTACTGAAACAAGAAAAACGAGGAGGGCCACCCATGCCAAAGTCTGCGACTGGGTTGTGCGAGCTTGGGAAGCAGTAAAATTTTTGTCCATCAAGAATGGTTTTAGAAAAGCAGGAATAACAAGTGGCACTGACAATGATGCATCTCAGACATCCAACATCAGTGACGACAAACAAATAACATCTACTCCAATTCTGGATCCTGTACTCGATGCGCAGTTAATGGACTTATTTAATAGTGACACAGAGGATGAAGATTTTAATGGATTTTGAACAGAACTTACTTATCATTCAAGTTTTAACACTTGCCCCAGCTTTCTTTCGACAAATCAACATGGTGCTGAACAATCGCTTGCACAAAATGTGGCCACGAACTCACATTCTGTCAAGTCTGAAATGTTAAGATTTGGGTATGGGCCGCCAGTGTTTTTACTGTATAATTTTATCAATAAAGTATAAGCTAATATTGACAAAGAATTGTGCTTGTGTCTGAATTGAAAGACTGAAATGTATCGCCTTAATGTCACGTTTTCGCCACCAAAAAAGTTGAATAACATAACATGCGGGTTATCCATCAGTGCTAGTAATCTGTTATCTCTTTTTTTCACTGTATGCAATAATTGGCCATGCAGGTAAAGGACTGGAAATTATGGTACATATAAATATTGGTCATCTCATTCACATTCATTCACATTTATTCACATTTATTCACATTTTGCCTTCTAATGGTGTTTAGGATTTCAAAAGTGACCAGGGAAATGTTCAGAAGAGAGCTCCACACTTTTCAGTATTCTTTCTTGTTTTCTAGCAGGATTTGTAGAGTTCATAGTCATCAGGAATCCACATAATATATATATATATATATATATATATATATATATATATATATATATATTCTTTAATGCTTTTAAACATCTTTAGATAGTAGATGTCAATCAGAGTTTTTATTATTTGGTCTGAACTTGAGAAACATCACCAAAGAAAGAAAGAGTACTTTGACCAATGGCGAACCTCTGAATGAACACATATCAAATTTAAAATGCTTTTCAAACCCCTTAAATATCTCACAGTTTTGGAGTACAAAAGTTTTTGTAGCATACAGTACATTACAAGGGGCAAGGCTGTCAATTTTTAGTCAAATTTTTGTTGTTGCAAGAGGTCAAAAAAAGGGCTTTTTTCAGCTTTGATTATTGAGAGCTCTAATAGTTTTATTTTGACATATTTTCAGAAACCACTGTGGTTTTATTTACTGACTACCAAAGATAATTTAATGCACAAAGTTCAGAGATTGCCATTTTAGAGTGCAGGGCATGTGTCAATGTACTTGGCAAACTGATATTGAGTGGTAATGTCTAAAAATTTTCAGCCAAAAACAGCAACAGAAGAAAAACTCCCTCTCTTATTTTCTTTACATATAAATTGGGAATTCAGTGGTAAAATTGCCAGTGTAGTTTGTCTGGACTAGAGATCCAATTCTAGTGACAAATTGAGACAATTCGGTGTACTCCATTTTTTTACTTTTTATTTCCTCTTTTTTTTCCAATTTTTCTTTTTCCATGTTGATGTTACTACTTTTATGGTAAATTTAAGTCATCAGGAGGCAAACATGAGGGAGATAAATGAAATCTGAAATAGCAAGATTGAGTAGTTGAGAATTTTCACCAGTGACATCAATTTTCCTCCTAAAGTTCTCAGTTGTTTTATCTTGATTTGGAGCTGAATTGACTCCCTTAGCCTAAGTCAAAAGGTTTTTCCCTTCCATAACTTGATCAAGTGTACACTTGAACAGAGCTGTTTTTAAGTGGTAACCAAATCCAAAGTATAGTGCTCATGAAAATGTGTACTTTCTGTCCTCTGACATGCATCTAAATTGTAAACTTAGATTGAAGAAAAGTCAAAAGTGAGTGTCCATCCAACTCACAGAAGGATGAAATTAGCAGATATATGTATCAGGCACTTATTAATTTCCTTTGCTGTAGTGAATTCAAACTGTTGCTTATTTTGCTAGCATGACAGCCAAATTATTCAAATTAGTATGTTGAGCAAGCTCCATTTATGTTATGATATAAAATGATCAGAGTTTGTGCATCAAACTTACAGTATTTGCTAGTAGCTTAATAAGTCTTAGATTTTGACCACTTTGAAATGAAAATGTAATGGGACAGAACTTCTAGAACACACCAATTGACACTCTAATCATTTTAAACAGTTTAAATTTGGCAAATTATTGTCCTGCGATGAAAGAGGTGAACTACAATGTATTGAATATCATATTGATTAGCATTCTGTTGATGTTTTATTGAGAAACTCTTTTAAAAAAATGTTTTAAGTTATCTTATATCCTGAGTTTAAAGAGCCTAAGTTATCCAAACCTGTATGCACATTTCAGAACCAAACAACAACATGACCTTCAGTGCAGTATCTTCTGTTTGACATTTTTAAACAACACAGAAATCTCTCATGCATATCTTCTCCAGCCTGGGACTCAGAGTAATCATACCTCATGAGTTCAGTTCCCTTTCAATGTCTGAGCCCTTGCAGGGTGGGCACTATCTTACTATTGTGGTGGCAAGCTGCTTTATCTGATCTTAGAAAGGCCTTTTTTATCCCCAGATTTTTCAACTTTATGGCAACAGAAAGATTTTCAAGGAATGCAGCACTAAGAACCAGTCTTTTTTAACAAGTCTTTTTTACTTCTGTTAAGATGGTGAATGTAGTTGGATACTTCTAGGCTTTCCTCCCATCTTACAACATTGCACTCACATGTCAATTCGTTCCTCTCTCAGCTAACCATTCTGCTTGCTTATCCTGCAACTTCATAGCCATGAACTTCATTGCCTTGATCTCTTCATTTATTTACTTTGTAGCTCTTTATTCCACTTATGAATAACCAAAATTTGAGACACTTGCTTGCCATTATTACACTCAATGCTGTGCCATTTCGTTCAGTAGCCAACATGATATTTCACTCACCAAGTAGCCATTTTATTCAGTTTAAAGCCTGACACACTGTTTGTATTAAAAATTTTTTTTTCTTAAAAAAACTAGGTGCCTTATTTGAATTGATTTCAGATGTGACTCATGCAGGCTGCAGTTTGAAGTTGATACTGGATTGGGCATGGGACCGTGTTGTGGACATAAAAGACCAGTTAGATCAGCTTTGTAAGAATAGTGAATTTCCCTTTTTATTAGGAACAATTGGGAAGGTTGTCCAGATTTTTTGTAGTTTACCCTTATGCTATATGTTTGAAAAAAAAAATTCATCTTGTCTTGTTTGAACCAAGTAATACATGTAGGTAATTTTTAATTAGTGGTCAGAAGTCAGGCTTGATCTTTTGCTAACTAAAGGAATCTGCTTAATGAAAATTTTGAGTGGATTACTAAAGCGTGTAAAAGGGTGCAAGCAAATGGAAGCTGAATGGTCAAATACTCCTACTGACAATAGCCCTTGACAACTGATCAACTAATAACACCAAGTTAGTTAATGTAATAACTAACAGTGAAGTTACTTTGTTGAAGGTGTTCCACTGTTTGATGGAGGAGGTGGCACACCTGATGAGCAGATGCTTTTAATGTTAGACAATCAGAAGGTGCAGCTGGCCCATTTAACAACTGTATTCCAGGCTCTGATAACCAAGTCAGCTCCAACTACCTATCAGGGTAAGGATTCTTAACTTCTATAAGAACATGTTGCCGAGTGACAGTATACTGTAGATTCCTTTCTGAGTGGTGAAGTGGAAGTTGTTTGATAGAGGAGTTCAGGAACCACTAGTGAAAAGAAGTGTCTTTCTTTATCGATTGGACAATAAATTGGCTCTAATTTTAATCTTTTAATTACACTTGGAACTCCATACTTTGTTATTGAAGGTTTGAAGGACTTGGAAGCAAGATACAGTGTTGTTGGAACTCTTGCACTGGTAAGTATTCCATACTACACCCACAGTTGTGCATTTACAATGGTACATTAGATAGGGAAAAAGTGCCCTTGAAGTCCAATTTTACCATCTGGAAGTTTTCATGACTGTATGGTCTTCACCCATATACTACAAACTAATTGTGATTTTCAGATACCAACACAGCACTGTGATTGTATTGAAGAGCTTTTCTCCAATTTTCTACTGTCTGATATTTCACAAATAAATTCTGAAGTTGAGTTTTCAATTGCCTATTGGTTGACAAGGGAGAAGTCCAAATCAACTATCACACAATTCAATTCAGGTGATTTATCTAATTGTCTGAGAAAAAATGTCTATTAGATAATCAAAACTTAACAACAAGTCAGGCTTATGTTTTCATTTTATTTTGTTCACAACCACACAATACTTAGCCACTCACTATCTATTACTGAAAAGATAGCCAGTAGGGCAGCCAATCAGAGTGCAACATAGGTAATAGAATGTAATCACAAATAGGCTTCAAACTGTTCTTAATCTTGGTGGTGGAAGCACCAAACCTGACTCCATGGGTTTGCTTCAATAAAGTGAATTTGCAGGAATGCTGGAGTATTTTGAAGCCTACTGATCAAACCCATGCCACCTGCACAATGTCAGTTCCTAATTTTTTGCCAATCAGAAGCAGGCTGCAAAAGTGAGACAACATTACAGTGGCCACTGTTCTTTTCTTACTAATGTGACTGCTTGTTGATCACTTCCTGGCAGACTCTGATACCACTTCCCTGGCAGACTCTGGTAGGCTGCAAATTGAGTTGACTGTCAAAATTTTTTTCATTGATAACATATTGTTTGAAATGAAAATAGTTTGTGCAATAATCAGTTTGCTGAAATATGGTGTATCCAGGAATTGCTGATGTGAGTCATGACATGAGGCAGGGGGACTCTGTGCTCTTTGTTCTTGGTCATTTTTGTCTGCTTTGATTGTCACTTAACCATGAAGAACAGCAAGCACACATGCATAAGAGGTCAGACTAACACAAGAAGCAATCTCTAGATTTCGACAATGCTGGACTTTATCAGGCTGAAAATAGGCTTGGATTTGCTTTTGAAAATCAAGTTCATTTGGGCAATTGCATAGGAATGCTGCTTGATCAACACATCCCTGGAGAGTTAACAAGTATCTTTTCAACCTTAACACCTTGTAAGAATGTGTTGGATGCTGCTTTGGAATAATGGTCAATCTAATCATACCCAGGGTCTTGACAAAAGCTACAAGTACTACACCTTTTTATAATGAATTGCTCCTTTCTGTCAGAAGCAGTAACTATTCCACATTGTTTTTGCATATACATGTTATCTGCTCTAATGGAACGTCGCCCCTCAGAAGAACTGAACTTTGAAATCACAGCAGTTGATGTCAACACTGACAATTGAGTGACTTTATTACTATCATCTGCATAACCAAACTGAAGTTGAAGTGTCTGAAAAATACATGTAAACACCACAGAACCAAGTCACAAATCCCATATCATTCAAACAGCATTGCCACTTTTCAACTTTGATTGGGAGCTGGAGATATATCTGAGAATCCTGGGCCAACAGTCAAGAGTGAATGGACACATCCTTGTACTAAAGCACTTGTCTGTCTACAGTGTAATAAGTGCGTTCAAAGAAATCAAAAACATTTATTTTGCATCAAATGGATGGATCTCACTCACACCCACTGTGCTGGAGTGGGTAACACTAAACACCTCATTTCATCTCTGCTAAATGAATGGATACGTTCCAAGTACCTTATTTCAGTATCACCCTACTACAGCCAAAATAATTAGACATATCAGAGACATTTAGTGATGACACTGAGGCTACAGAAAACCTGCACCTCAACACTTTAAAGAACAACAGTAAGAATTCGCGAGTCATGCACATCAGTACTCAGTGAAGGGACTACATTCAACAACCTGCTGTTAGCTGTTAACTGTCAACCATTACCCCCTTAATGTTATCACAATGAGTGAGACTTGGCTTAAAAACAGCAAGTTGTTGTTCCAACACATTACCATCCTCAGCTTCATTCATGCCTTTAAGAGCAGGGACAACACCAGGAGAGGGGGCATCGGCATATATATCAAGGGATCAACAAGTTCAACAGACATACTGATCTGGAAAAGTGATACCCTAATCTGGAATACTTGTGGATGGAGATCCTGGGGAGCAACAGACACAGCAGAGTTTTTCTTGGAGCCATTTATTGTTCTGACCTCATATTGCCATACAACGACAGATTTGAACAAATAATAATAATAATAATAATAATAATAATGATAATTTATTGACTTCTAAGGTGCAAATTCTATGTATATATATATTCAAATGCACCGTAACATAATAATTACAATAAACTAATGATGAAATAAAAATAATAATAATGATGATAATTGGAGTACAAAATAACAATTAAATGTGATTCATAATAAATAAGATATATAACATATAACTAATTATTACTTAAAATGTTCTATTTAAAACTTTATCAATGAATAAATAACTATAAAAACTTTATCAATTATAAAATGCTTTCTTGAAAAGAAATGTCTTTAGCTTCAATTTAAAACTATTAATAGAACTAGATTCTCTTATATCCCTTGGTAAATTATTCCATAGCTTAGGTGCTGCAAACATAAATGCCTGGTCACCAAGTGTTGCCTTAGACTTAAAACTAGGATAACTGACTACGGTCTTATCACTGGAATTCCTTAAATTATATCTTGACTTGGGCTTGCGTGTAATTAAATAACTTAGATAAGACTGTGCTAAACCCTTAAAAATCTTAAAAACAATTAATATGATGTTAAATTCAATTTTTAACTTAATAGGTAACCAGTGCAACTCCATCAACAAAGGAATAATGTGACAATATTTACTTTCATTGCATATTAATCTAGCACACATGTGTTGAACACGTTGCAATTTGTTAATTTGATATTCTGAAGTACCATACAATAAGCTACTGCAATAGAAGTTCACTGCCATTCCAAAGACAAAGGAGTGGAAATCAAACAACTACCTCAGGCCTATCTTACTGTTGTTATCAAAGGTCTACGAATGTCTTGTCTTACATCAGATGACAAATTTTCTGTCGCAACATGGCAGTCCTTAAAGACACTCTGAGTGGGTACAAAAAGGGACACAATACCACCACTGTGCTTCTGGCTATGAGGGATGACATTGTGAAAGCTTTGAAGTGGGGCAAGGTTACTATGGCCGTCCTAGCCAACTTCAAAGGCATTTGACACAGTCTGGTATGAGACAGTTCTTATGAAGCACCATAATCTTGGATTCTCCAAGTCCTATTTAAGAGGATAACCAGCTACTTGACCAATAGGAAACAGTTTGTTTTATTGATGAGAAAGCCTCTGAAACCATTGAAGTAGCATGCTACATCCCACAAGGTTCCATTTTGGGGCTGGTGCTATTCAATCTGTACATTAATGATATATCTGACTGCCTTAGACCTGTGAAATCATACCAGTACGCAGATGACACTACCATATACAATCATGCAAGACCCTCTCACTTGATGTCCTGTGAAAAGCAACTCCCATGTGCCCTTGACATGCTTTCTACCTGGTCAGCAGAATCCAACCTGAGCCTAAACCTCAACAAAAATGAAAGTAATAATGTTCTCAACTGAAAAGCTTGCCAGTGTTCACAGTCTCCAGGATTATCAGTTGCATCTCAATGCAAATGGAATTAATCTCGAGAGGGTAAAGCCAGCCAAACTCCTTGGATCAGAGCTACATGAGCACTTAAAATGGAACCGCAACATTCTGTCTAAAACATTCACATGTTATGGTATGCTTGCTGTACTCAGAAAAATGAAGCATCTTGCACCCTTCCATGCAAGAAAACAATTGGCTGAATGTCTTGTTCTGTCAAGAATTAGTTATAATGATGTTTTATTTCATCAAGTGCCAAATTATTTGATTGATCAACTGCAGCATGTCCAGTTAGCAGCTGCCAGTTTGGTCACGTGTGAGTATGCAGACTTGTCAGATATCTTGAAATTGGGCTGGCTGCTTGTCAAACAAAACATGAACTGAAACTTGTGCAAACTTACATACAAGGCACTGAATCGTGAAAAATAGCCTCTATATCTCCCCTTGGAGGTGTGTGTTCACCAGCACACTTTGTGATCCTCATCAGTACTCAATTTAGTTATACCATGGTACACCACAACTTTCACAAGTGAACACCACACCACACCACAACACAACTTTCACACCACAACTTTCACAAGCAAAAGTGGCAATACACCTGCAAGAATAATCAGCCATATTAAGTACAAAAGCTGATGGTCACTGTTAAATGCCTTAGCTAGTATTTGTATATAATTATATTAGTTAGTCATAGTAACTTTGTAAATATGTAAGTTAATCCTTAAATAGAAGCCTTAGATAATTCTTATATATAAAATTAATTATGCAGTATGCACAATTTTGTAATAGTGATAGATTTTTAACTAGTTGGTAGTTAGTTTGTAGCATAGAAGAGCCACCCCTCTGATGGATATGCTAATGAACCATTGTCATTATCATTATCGTTATCATTATCATCATCATCCCATCATCAAACTTTTAAGAAGATTTTAAAAGATAAAGTTATCTAGCACCTGTTCTAACCTGAAGATACAGGGTTTAATAATTATGAATCAAAGTGATTATTGTCTTTTAAAGGTAATTATGGTAAGTCACCTTTTACAAATCTTGAAAAACTCCCTTATATTTCACAAGGCTGTTATTTATATGTTGGCTTAAATTTTTTATATTTATTTCAGTATCTTAAAGTTGTCCTTTGGCTCATTGGACAAGGCTTATTACCTGAACAATCAGGTCAGAATATTTAGACTAGGGTGGTGGCTAAAGAAGAAAACCATTGATTAATTGACTACAGCACAGATATTTGTCTGGTGACTGGCTGTTTTGATAAGCTTTCAATCATTGTTAAGATTTTGTCACCAGCTAATGTTTTTGATACAGTCTTTCTACTGGAAGATGAAGTTAGAGAACAATTGCGATTAAATGATTGCCTACTACATGTGGGCCACATGCTTTGATTGCTATTTCAGAGTTAAAGACCTAAAGTTTGAACTAACTAGACTTTATTTTATCTTCCTCTTTTCTTTTGTTTATGTTGTTTTTTTTCTTCCTTACTTTTTAGAGGGTTCAATTACAGGAAGTAAAAGGTGCAGAAAATAGACAATTTCCCTTAATTAGTTGTTGGTTACATAATAGGCTGTGATGTTGTATATTTGTTAGAAGGTTGTGACTTCAGTGCATTTTCACTGTGAGATCTATCTCTACAAGAAAGTGATTTTAAGTTTTTTAACGGAAAAATGCATGCAGGTTAAAGAACCTTCTGAACTAGAATAAGGATAGCCTTTTTTTTTGAAGATAGATGATCTCATGTAATGTAGGAAAGCCAATTTGTGGAGTGGTAGAATAGACTGGAAAGGTTTGATGGCTCACATACTTGGTTTGGAGCTTTACAGATAGTAAAAGATTATTATCACTTTTATACAGAGGACACTGTTACCCTGCTGTGCCTCTTTCTAGAGCATGTGAAAGCAGACGTAAAGACTTGGAAAACCTTTGTAGTAGGTACGTACATCTTTCATCACTTGGTTAAACAGTAACTACACTTTTTTTACACAGTAGTCTCTGAGAATGTTTGAATTTATATTCAACTCAGGAACTAGTTTGCAGCAATTTCTGAGATACCTTTGTGGATTCAATGTTAAGTCTCTGTAGTCTTTCTAGAAAACATTATCTTATTTCTTAATACTGGAATTTCAAGTTAGTAAAAGTAGCCTTTTTGTGAACGGTTACAAGAATGCCAAAAATTTGAACAGACATGAACTATTTTCATTACCAAATACTTTTAGACAAGTATTTACACAACGACAACCATGTTTGTTTGCCTACACTGTACAGGCTGAGCTGTTTTTTAACTCTTTTTTTCCTACAAGGAATGAGCTGAAAGGTTTTGATAGTTTTTATCAAAATAATCTCTAGGAAATTAAAAATCCTCACAGACATCTCTTACTTATGACCAGATCAGTTTTAGAAAAGCATACATCCTCCAATTCCTGTGACTCTAAAATGCTTTGGCTTGCACAGATGAACAAAGAAACTCTGGTGAAGATATCAAGCTAGGACTTTATGTCAATTTCAATGATTAAAGAATTGAAACTGAATCTCTGCTGAATTTTCATTGGAATTGACATGAGACAAGAAAGTTGGGTCTTGACTTATATTTGAGAGTTTTCAGGATTTTAGTCAATGAGCTTAGTCCATCACTAAGTCTTGCAAGTTTGAGGGTCTCACCTCATAGCCAAGCTTAGCTTATAAGAGGATAATCACAGTATATCCTTTATGTGTGATTGAAATGGACTGAAACAAAGACCTCCATGTGGAGTTATGTACAGAACACTTAAAAGGTGACATGTGCCAGCACTCATAGAGCAGTGATGTGACAGTCAATATACAGACATTTACTTCTAAGCACATAGTAAGTGTAGGATTTTGGAAACAGCTTCTGCTTGATAGCACAGTTTAGGGTTCTGCTTGTGTTTTCCACCAAAAGATTTTGCATAAATGTAAATAACTACAAATGTCAGCTTGATAATTCCTGCTACCATGTTGAACTCTATACAATTATTGTGAGCTAATGGTTAGTTATTAACCCTTTAACTCCCAGTTCAAATTTGTAATTCTCCTTACTATCAACTATAAAATTCTTAGAATGTTAGTTCTAAGAATTTAGTATTGGATCAACTAATTATTCTCAAGTTTATATATTTTTTTATTCTTTTCACTTATCTGATTGATATTGTATTGATATTATTAGGAGAAATTCTGCCTTGGTCACTCATGGGAGTTGAAGGGTTAAACAATTATTCCGCAAGCCAGCATTGCATGTGAGATGATAATCATCTCATATCCGACAAGAAAAAATTGAATTATTCTTTTATTACAAACACCCCAAAATAATAAAACCGTTACCATGATTGGTATAATAGCTCATAACCTATGATGGCTAAGTCAATGAAATCTCTTGATTTGCATTATCCAATGATCCAGTTTTTAAAAATTGCAGCTTTACACAAGAAAACAATTAAAAAAATAAAACAACAACATACTGGAGTATAAGTATTTGTAAATATAATTGTTTTTGTTAATAGAAATATTCCCTCAGGCAATAGCAAGGAGAAATTTTTTTCTCTGTGCTGTATTTTGACAAAGTGCTGACTACTGGCACTGGTGTTATGTGAAAAAATATTTTTCTCGATTTGCAAAAATTTTCTGGAATTTTGAAAGATTTTTGGCATGGTAAACCATTTTTGATTTTCATGAAAGTTATTTGTGGATCTATGAATTAAACCAGGCTTTGAAATTTATTTCTTGATTTGACAAACTTTTTAAAAGCAATTTGTCTAAAAGATGTTGATTCTAAATATGTTTTCAGATTTGCAAAATATTTTTTAATTGTTCCTTTTCAGCTTCTATACCTCATTCTTGTTATTCTGTCAGAATAATTTTGCTATTATGTCATAGTCACCCTGGCTCAGTCGGCTTGATGGTAGACAAAGTCATTAACCAACTTGGCTTTCAAGGAGTGAGCCAGTGGATATCTAAGGGAGGTAGCCAGCAGTACCCACCTAGCAGTTTACATGTATGTTCCTATCATAGAAAGTGTACATATCTTTGTCTGAATTTGGGGCAAAATTTCTGTTTGCCGAGTGGCCTTGACAGAAGGCATTATTTTCTTTATCATGGGCACTTTTGGTAATCAATAGAGCATGATTGGTCATTAAAAGAGAAGTATGCTCCAGAAATTCTACTGAGTAAGAAAGAGATCTTGGCAGTAACGAACACTAATCAAGCAGTACTGAAAACAAGGCCTGAAAAAAATTCAGGCCTGTATGAGATTTGAACCCATGACCTCTGCTGAGCTAACAAGCCAAGTGGGAGCTGGTCATTATGTTGGTTCATAATGACAAATTGCAAACCAACATAACGACCAGCTCCTAGGTGGCAGAGCACCCCACCAGTATTGCAGAAGTCATAAGTTCAAATCATGTACAGGCCTTGATTTTTTTCAGGCCTTATTTTCGTTGCTGCTTAAGTAGTGTTCATTACTTTGAATATTGCTTTCATATTCATTTCTTAATCTGTGTACAAGTGATATATATATGTTTAAGTATAAACACTATTTATAAATTTGGGAAGAGGCACATACCTTTAACTCTAAATGTTCACCTTTCTGTGGCTGAAATCTTTTCTAAGCTTGATGTGATTTGGTGTCAAGAATTCTCCCATTCAAGATTTAATGATGTGTTTGCAGATGTCAGTTTTTTAGTTTGTAGGAACAATTGCCTTGAAACTTGAAACTTAAAATAAGTAAACATCTATTATGAGCCCTTATCATGGTGTTAAGCAACGAAATCTGTTTTAAACTTGTTATTCATTTGGGAAAACTACAGGGTACAAAGTTACACATACACCTGTTGCCTAATACTGTATTAGGCAGAGCAGCCAAAAAGTCACCAAAAGATGGCTGAAAATTTCTGTGCAACAATGATAAGCCTACTTTTACTGTTAAATGGGTCTTTTTACGTTCCTTAGTTTGATTTTTGTATTTATTTTCTTACCTGCAGTTATGTTAGAGTTTTGAAAATTTTTCTTTTTAGAGTCTGTGCAGTCTTTACCTTCTTGAAAAGGTGCATCCTAAATGGAAACATGCCATTGTATCCTTCATGTATAACTTGGAAATGACTTTCCTTAACTTAAATCACTTTTGGCTGTGGAAAATGAATAAATCACTTGTTTATTTGATTCAGCCTCATTTTTTCTGTATTTGCAGCAGCAGCACCTTGCTATTATCAAGCAATTTCTCGCATATACTAAGACATTAAACGCTCCTATTTGTGAGGAATCTTGGTTTATATAATAATGTTATGATTATACTGTAAATGTTTTAGTTAATAAGTAGTTATTTTGGCTGCACTGTACATTTGTTACAACAGTTAATCTGTACATGAATGTATGTAATTCTTTAACTGCTTTTAGGTATTCTATCTGTTGCTTGACTTATGTTTTCTGGATACTGAACTGCAAAGTAACGAGGTACAATTTTTTTTTTTTTTTTGCATTTGAAGATTTTCTTTACCATAGAATTATACGTACACTGTATGCCCTTTGTTTGTAAATACTTGGATATACCTATTTTTGACATGGTTTGATGCTATTCTGGTTTACAGATTTAGTGAATGTAATCATAATTATTTGCAATGTCATGTCAGCACGATGAGGGTCCTTATAGAATGATAACAGTGATCGTATGTTATCAATAAAACATTTTTTTTCTTTTTGTATGGGTATCAGGTGGCCACCAAATTTGCCAAAGCATTCAGCATGTCAGAGGATTTGATCAAACTCATTCAAGGATTTTGGCTTCTTGATCACCAAGACTTTGAGGTAAAGATTTATCTCGTTCTGCTTCTTTGCAGTGGACACATAAGTGTTGATTTTTAAATTTGACAATATCAATGAGAGATTGTCTGATCCACATGCAGTGGGTTGTCAGCCAAGTAAAAACTATTCTGGAAAGCACGATTTTTGTCATTGGAAAATCAATCTCAATTCAATTAAGAAGTTTATCAAGCCTAACATCTTCTTGGAAGTTTTGGAGCTGAGAAAAAAAAATGACACAATGGAACCCTCAATTCAATTAATGAAGTCACCTTTTTATTACAGACACTTTTAATGAAAATTCCTGGTGTGCTGAAAAAATCTTGTTAACCTTTTAAAAATAATTTTAAAATCCCAAAATCATCTTTTTTCACCCTTTTGAAGCATTTTGGCTGAAAACAAAAACCATGAAATTTTATCAAACTCCGTCATTTTTTACTCAAAAAGCTGGTTTTTTTTAAAAATAAGTATACAAAACTCCTCCCTTTTTCATCAAAACCCTGACAAAGTGAATGAATCTTGACACTAACATCCGCTAAGGTAACTTGCAAAGCAATTTAGAAATTTCACCCTGCCCTGGTGATACACAGCCACCCCATTAATAGGGTCAATTTGTTTTGGCCCATTGGTGATCATATCAACGAAGTTCCACTGTATATCTAAATTTAGTCTCCACTAAACAGCGCGTAAACAGCAAAGCTTGTTGACAAATAAGTTTATTTGTGGAAGGCCTGTATGACATTACAATGTCAGCAAGAGCTTATGCGAACAAGGTAAAGTAAATTGTCGAGAGTGAACTTTGACAGTTCGTCTTAAAGAGGTACAACATGCTACCACAGCTACTAACATGATGTCCATGCAAAACTGGCTGTTATCTGCACAATCTTTCCATACGACTGCCAGCTAAGCTGAGAAATCCACTACTGTGAACTAAAATCTAAAACTAAAACTACAAGTACAATCAATCATGCCAGGTAGGCATGATTGATTGAAAATGAAACAAACTTAACGTAAAACTATCAGTTAAGCTTGGAAGTCCATTACTTTGGACCAAAATCTCTCATATACTCACGTGTACTAATCACACATGCCATTAGAGTAACAAACTCACAATCCAACAAGCTTTTCATAAGACTGCCAGTTAGGCTGAGAAGTACACTACAGAATTCTCATATGTTCAAATCATACATGCCAGTTGGGCTGATGAATCTTAGAATTACGTAAACCTGGCGTACAAATGCTAGTTAGGATGGAGAGTCCCCTATTTGAACCAAAAAGTCCCCTCTTGTAAAGGTATACAAACGAAACATGCCAATTAGGCTTAAAAAAACTGCCCAAAAAATAAATAACAAGGCTACCAAGGAAATGCAAATAACATGATGTAAGGAGTCTATAGTTAAGAGCAATAGTACCAATCTACATGTCACCGAAGTAGAACCACTGAAAAGCACCTTATATGAAACAGCCTAAGTTAAAGACATGTATAGAAACAAAACAAAACAAAGAAACATTGGATACATCTAGTAGATGTAGCTGAGAAACCAGTAACAATGTAAGAATGATTAGAACAGAGGCCAGAAAAAGCAGGAAATCTGTGTAGACCAGAGGCCTACGGAGGCTTGACAAGAACAAAACTAGCTGACTATAACATTAAAATTGAACTAAATGGAGCTCTGACTCCAAGGTTGATTAAGAGACCCAGATGACTATCACATGCTTACGCTTTCTTATATACCTTTAGTTTCCTACCTCGTGATGCACTGGCCTGGTACCCAGGCCGTGCAGTGTCTCGTGCTGACAAAATGTTTATTTCAGCCTTCTACCCAAACTCATTCGTCAGAAATTGCATTTCCTTGGTGTTATGTACTGATCATATTGGGACATCCTTTAGCCTCTAACCAGAGCAACAATTTACCAAGTGCAATTATTGTAATTTTAGGCTGCACTGACTACCTTACTTGATCCAGTAATAGTAACTGAACTTGGTCCCTGGCAGAGAAGTTTTATTATCAGGACTCTACTTGCACAAGGTAAAAAATTGCAATGCTGTGACAATTACAGGGCAACCGCAATAATGCATGTTAAGTTATCTGAGAAAGTGTCCTAAAGTACATGTAAAATTTCAAACTTAGGAGTTTTGTTTTTAGCCACATCTAATGAATTACCTCGGACTATGCATGAGATATACATCCAGTACAGTTAGAAAATACATTATTTTATTCAATTGGATCTGCATGCTCAAAAACCTGAAATGAACAAAATTGTTTAATCACCCAAAATGTAATAATGGAAATGAATGAGGCAACTGAAACAAACTAAAGGCAAATTTGTGGAAACAAAAAAATGAGGCTACAAAACCACTTCCTCAGGTTTCAAGTTATCAAGTTTTATTTTCTTTTTTTGTTATTAATCATTGTTGTCCCCTGAATGAAGTGGCACTTTGTCTCAAACAAGAAAGCAACATGTAAGAGTTTTGTCAAAAAACTCTCTGGCATTTCGGTTTACTTTGAGGTGGCCAGGTGGACAACACAGGACAATTCAAGTAAATTAAGTGCATGCTATTGTGAACTAAACAATTTTTTTTTTCTACCGGACTGAAAAAGATTTAACCAGGCATATCATCAGATACACCCTTTGGAAGCTACAGTTTAATTTTACTTACTTCATTTTGACTAGCGTGTCCTACCACTGTGCTTGTGCATTTGTGTCATTCTCTGTTTTTCTTTGGATGGTAATGGGGGAACTCTTTGTAAATGCTTAATTATAGCGGAGCTCGCAGAGCGTAGCCCCTTAATTATACAAAATCAAGCCGAAAAAATTTGGTTGTACGACCGTACAAGGTGCTACTTTAAACATGCGTGGTCAACTGTACCGCGGGCACGCCAACGCCACGGCTTTGTCCAGTAGTCCAGTGGTCAGTGTACTGGGCTCCGAGTCGGACGACCCGGGTTCTAGTCCTGGCCGGGGCAAGGTGTTGTGCCCTTGCGGGAAAAAAAATGCGAGCTCCGCTTTTAGGCTTGGCTAAATCTATATATTAAGCTTGGTCATAGATTAAAAGGAAACACGATGCATGACTATTTGACTGGGAGACAAAGGCAAAATCTGTGTTCTTAATTTTCTTCTTGTGGTGATGTGACTCTAAGACCTTTTCAATCACATGCCCCACAACTACAGTAGTTAATGAGAACTCATACGTTACCAAGGCACAGAGAGTAAATTTTTGGTAATGTACAGAATTATGCCAATTTTGTGGGGAAAAAAAAAGGATTTCTGTAGGAAAAATTACCAGTTTGAGTTCTTACACATGTGTGCTTATTAATCTTTTACTGGATTGGTGTTTTGAGGAATTTTAAACAAGTTAATACATGTACTTTAATTTTAAAGTGTTTGTGACTTTATGTTCAGGGGAGCCTCAAAAAGCATTGCACTACATGAAGGTCATATTTCCCACTATTCAGGAGTTCAGTGACGTCATGTTATATATCACTGCATTATTGACCAATGGGTAAGATCTCCAGTTATTTTTTGGTACATTGATTTAATCTTCATGTAGAGTGAGAGAGGGTCTGAGTGGGAGACAGAATTGTGGCCTTTTTTTAAATTATATTAATATATATATTTAATTAATTAATATATTGAATATTTAATTTTTTACAATATATATTTATTATATGTGGCCTATGTTGCATATTTTTAATATGTTATCATATATCTCAGATAGTATGTGCGCCATGTTTTTTCGATTTGGCAGGCCGTATTTGACCGCGCCTCTCACAAAATGCAAAAGTTTGTTTGAATTGTAGTCTTCTCCCTCTTATTGAACCAGTGATATAATAAACATGTAAGTAACTGACTAACCTCGTTTTTTTCAGTCCTTACCGAAACATAAGGAACCTCGGGCCATAAATACGAACGGAAAAACCTTCCAAGTCCTCTTAAGAAGTTTCACACGGGGCTCGATATCATGAACAATTGACTCTCAACCAGATAAAAAAATCTGCGGGTGACATGCACTTTAAATTGACAGTACTTTTGACAAAGGCAACTTATATATGAACCAAGTTGAGCCTAATGAACCTTATTCACAAAGCACAATGGGATGAGGTTGACGTCTTTTTTTCCTTTTTTAGAAAAGTAATAGAGGCATATCAGTTTCAGGTAAGACTACATGTAACACTCATTTTGATCCTTGTATACGCTTTTTAAAAGAGCACATCATCTTGCAGAACAGAAATTTCCGTATTGTGTCCTTTAACATCTGGCTTGTTGATTTCCAGAAATGTCATCAAAATGCGAGAAGAGGCAAAGAGTTGCTCTATCATTTCTTCAGTAGCTGTCAGCAGAGTGAGTATACTAATTGTTTTCTTTTTGCCTCTGACATGAAGTAAATGATGGGATTATTAAGCAGCTGATGTGTGTTAGAACCACCCTCTGGAATGATCAATTATTTAAATGTAAAATAGGCATAAATAAGGTAAAGTCAATACCTTGCCATGTCAGTAACTGTGCAAACAAAATAAATCTTATCAAGGACTATCAAAATCAAAAAAGAAAATTTGGGATAGCCACACGACATTCCGCAATGAATAAGTTTAAAACCTGAAAATAGTGCCGATGTTACATTTTAAGAAAGGGAAGGAAAATTAAATTTCCCAGCCAATTCTATTGGAATCGGCTATTTGTTTTAACAAAATCAGCAGTGAATATAAGAATCTTTAAATTAACAATTGAATTAGGGAAAGTTTTAACCCTGATTACTCTCACTTGCACAACCAAACCTACTGTCTGAATAGTTTTTAACTGAGTGCAAAATTAATTTGTGTTGTCATCAGAAATAGGGTAAACTGCTCGTTTTTCTAAGCTATTTTAGGACATTTAATTTGTCATCATACCTTGTTTTAGCTTTCCTTTGTAAATGTTCATGGGGACATATTGTCCACTACGTTCTATTGTTTGGTTTGGACCAAAGGCGTCACGATAGGACCAGTTCGACTTGTAAAATAACGAGGACAAAGCCTTTCACTGGCAAATGAATTGCTACAAATATGGGAAATGTTGGTTTCTTGCGTGATCATTGCAGGAGCTTAGTTTTTTAACCCACGCGCGAACCCATGATGCGCAGCCCATGTGCACAGTGATAATAGCATGCACCGTCCTGAAATGAAAGGATTTCAAAATATTTTACGGAAAAGAAAATGTTTCCCCTTGTTAAACTGTTGTCCTTGTATGAAGATAATATTAGCTTAAAGACTATTGATGGAACCGATCAGAATTCTGATTGGTTCGTGGACTCCTAGTCTATCATCCCTAGTTCGCAATAAAAACTGTTTTTGTTTTTACCCCTTTGATCCGTCAAAAAGAGTTCCATCAGGTTTCCTTTTACAGTAATAGTTGACTTTGAAAAGGAAATAATTCCTGACAATTACAGTCATATCATTTAAGTGATTGTTATCTGCTTTTTTAAAATTTTTTTCTAAATAGCTCAAAACATGACCAGACTCCTACAGCTCCCTCTAGAGTTTACCGAGGAGGTTTGTTTATGGCTTGTACAATATTACACTGCTTAAACGATTGCAAGTTTATTGAGATTGTTCATGATAATAAGGAGTGGGGAATTCTCAGAGATTTGCCGGGAGTTTAGATGTACTCCCGAGATAACAAATTTAACAACCTCCAAAGCCATAAATAATTAGTTAAAGCTCTGAAGAGGTCTCCATCAGAGTAAAAAAATTAAGAGAACATTTAGCTGTGATTCGGACTGATGTCTCAGTTGAGCACCACCCCGACTTTGAATGGAAAGACTGAATGAAATTTTGGTGTTTTTTCCTTCGCAATTTTTTCTCTTTCCAACACCTACGGTAACCTTTTTGAAAAGGTATGCAATTTTGACTGAGTTCGTGAGGCATCATTCCAACCTGGATGAGACAGAGAAGAACTTGTATCACTCATGCCTGTGATAAATCAAGGGAAGCCACCTTGAATTGAGTGGAGAACATGTATTTTTGTCTTTGAGTCAAAATGGAGGAGGCACTCGCATTTTTCATTCTATGCTTAATGTAGCACTTCTTCCACCTTTAAACATTTTGAATGCTAGGTTTAAAAGGTTTTTGCTGTATACCTTGTATGAGTACAAATGCCATCAATGTATTCAGGCTCATGCGTATGTACTATTGATGCGATAATTTTCGTTTTGTAAGGATTTCTTGGCAAATTTTCTTCAAGAAGAAACATTTCCACATTCCAAGGAACTGCTCGTGATGTACTACTTTCAAAAAGGACGTTATGTGGAAGGAATCAGGCTAAATGAGCTCCTCAAAAAGGATAAATTGGTTTGTTATAGTAGGAACTTTTTGTGTTGCGTTCTTGTATTTTAGAGGGATATTATTATATCTGTATTAAATTTAATTGTCTTGGAAGGGTTTTGGTTAGTTATCACATGATAATGGTAGCTGGTTTAGCGTTTATCTCACGATATAGTCAGTTCTTGTGTGGATTGCGACATCAACACAACCTTAGCTAGAAGCGTGTCCGCAAAAATTTGCAACATATGCGCTGTTTTTAACTTGGAGACTACGCGTAGACCGCATTCGGGAGTCCATGCAATTATGGCCGGGTTTATTTCGGTGAGAGCGGAAAACCCATGAAGGGAAGAATCATTCAGTATACCATAGACGTCTTAGTCACTTGCATGCATACCAAGGGAACAGTTTATTGACCATGATTCTCGCTAATACACATCGGTGGTAAAACAGGCCATTCTAAGAAGTCAGGGAATATAAATTCCAGAAGCAAGTTTGCTAACAATATAGAAACACAACAAACAACAGAAGAGCAGAGTGATGGCCAAACGCTAAAAGAACTGATCACTGAAATCCGCACACAGTGTAATGCTTCCAAAGGTGACATATGACAAGTCCACTTCATCACCCGAAGGAAACCACGCGGTCGAAACGTTGTGAAACAAACTGTAAATACCTAGCTATTATAATTTTTTTTTTATCTTTAGATAATTCTTGGTTTCTTGTTTTGGTTTCTTGTTTTGCAAAATCTACAGCTTTGCTACTTAACCCTTGCATTGAATGAAGCTTTCAGTCATACTACATTTTGTACTGATCTACCTCTACTAATGTATTAATTTTTAGGTTGAGCAAGATGAGAGAGCAAAAGTGAGAAATGCCCTGGCTGACGCTTATTTGAGATGTTTACCAAGAGTACAACGCAAACTTATCTTTGGACCTGAAAAGACATTGTCTCAACAACATGTGACCTTGACTGAAAGTACGCACAGTATACAGTATACATTTTGTCAAACGTTATGGAAAATTTTAATTTATTTCTCCTTATGACTTGCGCCGACTTATGACTTAATTAGATTGATAAGGTGCTAGATCCGTGTGGCCACTTGTGTTGTAGATTGCAACATATAGACTGCATGCTGCCAGTTTTAATTTGGGGTGAGGTTGACTTGGTCACCTGTATTTGATAATCGCTTGGATTTTGGTGACAAGGTCAGTTGTTTTTTGTTGTCAGTCACCTCTGTTTCGGCAGTTGGTTTCCTTGGCTGTCTGCCGTGAGAGACAACCTTCTCTTTACTGTATTTAGTGATTGTGGTCATCCATGCTTGTAAAATTTACATTCAGTAATTTCATCATCAAGTTGATGATGTTATTTGAGTCGCATCTATGACAGTACGTGCTCAACAGTAAATTACAGAGGGGCTGGCAGTATGCAGTTGAAAAATTGTGAGTGACACCACATCATTACACAAATCATCGTACTTTATTTTTGTTCTTCACTGAAACGGCATAGTGCAATCTTTCCGATTGATTAGTTTGTTTTCCTCGGCGGATTCATTGAATAGGGAGAGTCTTGTTAAAGGTTCGAGAAATAACTCAGATATGAGTGTGTCCTAGCTTGTGGATCGAAATAGGCGGGGCTATTACTGCAAATAAACTAAACTTGTATAAAGTATTTTAAGGTATTTTAAGTTCATATTATCATTTTGTCAATGGTTAGAGAAAGAAGTTCAAAAATGCAGCTCGCTTACTGCGATTGAAATGCGGTTTGTGTGGGTTTTGCATGGGCCTTATTATTACTCTTTCTCAAAATGGACGCACCTGTGATACATGAGCCCATGAGCAAGGTTGTAATATGGCTAAAAAGTTATCTGCTCAAAATTACTCAGGCCAAAAAAAATTGACGAAGAAGTCACATGCCTACACTGTAAGCAACAGTCACTTACAGCTGCTCATTCTACCGTAATTGTTTGGCCATTTGCAGTTCCACGACCCAAACCTCTGTCGACTGTTGTACACAAAGTAGACAAAGGCAATCCAATCTCTCGTGCTGTTATTTTGAGCTCAGCTATGAACAAACTGCAGGAATTAAGGTAACACTGATATTTATCATGTATGACGTTGAGCTAATATTTTTATGTTTTTTGACAATATTTTAATCTATTTTACACATGGAAGATAACATCAGAAAGAGTTTCAATAGCCTTACACTCACACAGGAAACTTCAATTTTTTGTGATTTGTGACACGGTTTTACCCAAAGCGAATGACATCTGCCACATTGTTCCGTCATAGCAATGGTTAATCTAACTCTTTGCAGATCAGCAGAACAGCTTGCATTCCAGAAAGAAGCAGAACCTTTCATCTGTACTTCAGTGACTCCAAGAACAAAAAGCAGCTTCAGGTAACACCCAGATCGTGGTATATTAGACAATACCCTGTCGGCTGTTTAGAAAAGCACTAAACAAGACTGAGCTTTACGTTTACCAGGACAATAAAAATAAGCAAGAGTCTTAAGTCTAGTCTATCCAATAGGAGGGTGCTAAAATTATGTCATAGAGAACTTCTGAATAATAATGGGACTACTTCATAGTGTTCAAAACTAAAAATTTAATTTTTTGTGTCTAAAAAGTATGTAGGTATACAGGTTTGAATAAACGTGTCCATCTTTAGGATGTTTGCTTTGTTGTTCTGTTGTCTTAAAATGCTGATTTTCTCGATATTATAGCGTCCAAAACAAAGTCTGTTGCTCACAGGTGTAAATCTCAAAAACTAGCATTATAACGTTATTTTTCTTTCAGTATTGAAGCATCATGAGGGATGGCTAGCAAGGGACTTCTTAGTAGTTATTCATAATTGAATTTCAGTTTCTCTTTGTAAAAGGTTGTTAAGAATAAGCATGTCTTTTCCTAGTGATTCAAATAAGGTGGGGGTTCTTTACGCGTCAGAAAATAAACAACCTATGGAGGATACATTGGCAAGTAATAAGGTAATTCCCAAACTTGAATGTATGGGCAAACTAGCTGGACTGAAGCATTTTTTGAAGGAGTAACTACAATACAAAATTCAAATTCATCGCTGTGGTGTCTAACAGACCAATAGAGGATTCAATATTTTGCATGTCTTATTGAACATGATTGATCTTGCGATATACTGCAAAGGAACGGTTCTTTAGGCTCATAGTAGCTCAAATACATTTGTTCAAGGACATTAAAGAATTACCAAAATTTGACCCTCTCTGAAACCTGAGGTGAAGAGAGTTCCAAAACAATGTGTTCAGTCATCAAAACAGATCTCTTGAACAAAATGTCGACTGTTCAATAATTGCATCAGTAGCATAAATTCATTCTTTGAGGTTGAAATTACCTCACTATTTCAGGTGGACTACCATGTACTTTCAATGAGAGATAACCCATACCTTTTTCGATCACTCTTCTTCATCTTTGTTGCAGTTGTAATGGTTGGTAATAATAAGTGAGAGGGGCTCTCGGGGTTTACCTTCAGCAACTCTCTTATTTGGTTTTTTTTTAATGCTGTTCACGCCTTGCAAATAATGGATTTTCCTCCACTGACTTGTCAACAATTTCTCTCAAGTAGCCATCACCACAACTTAATCATCTTTAATTCCATCTATCTACTTGTTTCTTAGTCTGAGAATGGAAACTATTTAAAACAAGTATCCTCACCAACATTTCTGGATAAGAGAAGGTATGATATATACTCCTTTACCGAGGAATTTAGCTTTTCTGTTAGTTTGTTGGTTTCATTGGTTTTTGTTTTTTCTACTTTGTTTTGTTTGCTTCTCTGGTTTGTCCTGTTTCTAAAGGACTAAATAAGTCGAATCATGGAATTAGTTCCAACTGCGTTGGGAACATGATGACAATTCATTTTATAAACTTCTAAAATAGTTAGTCTTCTCTCTTTTTGAATGGTAACATTTCATTTATCTAGATCTTTCACCAGATTCGGAAATAAGAAAGAAAAGTATTAATATAAATTAACTCAACTACTAGAAAAGATTATGCGAAAGAACATAAAAAGGACAGGTGTAGTGTAGAGTGTAGGTGCTGAATTTCTTTAGCTTTGAACTGGTATTGGCCTATGGACGAGAGGCTAGAGGAATTTCTCTCTCTCAAAGAAAATGAGACCATATCTGAAAGAACGCTGGCAAATCCTGAATGCAAGTTTTTTGAAACCTAATCATTCCGGCCATCCCAATTGTAAACTAATTTCAGTACAATTTTTGTTTCCCCTAGTATTGTTCTCAAGACGTTTGTTTTGTTTAATTTCTTTTTTAAGTCGGCGGCAGTTTTTCTCTGGTGCTGAAGCTCTTTCGTTGTTGGCCACTCCTCCAGTCGTGAAATTAAACCCGGTGAGATATATACTTTTTTTAATGAATTTGAATTTAGCATGTTCACTTAATGTATTTCTCGTTTGAATTTTTAAACATGTTCTGCTGTACTCTGAGTAATTTTGTGAAATGAGTTCATGCACGTGTAAGCTCTTGTCTCACTTTTTGCCAGACGTCTGCAAGATCATCTTTGGGAAAACCGGAAGGAGTTAGTATTGCTACCCCACAGTCTATTTTAAAGGTAATAACTGCGGTTAGAGAACGTTAGTAAAGTAACAGAATCAAATATTGTTTTGCAAAGCTGGCACTGTTTTCTCCCGTTACTTGTAAGCTTCCAAAGTAACTTTCTTCTGAAAACTATTTTTTGTTCATGTAGATAACAAGAGTATTGCGTCGCCCCTCCCCTCAACCCTCCCCCACATCCTCTCCTCCAACAACCAGGCGTGGCTCCTCTGATCCACTGCTATCAAAGTCTGTCGAAACTCAAGGTTGGTCCCATTTTGTACCATTTACTGGTCTGTTTATATGCACTTCCAGGGATCTGCTTATCTATGTATTCTCGGCTAGTCACTTCTTAAAGCAGTTATTAATATATATTCTAGCAAACTTGTTATATTCGCTTCAGCTGTTATAGATATAAATGTTTAAATGTGGTCCGATAGTCCGGATAAGAGTAGTTCTGGAAAGGATTGTTGTCGGTGACAGACCGATTTTGCGACAACCTCACTGGGAGTTTTCAGTAGAGTCAAGGGCGGTCTTTTCAGTCGATTGTTTAACTTGGTTTAGGGAAACTGGTCGGTCAGTTTTGCTATGATGGTATTAGATGTCTGAAGGATAAACCAAAAGTAACCTTAAGAAGCAGCGTAGAGTGCATCTCTCACAAGTTATGTGAATACATGTCATGCAAATTTCGAATTACACCCGCACAACTCCCGTAACAAGTGCGCCATGATCCGTCCGGGAACAACATGAATAACGGCTTATTCGGAGTGATGTCTCCCTGTTTTATTTGTTATCTAAATTTTACTTGTACTTCTGAAAAGCGTACTTACTTTCACATGAAACCAACGGTATAAGTGACCAAACAAATTAAGTATTGTATCCCACCTACCATCTTGATCCTTAGGTGGCTATCAAAAGGGTGCATGGTGTTCAGTGAAATTATTCAGTTCGCTTGTCTTCAATCGCAATCATTAAATACAACTACCAAGAAAAACGATGGACTGGTAGACAGTTCAAAACATACCAATTTATCCTTCACTAGTTTGTATTGAAATGCATGAAGTTGTAATGAAACGGCTTTCTAAGTGTATCAAGTTGGCTTTGTTAATGTATCAAATCAATTTCAGTTTGTATCTTTTCCACTTGTATAAAAAAAAGTGTTATTGAAACAACCGCAGTCTGACCTAAATATGTCGTTGCCAGTAGTTGTATACATCTTGTGACAGAAGGTTCCATTCAAACTAGTTGTTCAAAGTCAGTTAGCGAAAAGGATTGGGCTGAAGGTTGAACATTGAGCAAATTACTAAGTTAATCGATAGATGTGATCCGTTTGTCTGATGACGTTCACCATTTCCTCATTGGACAATCGCCGTGGATGTTTAATAAATACATGACACAATCCACATTAGTTCAAATTATCCGTTTGTTACTGAAGTGATGCCTGTGCATGTGGTGTTCTGGTAGACAGGGTATACTGCACCGCTTTTCTTCACTTTGGTCCAATATTTAGTGTGTTTTTTTCCTTAGTGTTAGTTGTATGTCGCCAAAAAAAATAGATAGAAGAAAAAACGGTAAAGGAGCCGAAATGGAATGAAAATAACTAAGTAATTCTTTATTCTAGCTATTGACGGTGTCATTCAGAATGACGATTTAACAACTCCAAACAGACGTATAAGGTTGGTAAAATACTGATTCAATAATTTTGTGTTGGCGGTCTTACCCAGAGGCCATTAAGATTAACAGCTTGGGATAATAAGTAGGCAAAGCCTTTACCTCTTATCTTTTCTTTAGTCATCAGCTGTAGCTACTCTTTGATTTTAGAAACATGTTTACCCGGGAACCGTGCAAAAAGTCTTTTATTTCCTCTGTTCAGTGAGTTACATAAGATAATCGTAGTCTTTGGCCAATAATCTCCGCTGTTTTCCTCAGATTTGCCAGTGAAAATGCTTCATCTCCTTCCACAAGGTACAAACATGCACGTGTATTTGAACATAAATGTAATGATAAACAGGTTTTTATCTACCAAACGATAGTCTCAATAATACGGGCTTATGTAAAATGATTTGCATAGACACATGATAACAGAACTGTTATTGTTAACAATTTACACATGATAAACTAATAGGATTATGCTTCACCAGATTTTGTGAAAGAGACTCCTCATCTTGTTATTTTCTATAGAAATCATGAATTTAGATCATTTCATTAATTCATTCATCCTAGCTGAACTAAGCTATGGTAGACAGTTGCATTACGCATCTCCGCTGGACTGCTTTCATTGATTACAGGATGTCGTCAAAGGAGCGGAATAACGTGATGAGTAACAAATCTACCAATCTGGACCAGCAATTTTAGCGGTGTTGTCCTTTAAGGGAGGGGGTAAACCAGAAGATATTTTAGGTTCTCTTTTTTTCATCATGTCAAATTATTTTTTTCTTGTCTGAAGTGCCCATTATCTTTTGAGAAAATATCACATTCTAATGTAAACAACATTTGAAGTCAGCTGCCATTGTAAAATAATGTTGATAGTTAACTACCTCCCTCTTTTGTTTTTTCAGTCCTGTGAAGCATGTTTCAACATCTTTTCCCTCAAACAAAGAAACCGTAGACTCGTCTGAAAGTAATGTCATTGGCATGACACATGATGAGGATATTGCTGTGGATAATTTGTCCCAGAACTTTACACCACTCCAGCCATCTGACCCACAGTCAAAAACACAAGGTATCGCCAACATGAAGGTCAACCTGTTCTTATAATTAATGTCATACTATCAAATACTAAGTCGCAGACACTTGGGACGGTCCTTGCCGTTTAGCCTCTTTTAACTTCCAAAATCGTTCAAGTACATCATGCATCATGCATCACACACCATATGCTGCTTAAGTTCTTAAATACAAGTAACATAGTAAGATGTTATATATTTTTCCTTAGCTTGATATTCTTGCCCTTATGTGTCAAGTTGGTATCAAATTCATGTCACACTGAATTAAATGTAATTTTTCTCGGTTGGGTTCTTCAAATCAGTCACCTGATGCCTATTGGACGAATTTGCACCATTTGAAGCATTTATGCTATCAGATCACGCTTTAAATCCAAGCTGCGCTTGGCGTTGCCATGATGCAGGCAATTTATTGTATTAATTAGAGCTGTTTACCTTACCTCAGTATCTCAATTAAATCCGTAGATGAAGTAGAAATAGAAATTGAGGGAAACGAAGCACAAGGAGAAGCTGAGCTTCAGATAACTGCGGCTGTAATGGAATTCACTGGAGACAGTGACACTGAGGAAACAGAAACTCATGACGAGGACTATAGCAGTTACGAGCTGGATGACAGTGATGCAGTACTTGGTAAACAAACTTTGTTATGAAGTTGGGAAGAGAGAATTACAGCTCTTTCTCCTAGACGATAACCGACACAACGTTTCACTTAGTTTACCACACTCATATTTCGGCCCTTTTCTTTTTTACCTACTTTCGTCTTTTTGATAAATTGCCTAGCAAAGAGCAGCTTAAGTTTCATTTTATTCTACCAAACTCTTCATGTGAATTATTAAGCAAATATTGAAGGAGAGAGGTTACTTTGTAAGTTCTAATCGAAGATTAACCTCTGAACAATTTAACGACGTCAAATCATTGTCTATTACATGAGTTACTGCGGTTGATGCTAACTGCTGACCTTGTTATTGACTCAGGCATATTGGCATTGCACCTCATCTTCAGGGTTTGCCCAGATCCTGTGTCAAATTTAAAATCCTTATTAGCGTACTCCAAATGAGGGGCAACACCTCCCTATACTTTTGCCTCCTCCCAGCCCATGATAAATCGAACATTGAATTCTTCTTTAACATGCAGAGAGTGAAAGTGGAAGTGCAGAGCGTGGTTCTTCTGCAGTCCACTATGCGAAAGTAACATCTGTTACGGTGAAGGAAACAGCAGATTCTCCTCCCCTGTAAGTTAAGATTTATAAAGATTTTTTTGTCAGTATTGATCAAAATTTTACGCATTGTATTTTTTTTTATATATATTTGTAGGTTAAGTTTCTATTTTAATTATAATGGACTATTTTCACCGCCAATAACTGACACAATAAGGTGATGTTTCCCGTAGACTTTTGTAGGATTTTGTGTTAGGAGAAAGTATATTTTTAATGATAAGCATGCGACTGCCTTTTTGCTTGGCCGTTATTGCTGTTTTATAGTTTGCATGATTGCGAAACTTTTTCACGAGACTTAACTTGGATGCTTTTGTGTTGGCTAATTTCAAGAAGTGCAGCTGACGTGTTTTCTTCTTCATACCTGTTAAGACAGTTAACACTTAAATTAAATATTTTCCTAAACCTCAAGTTTGCTAAATGTCAAAGTCAACACACTCAGTCTATCAAACACTTGGATAAATAGAGAATAATACATGGGTGCACGTAGATATGGGATTTTCTCCTCGAGTGTTCAACTTGATAGCTCACGAGTGAGCGCAGCGAACGAGTGAGATGTCAAGTTGAACACGAGATGAATAATTTCATATATAAATTTTGTTTATCATATAAACACAATAGCCTCTTAGTGACAAGAAAAGCCGACTTCATTAATAAATAAAAATAAATTGCAGAATCGACAATCGTACATTGCGTTGGCGCTAAGGCTCGTGATGGAAAAATGCTTTGCTCCACTAAAATGTTGTGACTGTTCAGCTCTTTTAAAAAGGCTGCTCGAGCAGTCTTGATCTTAGTTCAGTTTGTTTGTAGTTATAGCTTCCTTAAACGATATAATCTAGGGATATCTATTAATCAGGTCGTTCATATTCCTGATGCAGTAAATTTAGCGTTAAGGAAAGAAACATTCATGCTATATGCTTTTGTCGCACAAAAGAACTACTCTTGAGCAAGATATTGAAACGAGTATCTTATCTGTTTTTTTATTTTGTTTCCATATCGTTAGACTTGGTTCTGACAATGACCTGCACTCTCCTCCAAAAAAAATGGTAAGTTTCAGATTTCAAGATACTTACAGTCTGAAACACTTCCTTACTTTGTTGATATAGTAGACTTGCGTCAGGTGTTGTTTTATGTGTCGCATTACTTGAGTCACAATAGTCACAAACAATCACAAACTCATACATACATACATACATACATTCTTTATTTGATAAGTAGGTTGTGTGAAAGGCAGCCAAAGGGCTGATGTGGACCTACTATACTAAATATTAGGAATTACATATATATAAAAATTGCAATAATAACTTAGAACTACTATATACAAATAAAATGGTGTTCACTAAGACTAACATATAAATCTAAAAGTAAATGAAATGGTCCTTTCTGTTGGCAACTACTGTTGCCTCTTTCTCAAATGAAAAATTGTCAATAGTCTTAACATGTTTACGTAAGATTTGTTTAAAAGAATAAAAACTTTCAGGTACTTTAACTAATCTATTTACAAAATTCCAAATAACAGGACCTCTGTATCGTAGGGAGTTCCTGCCGGTCTCTGATCTAAATCTAATGACATTAAATTGGTTAGGAACACGAGAAGATCTAGAAGAAACTCTTTTAGAAAACAGTTCACATATCGACTGGGTCGTTGTTCCAAAATATACTTTGTGCAAGAGGAACAGTACAGATTTTTTATAGAAGTAAGAGATGGGCAGCCAGTCGGATTTCATGAGACATGTGTCATCTGCCATCGTTGAGTCGAGGTTATTCACAATACGAGCTGCTCTTGCATGAATATGGTTTAGAGAGTTCAGTGCGGAAGGAGAACAATTTCCCCATACCGAAATTCCATACGTTACACTGGGGATAATTGTTTTAAAGTATATTTCCTCGAGAACCTTCTTCGGAAGGATTCTCATTCTCTTCAACGCTCCAACCTTCTGCGTAAAAGATTTCTTCACTGAGTCAATGTGCACAGACCATGTCAGCTTATTGTCAATTTTAACTCCAAGACAAGTGGTGTAATTAACCAGGTCGATATGGCCAGTGTTAAAGTGGAGGGGAGGTATAGGCCCAACAAAAGAGGTTTTACTTAGTATCATTGCTTCAGTTTTAATTGGGTGGATGGTTAGCTGATTCTTAATGCTCCACAGGAGAACTTGCTCCAATGATTTATTTAGTGACAACATAACCTGGTCAACATTTGGTCCAATACAGTAAACTGTAGTGTCATCTGCATACATGTATAGATCTCCCGAGTCGATGTGGTCAGGGAGATCATTAACATATATGGTGTAGAGCCGGGGGCCAAGAAGCGAGCCTTGAGGGACTCCATATCGCACATAGTCAGTGACCGACCTGCAATTATTAACTTCAGCAAATTGACATCTATCAGTAAGATAGCTCATTAGCCATTCATGAAGAGATCCTGATATTCCAATGGCGTGTAGTTTATGCGATAAAATATAATGGGGGACAGTGTCAAAAGCTTTCTGGAAGTCAATAAAGACTGCTCCAACTGTCAGACCATTGTCAATTGCTGTCTTCCATCCTTCAGTCATAGAGGTAAGCATTCCTTCAGTCGATAGTCCCTTGCTAAACCCCCACTGTTTACAGCTTTTTATGCCACAGCTGTTCAGATGGGTATCAATTATGTTGCAGATCTGGCTTTCGAGCAGCTTGCTGGGGATATTTAAAAGTGATATTGGCCTATAATTTGAAACATCTGCTGGGTTTCCTTTTTTAAAGATTGCATTAACTTTTGCAATCTTCCATGTGTTAGGGAAGCTGGACTGAGCCATGCTGCTCTTGAAAACAGTTACAATGCCCTCTAGGGCGGATGTTCCTGCAATAGCTAAGCTACGAGAAGAGATGCCATCAGGACCAGATGCTTTGTTAATTTTAATTGTCTTGATATCAGTTTTGAGTTTGTTGATGTTGACCTCCAAGACCTGCACAGTGGGGGTAACTCTGTACATGAATTGATGGGGATCATCAACTTCGGGGAATTTTTCAGCTAGTTCCTTGCCAATATTTATGAAGTAAGAGTTAATCAGTTCAGCTTTCTCGTAGTCATTTGTGATTTCCTTATTTTCAGCATCTCTGAGGGGGCCAATATGTTTATTCTTAGGTTTTCCAGTGGCCTCGTTCACAGTTTTCCAGAAAGATTTTGAGTCCTTGGTCTCTGTAAATTTCTTTTTCCAATATTGAGCTTCAGCACGTCGTAGCATCTTAGATACTTTGTTCCTAGAGGATTTGTAATCAACCCAGAGTTTATTAGTAGCGGGTGTGCCATCACAGGCTTTCAGAAGTTTATATCTCTTATTCATCTCTTTCCGGATCTCACTGTTCATCCAAGGTAGTGAATTTTTCTAACCTTGGCTTTACGTAAGGGAATGTGACTGCTTGCAATAATATTATACATGCAATTCCAAGCCCAAGTGATGTCATCCAAGTCCTCAAAGGTGGAACAGACCCACCAGGGAGCACTTTCAGGTCATGTTTGAAGTCTTTCGGGTTTTCCAACACGTTCTTGAAGTTGTGGACATATTTAATAAAAGGCTTTGGATTCCTGATCTTCAGCTTGTAGATAACGTAGATGAATTTGTGATCAGCTATGCAATACTCAATCACATCAGACTTTGAGACCTTTGAGGTATTGATAGTCAAAATCAGATCGATCAAAGTGTTAGAATGTGCTGAGGTTCTTGTGGGTGCTTTTATGATGTTACAAAAGTTATAAGATTGTAAGATGCGTTTGAATTTCGCACCATTTCCATTAGTAGCAAGCTGATCTGAATTGAAGTCACCAGCGATCACAACATTCCTGCGAGACATCCAAATTGTACTCAATACTTGGTTGAATTCATCAAAGAAAGATGTAACGTCAGGAGGTCTATATACACAACCCACAAGTAATCTTTGCGAGTGAGCTTTCAATTCAATCCAGAGAGCTTCAATGCCGTCGTTGTCATATTTGGATATACGTACACAATCTAGGCTAATGTTAAAGTAAATAGCGACTCCGCCTCCTACTTTGTGTGACCTATCTCTTCTCAGAATTCGGTATCCATCGATGTTTACTTCGTTATCGCTTATATCTTGTGTCAGATGCGTTTCAGAAATGGTTAGGATATCCAGGTTGGTATGCTGTAAAAGTATTTTCACTTCGGGGAGGTTCTTACGGAGGCCTCGCACGTTCGAGTGACCGATGGATACTCCTTGCTTTCCATTGTCTCTCACCACGTGAAGTGCATCAAACAGGGGAAGCAGGCCCCGGGTTAGGACATATGTCGCCACATAGTTGTAAATATTCAAAGTTGAAGCTTGCATCGGAGTTGCTGTAGTAGTTGACTCTCGAATTCCTGAATCTGACTCGAGCTTTCCACACGAATCCAATATGGCGGATATTGAGTCGAAACAAAATGGAAGATATCGGTTTCAAAAACCAATGATTATCCCAGCTTTGCTTGTTTACTTTGACGAGGCGCATATCTAGTCCGATGTGTGCATCTTTGCCACTTAAACATGCCAATATGTACAGAGAAAAGCCAAAAAGAAACCAAAGTATAGGCGAACTAAAAATTTTGCTTCTTCCCGCCATGATGGTCATGGTCTCAAACACTATTTTTCTGCACGTGGCTTTGTGGTGTTCCTTCTCTCAATTAGATCAATTGCTTTTTTGGCCTTAATAAGAGCAATTAGGAGTTATGTATGAAGTTATGTTTCTGTGTAGAGGTTTTGAATAAACTTCATCAAACTAATTAACTTTTAAACATGGCGCAACTTAGTGAATGCGTGACAAGTGAAAGATGGTACTGAAGTTATAAAGTTACTGAAGTTCGCACCAAAACACAAAGCTGTGGTTGGACAATCAGGCCAAGAACAACACTAGCAGAAAAATACATCCGCTGCGGCTCTTCAAGAAGGGCAGAGTTTAACTAAAAAGTTTAAAGAAATATTCACCCAACCTCACTGAGCACCATTTATGTGGATATTGCCTTATCTTATCCAGCGCTTTCCGTCAAGGATAATAGCTCAAAATCAAAATTCCATTTGAGTCGGCTTTTCACGACCTCTTAGAGATGTTATTGTCACATGTCCTGCGTGTCACTGATTTATGCACACCGTACTTTGGTGCCAATTCTAGTCTCTACGAAAACAGACAAATGATATCAAGGAATTTTTTTAAAGGTTGCCACTCTATTTTTGTATCATTGCAGACACTAACTCCTCCAGAGACCCATGTAGTACCCGTGAATCCCATACAAGAAATACAGGGCAACCCTACAGTGCCCTCCACCAGTTCCAACTCATCACCACAGCCACATGAAGCCCTAGAGGAACAGTTACTTTTTACTTCGCACCAAGAAGAAACAGCAATGTACCAAACACCAGTGGAAGCTAGTGAATTATCATACACTTTTTCTCCTCCTGCTCTTATTCAAACATTGGGAACACAAGGAGAATCAGATGCCACGTTAGCTCAGACACCTGCAAAACCCTCACTGGAGTACATATTTTCACCACCACTGACACGCTCTATGGCGAAACGCAGGTCTTTTGGAATGAACCCGTCAGACTTATCTGACTTATCTGGAGGGTGAGTTTTATCGTGCTGTTTTGTTGTCTTTGAAAAATTTGTTCGTGCTTATTAACACCAAATTGCACTCGAAATCATGTTGTTACCAATACAACACGTACTGCTAATTTTATCATTGGAGTTTTTCTTCAATATTACCTGTTATGCACCATGTCTGAAAAATTAATAGTTAATATATAGAGGTGAAGATGATGAAACAGTGATATAGTTTCCTTGAACAAATTGGCAATCGAAAACCTTTCAATACCTTGTCAGAGCGGGGTCCTGCTCTGTTTAGTTGGTCTGACTATTTGTAGGCTAATTGCGGGTGATAGTGATGAACAATTGAAGCCAAATTTTAGGAACAAAGTTCAAAAACATACAAGCGCTTATGTGTAGTTGCTTCTCAGTCGCTGAACGTACTCCGCTTCGTAAAAAGTTAGATCTTGATGTACTCATTGTCGTTTAAGACATGGTGGTCACTAAACTAGCTGATAAGATACAGGTACATAAAGCTAAAGTTAAGGTTGTGTTAAGGACACCACATCCATGTTATGTTTTTGGCATGGGGGGAATGGAACATACCATCATCGAGAAACAAAATAGAAAGTTATATTAACAATAATTCATTGAGCAGTGGCTTGTTTTAAGCTTCCTAACATTTTTCTCTATTTGCAGAAGAGAAGTGTCTGGACAATATACACCTTACCAGTCTCCATCCAATAGTCCGATCTCTTTTGTCTCACCCGTAACCCAGCCAAGTTCTTTGCCACGCAGCTCTCGCAAAAAAATTGTACGTTTGCCAATGCATTCCATGACTCTGCGATCAAGAAAGTGTCCCGGAAGACCAACACGAGCTGCAAAACTACCTCACACTAATTTGTAATTGGCTCATGCAGTGCTGATGATAGAAAGTACATTTTAGGAGACACTTTTCGTGTTCCAGCTCCCATTTGAAAGTCAATACTGTAGAGTGCATTAACTAACCTGCCCCGTTATGACTTTGTTGAAAGTTTTTGTTTGTCAATGCAAAGATGTGTTTGACGTTTTAGTAGGGTAATATGATATTTTGCAATAAATATACCGTATTTGAAAATAATTAGCGTTAGTCTTTGAATAATGATAATAAAAATATTAATTTATTAAATAGAGAAGCCTTGACTATGCTCTGCTCTGTTCTGTTGTAACGCACGAAGGAAGCGGCCGGAGCACGAAAGAAGTGTAGGGAGGAACACGAGACGTAGTCGGGTGTTTTTCCCCACCTCTTCAGGGCTTCTTGCGTGCTTTACAACAGAACAGAGCTTCTCTATTTGTTTATAATGAAGCATCCATTAAATTCCCCACCTATCACTTTCAATTTTCCAAAAAAATTTTTGTTTACGAAGCGAACAACAGTGTCGTCAGCATGCTCTATACTCTCATAAAGCACGGCACAATTAGCCAATCAGAATCCTTGTTAGAATGGTTCGAATAATCTGATTTATTGACAACAATAATGTCAAACCACCAAAGTTCATAATCTGCAATAGTTCACAAGCTGAAATAGTTCAACAGGTCAGATTTAACCCAGTTGCCTGAAGTCTTAATAAGTAGACTCTGAAATAGTTTACGAAGCGAACAACAGTGTCGTCAGCATGCTCTATACTCATAAAGCACGGCACAATTAGCCAATCAGAATCCTTGTTAGAATGGTTCAAACAATCTGATTTATTGACAACAATAATGTCAAACCACCATAGTTCACAATCTGCAGTAGTTCACAAGCTGAAATAGTTCAGCAGGTCAGATTTAACTCTGTTGCCTGAAGTCTTTATAAATAGACTCTGAAAGTGCAATGTTCAGTGAAATTCGGCCGAAATGTGGCTCATGTAAACAGTCAAGTTTTTCAACATTACAATGAGAAAAAGAACAAACTGCTCAAGGCGTGTGTTTAATGAATAAACGACAGAAAACGAAGATTGCTCGGGATGACGGCGCCGTAGAACTCAGCTGCTGTGACTGATGTGGCCTTCCCACTCGATGCATCTGAAAGGATTTAAAGGCAAGTTCTTAGTTGTTCACGAGAAGGGTGGCTGATGTAATTTCTGAGGCTTGCTTCGCTGCGATGACCGAAGATCGCCAAGATGAGCTAGCCGCGATGGACCTTAGCATGATTTGTATGAATTCTTAACAGTTCTGCCAGGTTTGTGACATTTCTCACTATTCCTGTTTTGTACTGTTTTGTTTTTGAACAAGAAACTATATATACTTTACAAGTGTTAGCAGTGTTTGATTCTTAGTACCGTACGAAAGCTTACAATCTAACTAAGCGGGAAAACTTTCATAACTCGGACTATTCATTTTCTTTTCTCTTGAAGGATTTTCATCTCTGCTCACGTTATAACATCAATCATGGCGTTTGGCATGTTCACAAACCTTAATTTGGTTGTCCTCTTGCACTTGCAAGCTCGCCTGTTTCGAAATTTCACTAACGGGAAAAAGCTGGGGAGAGTTTCGGAAATTGGTCCGACATAGAAAAAAATTGGTAGATGGCGTGACAGCTTCAGCTCAGTTCCGTGTTTTGTACTGTGGTAGAGCACGCTCCCTCACTCAAAGACAACGCGCATTGTATCCGAACTTTATTATAAATTTTCTTTATGAACCACTCCTCCAATGGGGCTTTTCAAGGCCAATACAAACATTCTAGAAACAAAGATTAAAAAAAAAACAACAACAACAGCACAACAAGCCGGTTATTTACATGAGGTCTAAACCAAACCTGGGTCATATGCATTCAGTTGGCCTCAGGTTTTCCCGTGAGAGGGTGGATTTAATCATATAAATATCCTTTAAGCTTTAGGACGCGGTTTTTTTAAACAATAGCGAGAGGCGAGGCGAGAGGCAGAACAGTTCGCCAAACAAAGCGCAGCCGAGGAGGTCAATTTGGGGCCATCAAGAACAAATCTCCTGGGTTGCAGGGTAAGGGCTTTAACCAGGGACAACCAGATAACAAGTCCAGCAACCTGGCCTCTTAGCCACACTACTTCCATTGCTCTTTTTACTTCCTTCGGCTTTTTTTTTTCTACAAAATCGGCAAGAGGCCTTTCGGTCCTCCCTTAAAAAGATGGACATAGTATAAGATATCTACCTAGATATTTAGCAAAGTTGGGTTACTCTTACACTATCTTAAAAACTAGATGCCGGTTCAACGTCGAGAAAACTGTACTCACGTTGTTCTAAAGACATAGACATGTATTCTACTTTGAATGGTACGATCGCTGATCAAAAGCTTGGTTTAAAAACTTGCTCTAAACTTTTCTATTCCTTGCCATCCTTTTCCCTAAGAACTAGAAACTAGTTTGGTCTCCAGTTGGAGGTAATTTTGAGACAAGCAGCTCGAAACTGATCGCAATAGCGCTAACACAATGATTAGGACCAAACTTGAGAACAATGTGATTACGTGTGGTTTTTAAACAAAATAAAGTCACCCTTTGTCTTCTTTCGCATGTATAGATACAATTAGATTTTATTGTTGATGATCACAATTGTTCAAATCCTGTGATGTGTCGCTGGGCCTCTCGGAAAGCATAACGTTGGCAAGAAAGCAAGGCGAAAGACCGATTTGTAAATACATTTTCACTCATATGCGCAGCCACGATCGGATAGCAAGAATAACGTACAACCTAGAAATTGTAATCCATGGTCAAATTCAGTCTCTGTTGGAAACATTATTACAATCCCAGAAGCACACATTGAAAGCTAGCGAGATTTACTTTCCGCCTGACTCTCTCATTCTTTTTAGCTATGGCTCGTACCAAGCTAACAGCTCGGACTGAAGTCAACAGGTGGAAATAGTTAACCACTAAGGCAGCCCGCAAAAGCGCTCCCGCTACGGGTGGCGCGAAGAAACCTTAGCCTTACAGACCAGAGACAGTTGCACTTCGGGAAATCCGTCTCCATCAGAAATCTATGAAGTTGTTTATCCACAAGTTGCCCTTCCAGCAACTTGTGCGGGAGACTCCACAGGATTTGAAACCTTCTACAACCTTCTTTACCCCTTTGCGCTTATCCTCCTCCTTTCCCTTATGCGTCTTGAAGCTGTAAAGTTCTGCTTTCAACCCCACGAACTCTTCGATGTTCTTTCCACCATCTTCATTTTTTTTTATCATTTCCACCACTTTCTTGATGTAGCCAGTCGGAATGCTAGAGGGGTGATCTTTTGGGACGTTACTTTGTCGAACTTATCTTCAACATCATACTCATATCGTTCTTGAAGTCCTCGAGTTCAACCTCAAACATGAGACTCTCAGTATTTGTTAAGAGCAGCTTTGCACCATCTCCATATTTAGATTCGAGGATATTTTAATCGAGACCGAAGATATGAATTTCAATGGTAAAGGACAAACAGCAACCGAAGTTTATTTCGCGCATGACAATGGAGTTCAGTCAGGCGTTTCAAGATCAGACAGAAGGTATTGGGGCGATAATTTCAGAAAAGCGATAGGAATAGGAAGGTTTCCATTGCACTAACTCAGTACCAGGGTGCCAACGAGAAGGAGGTACCAGAAGTTTTATTTAATTAAAATTCCAAATCTTTCGGAAAATCCTTGAATGAGGAGCTCAAGATTTACGTCAATCCATCTTAAGATTTCAAAGCTTTATTCAGAGGGATATTCGCAGAAAGTAAAGGGAAATTCGTTTCAGGAGCAGAATCAAAGATATGGCTTGCAAAACTTGATATGAAAAAATAGTGGTCTTAGCAGCTCAACTTTGCCTTCTGATGTCAAACGAGTGGGTGAGTATCTCCAAACATTCGAAATCCTTGATGACCACGTGAAATCATTTCTGATGTTTCAGTTCTATTTAATTCTATTTTTTAATTAAATTAATTATAATTAAAATAAACCTTCATTCAAAAAAAATCTGTGCGAGCATAGATTTCAATCTCATATCCAGGAGGAGGTAAAAAGTTCAGCGTTGAAGGAGAGGAGGCTATCAAAGGCAATCTGATATATTTCATACGTAATGACAAGGTGAAGGTTAAAAATCAGTTTGACCTCTTCATTACAGATTAGTTAGGAGGTCTGACACAAGCTGATCAAGCGAGAGTGAATCAGTCGTGAAGCATTCGTCTATTGCGTTCTTGGTACTCAAGTAAATGTCCGATCATCAATCTTGTGTTCATCAGGGAGTGCGAAAGAGGCTTAGCGTGAGCTCTTCGTGTTGGCTGAAGATACAATCAGAAATCCGGACATTTTGAAAAGTGTTCAGAGATATCAAATCACGATCGATAAAGCAAAAGTCATATTGGATCTCGCAATATCTCCTATTACTTTGCTCATGCCTTCAAATCTTCCTCTGAACACTGAGAGTACAGCTGGATACAAAAACAGTTTGAAGAAGGCATCTGCTAATATGAAACTCGAAGTGAATAAATCAGCACATTCGGAGTTAAAATCAGTAGGAGTCAGGTACATGAATGGAGGGCCTTCAAAGATCAATGGGCCAACTTCTCACCCATCAAATACAATCAACAAGGAAGAATTAACTTCAAATCATTAAATTGACTACCGTATTTATTTGGCTATAAGCCGAGCGATTTTCACACAAATTTACGCTAATATTTGGTAAAATCTAAGCTACAGAAGGGGGTTCGGCTTATAGCTGAGATTTTTCCTAAAACAAACTTTTTCGACATATTAGAACGATGATGAATGGGCACGTATTCGCGTATGAGCCGAGCGAAAATAAAGAAATTAAACTCAGGGTGCAGTATGTTGGTCATAAACTTTTTCATTTTGTGGTGGCTCCTAAAGGAGCCGTTTGTTTGTAGTTGGAGCGATCCTTGTCGTTATCGAATTCATCATCCATTTCCTCATCCTCTGCATTAGCGAATTCTTCTGCGTAGATGGCGTCATCTTCTGTGCCGTCGAGGGTGTTGGAGATACCGCATACCTGCTACAATTTTAAGCTTGAACGAGAGGTTGTACGATATACGACGAGCTTTTGACGGATTAACTTTGATGAACGATTGCGAACACGGAATTGTTTGAGAAAGGTTTCTAAACTCAGATTGTTTACTCAGTGCCGTGCACTACGTTTTATAGCCGAATGTTTTGGTTTAATTTTTCGTGATGATGCCGCTGAGTTTACAAATTGGAAGTTTGGGGTCTCGACCTCTAACCGGGATCGGCTTATAGTCAAGTAATACGGTAACTTCGCTTTGTTTTTATCAGCAGCATTTTCAGCGTTCATGATTCATCGTTTCTGTTTTTAAAACTTGCTACGTGTTTGTTCAACTATGAAAAAAACAACTCCCATCATCAGTACCCATGAATTTCCACCAAGAAAGCTGATCACTGATCCAGCAGTCTTGAACACGAAGCCGACTATTGAACCGATAAGACCTGGGATAATTTCCGCGATCTTACTTCCAATAGCCTTAAACCCATTTCCAACTCCTTTGATAACAGACTTCAGGCCTTCTTTCAATGCCCTCACAATCCCCCCAATCGTAGTACGAACTGCTAGGACAACAGCTGAAACTGTGAAGCCATACTTCTTGTGGATGTTTCTCACTCTCTCTCTCTCTCTGTGAGTGGAGAGCCCTCTTCGAGTTCTTCTCTCTCATTCTAAAGATCATCAAGCTGTTGTCTATTTTCAGTTAACCTTTCTCTTGCTCGTAATCTTATAGCTAGGTCTTTATTCTCATCATCGACAATCCTGTAATCTTCTTGAAGAGTCGTCTGTTTCTTTTCAACTTTTTTACCTTTCTTAGCATACAACTGTTCTTTTGTTTCACCTGAATCTTTCTTTGTTGCTTTCGGAGGATCTGGATATATGTCTTCTTGTAATGTAAATAAGGGGGGAAGTTCCACCTAGAGGACCATAATTAACAACTTTCCCTTTGTATCTTCCTTCTGAAGGAATATGTAAGGTAATAACCCTTCCGTTTTTACCATATCCATCATAAATATGCTCAAGTGTAATTGGGGCCGTTCTTATCCTTGATTTTTCAAGTGAATTACCCTCAATGAAAGATGTTTGAGCAGTTTTTTACCCTTTTTCTTCATCTCTATTCATTGTTGTTATTTCAATTTGTTCTCCGGATAATCCTGGGGTAGAACTATACTCAGCTTTAACAGGTGTTGTTGTATCTCCATCATCATTATCATCATATCCATCATTTGCATTTCCTTGTTTATCAAGCATACGATCTTCTTCGCCAAATTCTGCGATTTTGAATCTTTTAATATAACATCTTCTTTCGACATGTTCGCTCTCTCGTGTTCAGTAAAGAGAAGGTCTTTCTAGAGCTCAAATAGATCGTAGCTAGCGGTATCTTGCAAAATTTCTCGTACGTATTTCGCTGTAAATTGTTCAACAAGAGCTCTCGATACATTGTCTATGTGGAAATTGTTTCCATGCCTACTTACTGTCAGATCAAAGACTAATGCAAGAGATTCTTACACAATGAGTACTCCTTCATCAAGCTTTGGAACGGGTACAATCAGAATTTTTACCCGGTTTTGCACTGTCTCGATTAAATGTGACTTGACGAACCGTATGATCTGCTTTGAGAGCGTGCGATGTCCTCTTTACTAAATTTGGACTGATTGATTTGCTCACTGACCGCCTTCATTTTTCTTGGAAGTGATCAAGTCTGAAGATCTTTCAAAGAGTAAATGTAATCTTGGAGACAAGATGACTTCAGGTGTTACGAATGAGATCGAACTGGCTCAAGTGCGTGGAAACAATTACAGAATTCTAACAGATCATGAGATTTGGAAAGATCATGGAGTCTTCTATCCGAGAGCTCTTTCAAATAATCTTACTTTCCAACTCATGCTCGAAGCTGCAAATAATGTTGTGAAGGAACCTGATTCGTTAAAGCTCAGCTATAAACGGAGCAACATCCAACTTGAGTATGAAGAGATTCAGGATCACACTATTTGAATTGATGGGTATATGTAAGAGTATGTACCTCGTGTGGAAACAATCTCAATTTCAAAAGAAATGACTCAATCATCAATCAGAGCATTAATTTTCCAAGAAGGTCAATAAAAGTAATTCTTCTCCTCTTCTACAACCCATACGCAGCAGGAGCGAGAAACAGCGAGAAGACATTAAATCCTAACATCGCTGATGTATAAATAACCTTGGGTGTGTACAGCCTGGAGATAAAAGTAAGAGATATGTAGGAAGTAGTGTGGAGAAGATTCATGAGAAAAGCTTAATGAATAAAACTGACTTCTATGCAGGAGGTAGATGCGGTATCTTTATAGATGTCAGCAGCACTACAGGTAATGATCTTCATGGTTCAGAAACGAAATAAGCGGGGGGAAAAAGAAAAAGTTCAGCTCACAATTCACCGAAATGCATCAGGTTCAGGGAATGTGAGTTGTCACATCTTCATCCTCGCAGATGCACAGTTAAACATCATGAACAAAGAACTTGAGGGTGTTAAATATTACCTTCTCACCGACTGGTGGTGGACAGAGAAGACCCACTGATCCGGTCTGGCCTCTGAGGGTCTTTAACATCGATAGATCAATTGTGAATGAGGTAGAGCCAGTTCTGTATTAACTGAAAAATGGACCAAAGCTTGGATTCGTCAGGGAAGAGCTTCAGATACTTCTCCTAGAACTGAGCTGCGTCCTGAAGGAATTGGTGGAGGCATTTTGATTTTTTTGATCCTCGGAAGATGAAAATCGAAAACATTGAAATGAAAAAATGTTCTAAAAATTTAAATCGAAAAAGCGAAATAAATGCCGACATGCCTGTCCCAGCAGTATCCAACAAATTTGTGTTCATAAACTTAGTTAATCGGCTACACCTGGCATGAGAGTACTTTGGCCTACTGGTAGCTCATATGAAGAACTGATTAGAAGGCCATAGGTTCGAGTGTGAGTTTCGATTTGTCGCTGACCGAATACATCATCTTTCATTTGAATCGCCAGGCTCAACATTTACGATCTCCACGTACATCATCATTGGGCAAATATCATCATCGTCATATTGGACATTCTTGTCCTGACAGTACGCTGGAAGTTTGTCTCCATGGGCGTATTTAAACAGCTATGCTTCCACATGTGTCCTAAACCTCAGTGGTGGATCATTTAAAGTACCAATTGGAAGGTTGTGGGTCGAATCTTATTCGGAGGACTCAGGGGTCCTTTTTTTACTCCGACTGTGCCTGTATCATTTACTAAATACAATAATCTTTAATTCACCGGGCTTAATATTTACGATCTTCATTTGCATCGTCATTGTGCAAGAGCATCATATTGGACATTCATATCATTGGTTGGAAAGTTACTAAAGGTCCCACCAAAACACGAGGCTGTGATCCATCATCAGACCAAGACTAGAACTATTTCAGAAAACCCCATCCGGTTCCATTCAGAGCATCATCCGACTCTAAGATTTGTATAAAACTTTTAGAAAATGAATTATACTTCTTAGTATCCATGAATCGCACTTTTCTGTCAAAGCTTTTTTTTTCATAAATGACAACATTTTTAATTGTAAATAGTTTTAATTATATCGTAAATAGTCTCACTTCTGTTTTACATAGTTTTACTTGTATTATCTGATTAATATTTCATCTCTTTTTCTATCTACATATTTATGTACTTATCCAGTTATTTATTTGTTATCGTGGCATGCCTATGGAGTAGCTGGTGCATTTTTTTTAAAATAAACCGAAAAGCTAAGGTAAAGTTTTTGACAAGTTCACTTTCTAGACAATCGCCTTAAGGAGTTCATAACGGAGCACAGCTGATATGATGCGATGTCTGTTTTGCAATGGATTGTTGACAAACTTTACCCTGTAAGTTAGCCGCTGAAAGCGGCCGTTAGCTCCACGAGCTGAGCAAAGGAGAGCTCTGTTAGTTGGTGCAGTAAGGTGTCTGTGCCGTAAATTCAGTAAATACCGCACGAGTTACAGATTTAGGGAGCTTCCCTGCTTTCTAATGGCAAAGTTAAGTACTCCTCGTGTTGTTATTTCTATTAAGTAAAATCTAATCATGGCGTAGATGTCGAACAAACCCTAGATGAACGTTCGTGGGAGTCGAGATAAGTGATGACGGAAGTAGATCACAAACTTTGGTGAACACAAAATGAGGCAAATACCCTAGATTACGGTAAGAAAGTTAACACGGCTACCGTGGTTGACTGTTCGAGCTGTTGGAGACATTCACCAGACGTCATAGAGGGCATGCGCGGAATGTTGTGTTGCCATTGCTATATGCAAATCATTACATTTCTTGTAACGGCATCGTTAATAATGTCACGAGCAAATAACCTGCGGGACTTGTGAACAAAATAAATTCTAGTGACTTTGCTTCAGCGTGACAATTTTCTTTCCTTTTCGTTTTTTTACGTTTTTTATTTTCATCAGGTGCAACTGAAAATAACATCGACTGTTGATACCAGAATATCCAAGAGAGTGCCATCCACCTCGTCCTCTCATGTCAAGTTTGCGTTTACCTCAATGAAGAGCCCACACCTCAGTGTAAATGCACAAGCAAAAATATACAGGTATTTACGATATATATCTTTTTCCTTACAAAAAGGATAAAATCCCCCCTAGGGGTTTTTCTATCCAAGAGGCACTTTTTTTTTTCACTTTTTTGTCAATCTTGTGAAACTCTGTGACTCCACTCATTTCATTTTTGATTATTTGTTTAAAAAATAAACAAACATACAAACTGAAAAACAAAAGTGATGTTTACAGCGTATCGCTATATTATAGAAATCACAAAGACACCGGCTTTAAGTAAAACTATGAGGAATATTTATTTTAGCGGCTCCGTTTCTTTCATGAGCCACTTCAAAGCCATTTCCCTTTTCCGTCTTCTGAGCTCCGCTCCTATAACTTCTCTTGTCCTTTCATGATACTTATTTAACCAGTCGACCTGTAACAGAACAAGAAATGCCAGTAGTAAACCTCGTCAAAAAAGCGTGCGGGCCAAACTGGTTATTGGAACAAGACAATGGTCATCAGTTTAGTCTGAACATTTTTTAATCTTTGACAGTTACCTGCGACTTGCTCAACAACGACACGTCAATAAGTTTCCTTTGAAACGGTAACTGTGAAAGTTAAAAGACAAAAAAAACAGTGTTAGAAATGTGTCCTCGAGTAGATACTATTGAATGGCCGCTTAAAAGAAGTTATATTTCCGTTTTGTTAGTGTAGAAATCTCGATCGGCCAAGTAAACCACGACTTCTAGTCTAATAGGAAAAGATAAAAAGATTATTTAGAACTGATACCTCGCTAACGTTGTTTCCTTGCCCCGAGAGCACAACTTATATACCTAAATCATAGTTTCAGGGTTATAACTGAAGGAGAGGTACAGGTCTACGGATTGGTGGATTTTGGAAATACTTATGCCCGAAGTTCGGACTCAAAGCAGTATCTCAACGGGTTTGCAGATTGTTCTTTTGCAACAGATTGCAGTGGATCCTTTTTTTGCCTCGTATTTTGGATCTTCGCCTCATTTCAGAAAGGAATCCTTCAAACATCATGCTGGTACTCGCCTGTTTTATGTTTTGCTGATGATGCATATGAAAAAATACGTGAATACACATAATTAATTATTTTTCTTAGAGAGACAATGAGAGAAAGGAAATGACAGTTCTGGGATAATCCAAAACAGAGGATAAAAAAGGTGTTTTGGGTCAAGCCCGGACCACCGTTTTTTTTAGTTCTTGACAACTTTCTTTGAGCTGAATTGGTCAATGCTTTCATAAGCTTATTATCAGACATTTGTTGTTGTTGAACTGAAAAAAATCAATCCATTTGTTTTACTCTTACAGGCAGCCCTTTAGGACCGGGCCTCGAAGAGGCAATCTGTGTGTGTGTGTTTTGCTGCGTTTCACTTCGCTATGGTTTTGGTTGCGGTTGATTAACGAGAGCCAAGCCTTTGGCCGGGGAGTGGAGCGCCATCAAAAAGAATTAAAGAATTTGAGTGAGTGAGAATGATGATGGTTGCCCCTTCGGCGCCTGGCCGAAGGCCTCCGGTTCTGGTTCTAGTTGCAATCCTCCCCCTCTAGGACCTAGATCCTTCGGAACTTCGGATTGCTTTCAAACATCTTTCTTTTTCTTTACCTCTCTCACTCTTCTGTTGCGTTCAGCAAGGTTTTTGCCAGCTGCGACAAGCCCTGACTCTTTATTTCATTTTGTATTATTTTCATCAGTTGAAGTCACCTGTTGAGCCTCTACGAAGTCCGGCTGAGGTTAACCGGAGCTTCTTTAGTCTTAGGTTCTTTGCCATCCATTATATTTGTTGATGCATAATTTTAACTTCTTATTAAGTACTTACACAAGTTCTCTTTCAAAAACTTATTCTAGTACTTACACAAGTTCTTATTAAGTACTTGCACCAGTTCTTATCAAGTACTTGATAAGAACTTGATCAGTTTCTTCACAAATGTATCTATTTCCTTATCGTTGACCAAGGGTACTTCAATATTTTTGACAGTGAGAAGAGCAACACTTGTGATTGCCATGTACTCTCCATACCTGAGACTCAATCCACTGGCAAGAATTCCGAGTTCTCTAGTTGCCATAAATTTATCATTCAAGTCCTTCAGAAGTTTTCTTTTACCAACAGGGAGAAAATGAGCTAATGCTTTAAATGAAAGCTGAAGAAATGTATCAACAATTGCATCGCAAGTCTTTGAGGACAATAAAGCTTCATATCTCTCAAAGTACTTCTCAACATCTTGCTCAGTAAGCTTCTTGACTTGATCCTCAGATACACCAATCATTTTCTTCTCTTTGCCACTTGCAACGAGAACAGCGAGTCTTTCTCGATGTCGTGAATCACTGAAGGGTTAAATCTCGAGAATGTTCCGAACATCATTAAAAGCGTCTTTTTTATTGTCAGTCATCTCCATTTTAATTGAGAGATAGAAATATTTCCACGGAAGTTCAAGATCAATGTAATAAGGATGAGGAAGTGAGAATATGACATGAGAATACTTTTTAGCTTTGCCATCAATTCTTTCATCAACTCACCCGCGTAATCCTCGAAAATGATCTTCGTATCCTTGGCTGATGTTGTGTAAAAGAGAACTGATACAGCAGTGTTCTCTCGGAATGGCTTTGCGATACTTGTCATCTTTTGTATGAGGACCCAAACGCTGTTTCCCTGTGTCTTGCACTGAATGCTACATTCACGGGTCCATTCCTCCCCTGCTTCACATCTCTCGAAGCAGCGCAGTATCGAGAATGATCAGTGTACCAGTTCTCCTGTACACATAAGATAAGTAAGTCCTTCTCATTTGTTGTGGATGAATGTTGGACAGAGGAGAACGATGTAGTCAAACTTTCCTCGGAAGGTGGTGCTCAAGAGATTGACCAAGTATCTTGTCTTTCCTGAATTTTGTAGGTCCAACTATTGATGCATTGAAGAGGATATTATCAGGATTCATTTTTTTTATTGATTCAATTGATAATGACCATGAGCAAAAGTTACTATTCTAACTTCTCTTATTATTCTTCATCGTTCGCACTCAAAGTTATCTTGTTGATTAGTGAAGACTTTATGCCTATGTGATCTGATTACATTCATTTTCCTCGTTTGTATTTCTTCGCTGGATAGGCTCTCCTTGTAGTCTTCGTAAGTTATCCCCTTTTACTATTACAGTCATCTTAATCCCTTTGAACTTTTTCTCTTTTTATCCCTCAAACATCTTGTAGCTGTAGATTTTTTCTCTCATTCCAACAAACTCTCTAATGATCTTTCCACCAGCTTCATTCTTCATCATTCCCACGACCTTCTTATTTTTCCACTTGGGATCCCTGACACATGAGGGTATTTACTTGTGTCGAACTTATCTTCAACATCACCGCTTGTATTCTTGTACAGTTCTTCAGTTTCAACCTCATACATCAAGCTTTCAGTGTCTGCGAGGAGAAGCTTTACACAATCTCCATACTTCTTCATGATGTAGCTAAAATAGAAGTCATACAGCAGAGTCTTGCTGATATCGATGATGCTCATTCCACAATAGACCGGCGTATCGAAATTAAGTTTTGTCTTCTTCACATGAATCGCCAAATCTTTATTGAAAATCGACCGATGCTTAAAGTTTCGTTTCGCTGCAAGTTTCAATGCTATCTTTCTATCATTGACTAATCTCATATCTACCCGATTCCTGATGTTTTCCATAGTTTTTCCGAAGACTGTATTGTTCATCAACTAGAAAGACTCTTTCTCAATTTCATTTTTTGCATTTGCGCGCAGACTCGAGTTTAAGTCAATGTATATCCTCAGTCAAGGCTCTTCCTTCAAGCTTATTCCCTTATGAATCTTCTTAATCTTCAAACCGAGATCGAGACACTGTTTTAGTGTCTTGTGATGAACTACTTATCTCTTCTTATCATTCAGATTTGGAATCAGTTTTTCTACCCCATTGATCCTCAGTCTCTCAAGGACAAGTGGATAGTCGTTAAGATCGTCATGAAGCTCTTTTGAATACTCAAGTTCCACCTCAAGAATACAAGGAGTTTCTCTCCAGTTTTCAAAGTCAATCAAGCCTTCAGCTGGGCATCATAGCTGCATCCACTTGAAATTTCTAACATGAAGAGGCTGACACATTACCCCCTCATAAAGATTGTTTGCATCGGGATAGCTGGCGTATTTCGTTGTCTTTGATTCATCATAATTTTTATCTATGTATGGATAAATTGGCAGTGCAAAGCGATTTGAGATCATTGAGATTCCTCCCCGAATTCCTTTTTCAACCATCAGCAGAATGCCAGGGTCACCCAATAGCTCAAGCTCAACTCAGCATCCCTAGCCAATCCAGGAGCGGTGTAATACCAGGCAGGGTCGAGCGCATTATTCTCGAGACAGACGTTCCAGAACTCTTCAAACACATCTGGAAGAAGGAAAACGTCTAGTTTGAGATAAAGGTCATGGTAATCACCCATCGTCTTTAATCCAAACTCTTTCTAGACCCTCTGTGCATGCTCATAGTCTTCATCAGGGATAACGTAATCGTTCAGCTTTGAATAGGACTCTTCCCTGGGGGGCAGTTCTATTTCATGAAATTTATCAAAGCTGTTCATGTAGTCATATGGGTACACACCCTTCCTTAAGACCAACTTGATTGCAGCTACGCTGCCTGACCCTTCAGGGCCTGGCCGAAGGCCTGCCCCTACGGGCCCTGGCCGAAGGTTTTCAAGACTTTCCTGGTATGTCTCAGTTTATCATGACTCAAATTATTCACTAATTTATCGAGAGAAGAAGTAATTTCCTTGAATATTATCGAGATTCTTGATGAATAGATGGGAATCATAACCAGCCAAGTTGTGAATGACCGGAGTGAACTTCGGCTTCTTAAATTGTAGCTTACATTTGTAATTAACTGCACCACGATACTTCTCTGTGAAATGGTTTCTTAGAAATCTTCTTGATGTTTTCTGCAAGCATTTCAAGAATGATCTGACCGACTTCTTAATCCTCACTCTTTGCTCCGTAGATGACTGGCTCTTGTGAATAAAGTTTATCATCGAAAGAAACGATTTTATAGCTAAACTTGCATGGTTTGTGCTGTCGATACTGATTAGTGAAGCTCTAATCACCCCTTCATCCATGTGTCAATCGGTTCTGTTATTGATGTAAGGTCCGCGTAAATTACGAATGAAACTCTTACAAAACGATTGTGATCCTTGAATTTGATTAACGTTATTGTTCCTTCATCATTTACTTCCGGCGTTATGATACGTTATTCAGAAGAAGGTCAATGATTAGTTTTCCATTCACTTCTCTATTATTTTTCTCACTGATCGTGAGAGGATAGACTTTTGTATCATCAAGACCAAACACATTGACCGTGATACCCTCATTTTTCGAACCCACAAGTATCCCTCAATTTTACTGGGAATTCAATCCCTTTGAAATTCAATTGGCTTGTCTTTCCTTTCAAGTCTGAAATCTTCTTAGGGTATGACTTGATACGATCAAGTGCTCTGCTATACACCACTTGAAGTATTGATCATCCTTGCTCTTGGTAATTATTATTACTTTCTTCCTTTGAAAATAACCTGGGAGTTTGATGTAAGAGCTTCCGTTTAATGATCTGTATTCCGCAAGATGGATGTCAAGTGATATCACTCTTTGAAATCTTAATTTTAGTCTGATGGTTGTCTCTCATTATCTTCAAGACTTCTGGTTTGACTTTTTCCATGAATTCTCTCCATCTAAAACCTGCCGCTCCGCAAACTGCCCCCTTTGGACCAGGCCCTCTGGGGCTTGGATCCGAAGGATCTTCAACACCTTCAATTCTAAATTGCCTGATAAAACTTTTCAACACACTCGCTGATTCTAAAGCTACAAATTTTGTGCGCATGACAGTGTCGATTGAGCGAGAAGGCTGTGTTTATCTCTAAGTTCATTCACCTCATCTTCGTGTGACTTTTTCTGCTTTATAAGCAGAATATTTCGTTTCTTCTTCTTATCATTTTTAAGTTTGCGGTTTACTTCTCTGAAGTTCTTATTTAATCGATTTATCCTATTCTCTTTCTCTCTTGGAGTTAAAGAATTGGTTTTTAAATCTTTTTCGTTCTCGGCAGAGGAATTGGTCTGTCCTGATTTCTTAGTAGATCAATCAATTCCGAAGAACTTCAGCACGAAGGGCTTGGGTCATAAAGCAGCCCTGACCCGAACAGCTTCGAAAAATATTTTCAGAATACATTTTCAACCATTTAATGGTTTCCAGCTCAAAAAAAGTAAGGCCATTGAAATTAATGATCTCCTTATTCTCATCGGTCACGAAAATTCGCATAGATGAGTTGTAATTCCTCGGTGATATTTTCCGTTGGGTTGGTATTTCCGAATAATTGTTAACCCTATCAAAGGGTTGCCCGACAATGTCGAAGCATCCAAGAACGCTTGAGGGTTCTCCATTGAATACGTTTTCATTCTTATCCAAAAGATCACAGTGGACGAAGTAGTTGGTAAATGATGTAAACCTTTTGATTAAGTTGATGGCTTGCAAACGTCGTTTAACTCCGAGAAGATCAGTCAGATCATTGTCATGTTTTGAGGATTGTGGGTTTCCACCACTCCTTTCGGAGTATTCATTTCAACCTTCACTCCCTCACTCTCTAATGTATCTTGAAGAGCTTGGCCAAGGCTTTTGGGTAAATAATTACTTTCTGAAATTCTTCTTACAGTTGCAGTGCCCTTGGAATCGAATACAGAGATTTATCCGGTTCGCTTCAAATTAAACCACGTGTTGAAAAAAAAAAACAGCTCACAAGCCTGATATGTTGACATTTTTCGCTGCTGAGAGTTTCTTTGAATTGAACGGTAACTGCATTAGTTTCTGCCATAATCAAGCTCCGACTAACCACGGAGCAATTATCTTAATGAGTAAAACCATAAAACCATAAATTTAGGATACAATTGGAAGTCCTCCAAGAAACCCAAAGAGACAAAAGATGAACGGTAGCTAATAATGATGTCCAAAATTATGCAACCAATAGAAAGTATGTAACAATAGTGTTCCGATTTAGGTGCTAGTTAATCTAGGCAGTTTGAGAAGCAATCTAAAAAACTCGTGCTTCGGGTTTGATCGTGGTATTCAAACAAATAAAAGCTCGATATTTGGATACCACGATCAAACCCTCGCACTTGTTTTTTATGTACTACCTGGAGCTTTCTTGCTAAAAGCATCGGAAACTGGATAAATTCTTCCTCTTTCAACTCTGAGCATAGTAGGTTTTCTGCCTGGGTATTCCAAATAAAGATTTTTCCCGAGCGCATCTGAGTGCAACTTTTGTAACTGATTCGCCTTCAGTGAAAGATAAATAAGCCGTTTTTGATGCTTTTTATTCTCCCTTGTTCATTGTCGTCGCAGCGTTCAAAATGTAAATGTAAATTGTTTTCTTTTTCTACCTATTTTTCATCTTCCTTTCTCTTTTAATACCATATCATTCTATTTAGGATGGTATTTGAGCGCCTAGCAAGGTTAAAAGTGACATTTACCACGCTATCCATGGACGTATGGGCAACAGAGAAGTGTTTCGCCGAAGTAGCAACATAACGGTAAACACTGCAACTTTGAACGCTTCGTACAAGGTCAATATACTTTGGCCGAAAAATGTTTTTCCAGAAACGTAATGTATATCCTTCTAATGTCTGATTGATCGCTGTGATTGCTTTAAACAGCATTGGATTTGGTAGAAATAATTATTTTAAAATCATCTCCAACGCTCCATCTAATTGATAAGTAATATTTGAAAATTTATTTTTCATTCGTTTCTGCAGTTTTTCAATGTTTGTCGAATGATATTGCATTAAAAGGCCTTTTTTTTTCATAACTGCGTAGTTTTCTCATTATTTTGTGTTGCGATAGTGATTTTTGAACTGGTTTTTGAAAGGGCATATTTTGGGACAGATTTTGCTACAATTAGACGTGGCAAGTTCGCGGCTGGATATTTTTGGTTTAAAGCGAAACTGAAGCAAAAGAACTTCATTTTTAAATAGTATTAGGTAACCTCTTGTTGGAAGATAAACATCGGCCGATTTTAATTTTTAGCCAGAAATCATCGGTCGTTTCTTAGGCGCAGGACCTTTTAATGACTGTGTTGTGTTTGTGCCAGGATCTCGCTCACTCATCTTTGACTTGGCAGTTAGTGGTCATGCAAACAATTATATTGTGAACAATGTCGCAAGAGCTCTTGTTTACAGGTTGACTGTGAAAATCGCAGGAGAAATCGTGTAGGACACCGATGGTTATGATCTATTCAAGCTATATGAGGACCTCTTCTTGACTGAGAACGAGATAGCAAATATGTTGAGAGGGTATTCAGTCTGTTGATCTTTCGAAGATCAGATGCAGTGCTGAAGATAAGAAGAAATCAGGAATTGACAAGGAGAATAAGCTCAGTGATGTCTATCGGAACAAATATAGGATTCCATTGAATCGTGAGATTCTGAAGGATCATGGAGTGTTCTTCCCAAGAGCTCTTTCTGATGAGCTTCTTTTCGAACTCAGGCTTCCACCTGCCAGCAATGTTGTGATAGGATCTGACGAGACTCAGCTCGCCTATGAATTGAATAACATACAGCTTTAGTATGACGTCATTCACAGTCAAGAACCCGCTGATGAGGCCTTGTCCAACTGAAAAAATGGAAAGAGATTCATGTACGTGTACGTAACTCATCTCAAGACAGTCCTAGTAGATAAGGGATCAGAAACGATCATCAATAAGAGCATCGGTGTTTCAGGGAGGTCAATGAAGGGACTTCTTTTATATGAGCCATATGTCGCTGGTGTTAAGGACAGAGAGAAAACATTTAATCCCGAAATCACTGAAGTGAAAGTGATCGTCAATGGAATCCCAATTAAGGTTTACAGTCAAGGAATGGAGACAATAGATAGGTGGGAAGAGCTCTTTAGAAGATTTGAAGAGGAAAACAGCGCGATAAATGCAACAGACTTTTATGCTGGAGACAGATTCGCTCTTTTCATCGATCTCAGGAGTATGAGAGACAGTGCTGTTAGTGGAAGTGGATTGAGATTGGTGAATACGAAAGAAGGAGTTCAGCTAGTAATTAACGGGAAAGCGTCAGGCTCAGGGAATTTACAATGTGACATCTTTATCCTCTCAGATGTCAGCTCAACGTCATTAACCGTAAGCTTGAAAGCGTACGCGTGACCTATTAATGAGACAACTTCCCATTTATAGAGACACTGTTATGACAGGAGAACAAATCAAAGCACATCACGACTTCTTTGCGAGAAGACACGACATTGATGCTGATCCTATCGAATTATTGAATTTATCTAAATTTGTTCTGATTCTGAAGAATGACTAGTTCAAAAAATTATGATTTGAGATTTCTGCGCTTAACTCAGTAGTAGTTGTAAAATAATAGTTCTTGGACAATGCAAAACCAAGGATAAAAAAAGTGGTCCGGGCTTGACCCAAAACATTTTTTCTATGCTTGGTTTTGTATTTGCCCAGAACTGTCATTTCCTCTCTCTTTCTGACTGACCTCAAATATTCACGAGTTATGATTTTCAGCGTGTCAAACCAGAAAATGCATAAGCAAAAATTGTATGGGCGGCCCATTGAAATAGCTGGTTCCGCAAACCAATAAATGGACCACATAAACAAGTGACGTTACTTAATGGTAGTTACAAAAAAATCAGACTCATTTTTGCAATGAAAGAGCTACAATTGATTCCGTTCATATTTGCAAAACAAATAACTCACAATCGAAAAAGTTATGACAAACAAGGAAGGACGAGAAAAATAAATCATGTGAGAAGAATTACAGGAAAAACGTGACATTTGCTTAGTTGTCTACAGGGCGGAGTACTTACAAATGTAACTGGTTCGAACTCAAGATAGTCCACTTCATCGAAATGATACTGTTCAAAATACAAGAAGGAAATTTACATCGTATTACTACGCTGAAAAAAGAAAGTTATAACACTTGACAACCATGTCACATTTCTATAACATTACACGCACTCTGATAGATCAAAAATATATCGCTCAACTCTACTTACAACTCTTAATTTTTTATAAGATATTCTTCAAAAGTATAACACCCTCTTGTTACTGCAAAAGGAAAGCTTTTCACACGTGTTATGTTATCTTAGAGCTTATTTAATCCCAGGGAAGTCGGTTGCAGATTAGATGTTTGGTCCACGGGGCGAAAGGGTGGGGGAGTGACAAGCAAGTCTCAACGGTTATGGTGTTTTCGATCAGTTCAGGGGAGCATTTGATGAAATGCAACCCTGGCGGGATACGTTGAGATTTATGCGAGACTACACGATCACCAATGAGATAATGGCAAAAATGTTTAGAGTAAAGGAAAGCGCGGATTTGTACCAATTCTCTATTGCACACGTTCCTGCAACGTGGTCGATGAATGAAGATGAGTTTAAGTTTAGATAGCAAAAGTTTGCGAGATACAAACCTGTGAACTTTCACTGCTTTAGAGAAGCTACAAAAACAGGGAGATATGGTAGCCAATATTTTACATTTTAGTTTGTTTTTCTACTTTTTCCAAGACTTGTACTAAATTAGAGTTCTTATACCAACATTTCCAAGACCCGATCATAACTACTTTTGAGGGAAAAAGAAAGTTAATCTTTTCTGACCTTTGTTTTGGCAACTTTCACAAGGACAGCTGTTTCAAGTCGAATTCCAAAGCGACCATCTTCATAATATCCCGGTTCTAAGGGAATAAATGCTCGGAGGTGAATGATCCTTTGTATTTCACCACTGAACCAGCCAATTTTCGACCGCGAAAAGTGCTCTTTACTTCTACATAATGTACTAAAAAGATGCATTGATTGCGAAGCAATAAACTTTATATTTTGTCCAGAAAATGAGAATGAGCAATGTGTTGGGTCGAATAACAGTGTAAGAAACTATCCGTACTTAAAGTTAAGTTTCTATCAATTAGTCGTCATTAAATGGAATTTAAGGTAATGGATTTCGAAAGTGATTTTGGTAGCACTTGACCGATTCTTTTTAAGAATAATCCTATTCCTTAGACTTTTATCGAATGGAATTAATTTAGGGTGCCAACTTTTTGCATAAAATTGTGTTAGAAATGAAGCAAAAAACTTTATTCTCACACTTTCTGTTTTAGCGTTAGAATATAAGTAACACTGCATAAACAGAAAAAACGAACGCAACAGCCTCAAGTCCAGTCAGGTAAATTCGCTAATCACAGAATTGATCACAAAAACCAGAGCAACAATCACTAATCCTAAAAAAGACAGGGGAATTTTCAAAATGAAGGGATTTTTACTTTAGACATTGTCTCTACCGGAGATGTTTGTCTTAAATGTATTTGTTTTTTTCGAAAATTATAACAGTTATGATTGATTGGTAACAGGACCTTGTCCCGTCCTGTCCTCCCACTCAGTCAATAGGTACATATCATCGCACCTGGGTTTTTTATCGTTATCGGATTGTTCTTTTTTGGATAAATATATGCATATTTTCATATCAGAAACAGTAAGGCGTCTAAAGAATCAATATTTCATATGCATGAAGGTCCTCTTTCGATAGCATTTCAGAATTACTAAAAATTTTACCATGTACAACATGTGGCTTCGAACGGCTCAGTCCTGATAGTGATTGCGCCCAACCAGTGTCTTGGAGGCATGCACTCGAATCCCGTCGAAGCCTAAATTTTTTCGGGCTTCTTTTCACAGTTGTTTGTATTAATGCCTCGATATAACTTTAGCATCACTACGTCACATTTATGTGACTCTTACCGTCAGATAAAATCATTCCAGGCATTAAAATTTTCTCGTCTTCGATAGGAAATCCTGGAGCTATACACTGGGGTCCTGCACGAGAATTGTAACGATGATTTAAAGGTAGTAAATGAATCATTAACAACTGCGCATCAGATCAGAGTCGGTAGAGGGTCCCCTCTATTTTCTCTAATACAATCAAACTCTCATCAGAGAAACAGTCATCGTCCCCGCAAAAAGGCATAATGTAATTTTGAGATTCCCTCTGAAACCGAAGGCCGTTTAAATCCTGGCTAAACGATTTACAGATTATGGATTGTGACGCCGAGCGTGAATTTGAAAATCCCAGTGTAACAACGGAGGCTAATTCATTTGTGTATCTAGTACTACATGATGTTAAAGGAGAGGGGGAAAGGACATTAATTTCGCTGTTTCGCACGACTAATAAAAAACTTTTTCACTTTGCAGTATGTGCCCTTGAAGGTCAGTTCCCTCTAGCTAGCGTAGCTGAGGATATTAGATGAAAAATGAAGATGGCGGAGCAGCGAAAAGGAGTTGCAAAGATCACAATTTTCTTCGCACCATTTTTGTCGCAGGTTCCGCCGTTGACTCATGTAAAAACTTCAAACTATGCAGGTTTCGTTGGCTAAATTTGTACACGTTCAACCTGATGGAAATAAATTCAAAATTTGAGATATTTGATAGGATCATTAATCATTAATCCATAATCTGCCAGCACTCTACGCTTATCTGAATATACAATAAATACTAAATGTGTCTAAGATAGGGTACCCTCGTGAATGTTTAGGAAGTGTCCTATTCCGTGTCCCGTGCCATGTCGATAATCCAGCCCCACTTTCCAAAGAGGTTGTCGTGCAAACACATCTAATGTCCTTCCTTGAAAACGAAGACAAAGTGTTCGATTAAGACTCGGTCATGTCCACATACAGTCGTTTCGGTATTTATTCCTAACTTTCATGAATTTCGCCGCTAAATGAATTTAATACTCCAATCGGAAATGTATACGATGTAGTAACTGAATCGACAGTTGAGTCTAAATTCTAATTAGGGAACCCAGCATTTTCTCGTTGATGAGCGAAAGTAGTCTTTATTAAACGTGTCAGGTGGTGATTCTTCCACAAGAGGAGTGTAGATCATTTTATGTCAGCTGTATCTGACAATTTTCCTTCGAATACTGTCGTTGCTGTTTTTTAAATAGAGTCGGGGGATTATTCTATAATTTTCTCTAAGCCAAACGAGAGTTATAGTCAGTCACGCAAGTAACATTCAAAGCACTTGTCTTTTCTTCCATTTCAACTTTTTGTCGTTATTGTCTTTTCCTATTAAAATCGAAGGCCACCAAAGATTACGCGACGTTCATTTTATGAACACTTTAATTTCAGAATAGCTATTCAGTGGATTAGATTTAATCATAGTTCCACTAAAATATTTTGGTTGCATCACTAAGAGGCTAATACTCTCACTCGGCAGTGGAAGGGGTCGACCTGGGAGTATATCGAGTTCATTATAATGTCATGTCTGGACCCAAAAAAAAGAGTAGTTTCATTTCTCCTGAGACTATTGGGAAAACAAAACTAACTTCCCCTGCCAAAGCCGCCATAAACTTTTCATACTTTTTAACGGGGCTATGTGATACACTCTCCTGTAAAAACCAAAAAGCCAAGTCAAGTAAAAACTAATTTATCAACTGTGGGAGAAACAAAATCAAATTTGGACCCAAATCTGTGGGGATATGGACATGTACTGAGAACTGACTTCCTATTAGGAAGTGTTTTAAACATGTGCTCGGTCCTTTGAACATTGTAATTAACAGCAATCTCCTTTTTCGCTGTTCTACAATATTTACAGTAAAATACACTCATTGTCTGAGTTCGACCACAACTGACCAACGAATGACAAAAGAAGTTAGCCATATCCCGAAAAAGAACAACCTTTTACATCAGATAAGAGATGTAAGAATTTCAAAAAGTCAGATAAACCTATCGATCGTTGGGAAAAAATAAAATTTCTATTCAGCCATTAAACCATATTATAGAACATAATTAAGCAGCGGTCTTGGACGCACGCATTCGATACGATTCTCGAGAAGTCTCAAGAGGGGCACCAAGGTGTTTGGAAAAATACGAGGTAACTCACAAAATATCCGCTCGAATTATAGGTTAAATCAGCGAATAAAATGTGTGTGCACCTTTCTTTCTAATTAAATTTTACGGGCTTCAAACATAAACAGGACTAAATACAAGACATAAACATTTCTCACCATACGTGTCATTGGGAAAAACTGCACTGGCAATGTCAATATGTCCCTTTAAGACTCTTGTGTAGCAATCCTGAAATTGCCATCATTCATTATCTTAGTCATGAGAAGAAAAAACGTTGTGCATGACGGGGTATGTCTGATAAGAATGGTAGTAGTAATTACGATGCTAATAATAATACTAATAAAAAACGTTGTGCATGACGGGGTATGTCTGATAAGAATGGTAGTAGTAATTACGATGCTAATAATAATACTAATAATAGTCAAGCAAATGGTGAAAAACAGGCCAGAAAAGAGAAGTTGTCGGTGCCATCGTGACCCCATTGTTAAGTTGACTGAGCAAGAATGATAAAGTTAAAAAAAAAAAGTAAACCTAATAGGTACTTACTACAAAATGAAGTTCATGGATGCTGTGCTCTGAGGTAACCTCCATGATAAGGCTGGGTCTTAGTTGACATATACACGACTTTTCCTGCACTAAACAATCGCATTTCCGAACACATTTAGGTTGACAGGGACCTTGATATGTTGGCCTATCATGTTCATCCCGTGGTGAAAGGAAAACGTTGAAAAAAGTGTTTTCAAAGGTAAAAATGTAGCACTAACCTTCTGGTGTTTGGTTGGAACTCCAAAATGAACCGTCCTTGTTGTGTCTGTTGTCCCATCTCTGGGCCAATAAAAGAACATTAAAGAAACTTTTTAAACAACTTAGTCATTCGTATGAATCTGAAAACTGTATTTTTACACAATATGTACGCATCGTATGACCCGTATGGCCCCGCGGGTGCAATCTCAGAGAAAGCCATAGTAAAAGCCGACTTGTGTAGGGCCAGACGCGTTGAACACAGCGGTCAAACACTGCGCTTGCGCGAGAGTTTGAAAACAATATTAAGAGGGATTTCCGAACGCTTGTCTAGCGTACAGCAAGGACAAACAACATTATATTCCTAACTACTACAATGCCTAAGACGAATGGAAAAAGGATTTTGGAGAAAGATCTTGGCTTTATTTCATCGTGAGATATCCCAACTGTTTTTAACGCGGACGCTTCGTTTCGGTAAAAAGGGAAATGACAGAACCTTTCTTCTACCCTTGCGGCAGTCTACTATAAACACGTCACAAAACCAAAATTTTGGAAATTTTCAGCGTTTAGTGGTCTATGATAAAATGGTCATTTAATAAGTTTGGTCGGGACAGATGGAAAAATATTTGGCTCTCGGTCATGACGCACGGACCGAGCGAGGTCCGTGCGTCATGACCGAGAGCCAAATATTTTCCCGTCCGGGCCTCCCACTCAGTCAATAAGTACAATTATTTTGGGAACACAAAAAGCCAGGAAAGCTTACAAGTACTGTCCTCCTGAATCCAACAAATAAACACTGCTTTTGTCGATCCGGGCGTTAGTATATTGATTTGCTCTGTCGACGGATTAAAAAAAGAAGGTGGTGAGATCTTTAGATCGTCTAAAGCATCTCACGTTTCTTTTCCTTGGGGTGTACCATGTTGATTATTCAGCACGGTGAAAAGAAAAAGAAAAATTAGAAGCGCGAAGTTAGTACTTAACATTATATAGCGTTAAAATGAAGCTCGGATATAATGCACACTGTCATTGATTGAAAGTGCGTGCTTTTTCAGAGTACAAAACATGGAGCTGAGCTAAAGCTGTCACGCCATGTGCCAATTTGTACTATATTTATACCTATTTGTAAGAAACTTCAGGAAGTGCGGAGAAACACTCGACTTCGTCCGGTGTTTCCCCCTACACTTCTTTCGCGCTTCCTGCATGCTTTACAACAGAACAGAGTACAGTCAAAGCTTCTCTATTTGTTAACTAATTGATTTTCACGCACCAGTAGTTAATTTTGTTATTTTGCATTTCTTTCTTTACTTATGACACAATTCGCGCAGTCGCCACTAAATCATCCCCACGTCTTGTCAGTTGGCAAGGTTAAGCTGAATCAGACAGTCAACCAGCTCTAAATAACTAAATTTTTACATATCTTGGACCTACTTGTAATGGATTATGGCGCTGTTGGGTCCAAAGCCAGAAATTGTAGCAAAACTTGGACTCATAAAATTCTTCTCCAGCCTTTAACGAAAAAAGTTTTTAAGAATTATTAAAATTTTTGGAAGATCCTGCAGGTATAAATTTGCAAGTTCTATTTAAAGATAGACTATTTAGGCCACACGAAAGAACGCTGATCGCGCCGCGCTGCAATTAATATTTAAAACTAAAAAAGAAATCTAAACAATTCGTTTCATGCAAAAAGCATCATCAAACCTGCGGTAATTCATTTCGCTATTTCATATGATAGTTCTCTTACGTTCTAAAGTACAACAACTTTGCCTCAGTCGTCAATTCTGTCAGCTTTGTAGAATTCAATGAAATCTGCAAAAATAGCGATAAATACTGAGTAATAACTAAATTCTGAAACGGAAAATTAAACCTAGTATGGGCTAGTATTCGCTACCATCATCTAGTACAATCGCCAAAATAAAATGTGTATTGTAGACATTAACCGTTGAGCTCAGTTTGATTTCAGTCATGGTTATGTCTGATTTATCTCCAGTTAACTTAGCCGCAGTGGAAAAATGAAAGTTCAAAAATTGAATTGGCTTGTTTCGATCATTTTTACTCTTGTCAGTCATTTGACGCCGTTTCGCATCACTCTAATTGTTTCTCAACTATCGAGACACACTGAAGAGATGTAATAAACTTCCTAATAACCTGTCTTTTTGTTGTTATTGTTGTTCCCAACGGTAAGTTAGGGATCCTCGTTTTTCCGTTTCCCCATGATTTATGCCCAGCGTGCTTCGCGCTGATTGCTCAAGTCAAAAGTGGTAAAAAATTCGGTCTGTTACCTACGGTTCGGACCTCCAACTAGGTTAGTAAGAAGTATTTCCTAATTGCGAAAAATATGAAGCTATCGATATTTCTGAATAGAAATAAATATGTTAGACAGTCAAAGAGTTCAAATAGACAATAAGTTCATAACATATGATGTTGATGTGTTACCGTGTGTAGATATGTTCTGGAGTCTGGCATTCAAAATTACTAATTTAATCAAACTTATGTGAGTCAAAGAACGAAGCTCTCTCTTTGTTGTTGAGGAATATTTCGTCCGTTTATGTGAGATGAGCTTGATTTAGGGAAGCATTTGAATAGCGTTCAGTAGATGCCAACTTTTCGTGGCATTGCTTATGGAGATCAAACAACACTGAAAATGGTTCGAACAAAGTTGAAATAAGACCTAGCATTTCAGTTTTCACGATTTTACTACGACCACTGAAAACCACTAAAAAGTAGAAGAAGCCCATTAAAAAGAAACCAACCCTTAGCCCTTTTAATACCTCACATTCAATCCAAGCAAAGAACTGACAAAGCGCCGCGCAGTCCTTTACCTGCAAGGCCAAATAAATAGGTTCTGGCATGTTAAAGCAACACTCGTTAAAAAAATATAACCGTCTCATCTAATTGTACACGTACAGGCTACTTGATTCTCAGAAATATTTAGAGAGAGATTATCATTACTAAAAGACATTACTACTTTTCGCTATTAGGAAAGTACCTACATTGGCATTTTTCATTCCACGAATTTCTGTTGGATTTTTTATTGCTTTTGGTAAAGCAACTGGCGACTCGTCTATTAACAAATTTTCCTAAAAAAATAATATAATAATGATGATAAAATATTTATAGAGCAAATTCCAGGTAAGTATTATCAAATGTGCTTTACAGGAACAAAAAAAGTCGAGGTACATGTTTTAAAAGGTAAGTCTCAAGACTACCTTCAAAAGTAGGTAAAGATTCATGGCCAGTGATGTCAAACATACGGAACAAAGGAGGAAAGTGCCTTTGCTCCCAATGTGGGTAGCATTTTGCAACCAGGTCCCTCCAGCAGAAGCTTTTGATTGGACCTAAGCTCATATTTAGCAGAAATTTTACGATTGATAAGATTACAAACATAGTCGGGTGCTATGCGGTATTTAATAGGTAGCCAATGAAGCTTGCACAACAGTGGTGTAATGTTGCTTAAAAAAAGGAATGATAAAAATGACGATAAGATAAATGCATAAAAACACATTACTAACTATAGTATGAATTCTTCTTAGTATGCGATTAGAGAACCTGGAAAATGAAAGAGCCGATGGTAAACGAGCTGGGAACGTGTTAGTTTTCGGTTTCAAGAATTAACAAATTCGGAATTAAAACAGCTACGAGAAAAAATGCGAAATTACCCAAAAAATAAAGAATGAACCAGTCGAAGTAAACGTCTATGGGAAGTGGATTTGTTCAGACATTGAACGGTTAATTGGAAATTTTTAGTGGCCCTCTGCCTGAATGAATAAACTAATTGTTAGATAAATTTGTCCAGCAGTAAAAACATACTCATTACACATAACATTACTGACGCACGGATACATATAACTGTGTGCGTTTGACGTTCGGCGTTGGTTTAACTTTAAGGTGCGACTCATTAAAATAGATATCGATTGAGTTCAAATGCTGACCTTGGGAATCTTCATCCTTATTCCGTGGCTTGAGGATGTGCTAACCTGAGTTCATAAAGACGAACGAGGTTTACCAATACAACTTGTATCGGTAAAAAGACTAAAAAAAGAACAATCCTGCAATCGATTATGGTTAGTTATGCGTGTCAGCATAAGAATGCAACAAGAAAATGCAACAAACATTTTCAAGTCTTGCAGTTCTCTACAGTTGTTTGTAACACCATATGGAAACTTACTGAGTTATCCCAGTAACGTGGAGTGTTTTGGCAGAAAGCCTTTTATGGCTGGTCGTGGCTCTACTTACCAATATTTTAGCATTTTTGCATTCGGCTAGTATTTTCACAACTTCCTTGATAGCATCATATGGCTTAAGTTGTACGCACAAGTGCTCTTCATTCCGGCCTTTACAATTTTTAACTTTCAGATGTCTTTTCACAGATGGCGTCACCTTGTCATTATCTATGAACAGTCTGCAAATGCACGAGGCCAGTCAAATGAAGAAATTGTGAAAAAACATCCAAATTAGCGTAAGGTGGTTTAAAAGAGAGTCGTGAATTTTTAGGTACCTCGATGATGTCAATAAAGATATTTTAAATTGAACTCACTTAAGAGGAAAACGAAAATCCCACGTAACGATGAGGCGTAAAGTGAAAGTGACCTTCTCACGAGAAAAAGCTTTTTATTACAGTGATAAGATAGCCTGGTAATATCTTCAATATCAATAAAATACTTCTGTCTGAACCCTCTTTTAAAAATCTTGACTGCCTTTTACTACTATAATGTTACCAAAGTATTTCAATTGGTTTTTTCTTTTAATTTTCTTTGTTTTGTTTTGTTCTTGGTTTAAAAGGCACCGATTTATTTTGTCATTTGCTTCATGTTACTGTGACAGTAGCCGACCCATCTTACATCAAATCTCTTAGGAGGAAATGACCCCGCCAGTTATAAGAAGAAATGAGAGATGTTACTTACGAGGCACTGTCCTTTGTAACTGTAACATAGGAGAAGAAAACTGGGGTATACTTGATATCAAATCCTCGGAGATTCAAAAGCCCTGAGAAAACAGTTGTAAATATAATTTACTGGATGGTACAATATTGAGGTCTCCTTAGAAAAATGGAACTTTGTCAGCTAAATTATCGATTCACCACATTTTATACATCAGTGGATATCAATAAATTAATATTTGGGATAAAAGGAGAAATGTACTTCCTGGTGTACAAGTACTAAGATTAAGTGATTTCAAAAATAGAGGAAGGAATTATAAACAAGTTCGTGGAATCGAAAGGAAACTAGTGAGAGAGAAATCATATTTACCTTTGCCTGAATTAAAGAATGGGTTGCATTTAAACAAGACAGCCCTTTGCCCTCCTTCACGCCAACTAATATAGGTTAGCGGCTCCAACACTCATACCGAAAATCGGGAAGCAATTCCATCAAAATAGGTCTGTTCGGCTTTCGTCGTACATTAACAAATACTTACACGCTATTTCATCCAGTTTTTCGATTACAACGGCGGTCGCTGACCTGGCCTTTAGGAACCCGCGTAAGGCTATGATTTTATCTTGCCAACTTCTACCTGAGGTTGATATAAGAATTCTATTTTTACCGTTACACTCAAAATAAACAATGGTATATCGGAAATGATATCTGCAGTAGGAGTTCACCGCCGCGTTCATTGGTTGTAGAAAATCCTTTACTTGATCTTAATATGATTCTTAACAATACTTGTCACTCAGATTCGTGTCTATTTTTTTTCTTACTCGTTTTTTTCTTTTATCACCCGGAGACGGTTTTTTTAAAACCCGTGAATTTTATTTTCTTTATGAGTGAGTTTGATTTGAGGGGAAGCTATAAAAGACCTATACCCAGACGGTGTGATGTCGCTTTCTTTTACTAGCCCACCCAGCACCGATTATTTTCTCTTTTTAGTGTAATTACTAATTTGTTTTTTATGCCATACCTGAGTAAGAAATATCGAGGACAATCAACTTCCTTGGTTGTGGCTGTGGTCTGGATGGCCAAACAAGATCAACCAGGTTTTGTGTGACAGGAATCAAATCGATGTTATGTTCCTTGAGCTCCTGGTGACATGAAATTGCCTTAGTAAACTCATAATAATCTCGCTTAAGTTCATTCTGATGTCTGTAAAGAGAGAAACAACCCGGTATTTTAAACTATACAGTTCTAAGACAAAGTCTTACACAATGTTGCAAAAAAAGTAATGAACGGTAACTGGAGAAAAACTTTGAGCTAAGCTCTATGCTACAGTTATTCACTTAAATCGTTCCTTGAAAGAAAGAAGTAATAATTAGTTTTTTTGTATAGACAATGGGGCAAACTTTGACTAGGTTAAAGCAATAAAGCACACGAATGTCATAACTACCTTTGGCCCCTAACGAAATTTGTCTGTTACTGCGCTCCGGTTTGCTTTGTTTTGTTTTGTTTTTTGTTGTTGTTGTTTTTGTTTTGAAGAATGTGTCCTTTTTTCGAGGGGAAGGATACATGGTTTGTTTCGGAGAGCACCTGGTTTGGTCCATCCTTTATAGACACCTCATTATTCAGCTATCCAAAGTCAATTAAAAGAAATATTCAACTTTACCTTAAACATTCGATCCCACTCACCTGCAGTGATTCAACCGACACGGGAAAATTAAGATGATGTCATACATTTATATGCTTACGTACAGTTGTATTTGTTAATTGTCATGGCTATGAACTGCGCACTTGTAGGCCTCATTACGATACAAAGATACCGATTCACTTCAATTCTATGGCCATCTAAAGCTTGATTGAGAAGGGAACACAAAGCGACAGTAATATACATACTGGAATTCCGCGTTAAATGTAAACGGTTGGAGGAGTTTTGTTTTGCGGATTGGAAATCAAGGTTTTCGCGTTGTGCGGGAACAAATTTTGTGGTTTGAGAATGAATCAAACTTCTGTCCGAGACAAATTATGTGCACAATCTTTTCAAGCAGTAGAACGTTCAAAAAACTGTTGATATTTCGAGTAAATCCTAATATAAAGATGTAAATTGACTCTTGATTCATACAGAATATAATTACATTTGGTAGTGATTTTTCTATTTTTCCGCCTTGTTTCAAGGGAAAAAGGAAAATCCACCATAATTAAAACCTAGGATAACACTCCTCTTTACCAGATTTTGCAACTAACTTAAGGTTTGTATGCTACTCGTGGTAAAGTTAGTAAAATTAACCCCTTCTGTGGGCTAATGTAACTGGGATGAACTATGTTCGAGCCTTAAGTACTTTCCGAGAGTTAAAATTTGGCTTAAACGCGAATATCTGAGAGCAACTGAGAACTTTTGATAAACTTTTCAGAAACGGAAATTATCCTACGATACTGCGACATTTTATTAAAAAATCCAACGGGGGTTTATCTAGTTCTGTCTTTCTTTCTTTTCCGTACCGTGCTTACTAGGCTTCTAAAGACAAATTGATTGACAAACTATGAATAAAAAAATGATCAAAACGTGCAAGTGAGAAAGCACCGTTTTTCGCAAGCAGAACTTTCGCCTTTCTCTCTACAATACATATCGATTATACTGATTAGAGTACTAGGTAGAATACTAAGTAGAGTAAGAAAAATGATAAATTTTGAGCTAGGTCGTGAAATGAACGGGATGTTATTTCTCTTGTCACGGGAATGGGGCAAAATTAAGTGAGAGTCTTCGAAGATCAAAATCTACATAAATCTTCCTTCCTATTCTATCATACTAATTTGTAATGCTTTATTTTGCTATAAAGTGGAATTCCCACCCTCTTAACCAAACAAAAGCCATCTTTCTAATGTTCGAATATTGTGTAAAACATCAAAAACAAAGGCAACTTACACACGGAAATAAGAAAAGGATCAACTCCCACGCTGGACCCCTTTGGCAGGCTCTGAAATGGTTAAAATGGTTAAAAGACTACGTTGAAATAATATCCTATATCCTAGGTCCTTCATCTATTTTTTTGACTTGCTCTTTTGAATAAACGACCTCATTTCAATCTCTCGGAGAGATAATTCCAATGAAGGGCTGAAAGGACTGACCTTTGTAGCTCAAATCAATATAAAACTGTTACTTACGTCAAGTAGCCATTGGGAAAGATTTGGAGTTCCTTTCATTCCTATTGAAATTAAAATATGATCCCTCATACCTTGTTGACCTTTCAATTTCAACGTAAAAAGTCTAAAAAGTAAATATGTACGTCACCAGTTTAAGCGTCAAATCCCTGAGATATGAAACCTCTGCAATTTTCCAATGCAGATAATGTTGATAGCTCGTACAAAGGAACAATAAGTTATTTAAAAGAAGATTCTAAAAAGGAGTCCAATCAACGACATTCTCTTAAGGACTTAGGATGCTCTTCCACCAAGCTATAGGGGACTCGTGCCAAGCTAGGTCCTTGAACTAGTAGTAAATAAGTCCATCGTGCCAAAATTACCGCATACTGTGAGGTTAGTAATGTCGATATAGGTGGTGCTTAAGCGTAATCATGATGTAAATGAAGATGGTAAACGTTAGGCGTTCAATGTGTATAATTCTGTCTTCCTGCGTGGATAGAAATGCCGCTATGTGATACTTATCGGCAATGATGATAATGAAAGTTGTATATGATGTGAAGCAAATCATAACTCACCCTCTTTTTGTACAATCCAGTTACAGTCTAATTCCATTTCTGCTTGAAGAAAATATCTTCCGTCTGTCCAGAGAGCAGCCTTTGCGTACGTTATGATAGCGGTCCCTGAAGATATGCAAATTTATTATATAAAAGTGTCGAAAAGAGATAATGGAAAGAGAAAATGATCCAGTTATGCAGTTTCCATTTTTGTTTGACTCTTTCTTTTGACTTGTTATTTTCTTTTTGGTCTACGAATAGTTCTCTCGCCTATGATGCGTTTTTCTATGGGTAAGCTTCATTTGCGTCCTTACCATGAGATCCACTGAATCCAGAAATAAACTCCCTTCGTTGATACTGTGGCGCAACATCTTCGCTCTGGAAAATAAATTAAAAGTATGAATAAGATGGCTAAGAATTTTTGCTTTCACTCAGTTTTTCCTCATCCAGAGTGTTATTTGCTTCGAGAAAGGAGATGTAATGATGGTAATATCCGCGTCACATTTTTTTCGGATTTCCGTGAATGGACACTTACGATAAGGCTGTTGCCTTGGCTTTTTATTTCTAGGCTTTTTTTTCTGCTATCTATTTAGCAGTTTAAAAGGCAGTCGTGGTTGTCGTCATCCAATAGACATGGGTTTAAGCTACCTCGCCTTTTATCTCTTCATTCGATCTTTATAGCTGAGAACTATGGATTTCCTTAGGGTCTCAACAGGTCCAATTTTTAACCATTACTTATCTTTCTCCTTCATGAAAAGTAATTTAAACTTCTGAATAATAAAAAAGAAACATATATGAACAAACGAACAAGATGCGCGGTTACCTGGTGTGCGTCCATAGAGGGTACGATATAGGCCTGTATTCTTGATCTTCTCATCACGCTTCTTAAATCTGACAACTGTTTTGTAGTATTAACTGAAGAGCGTGGTAACAGCTAGATGGTTAATGAAATGGAACAGCTACATTATTTACAAATGACGAGAAAATAGCCCGGGGTATCTGATCAACTCTAGGAAGCGCTTGCTGGACCTTGTAGGAAATGGATGCAAAGCAGTAGCTCTCGGAATATTTTCACATTTTCGTCTTTACCAACCTGAGATTTCCCTTCCAAACATATACGTCGCTTCAAAGAATCTTTAAAGGAAGAAGCATCTGGAATCTCCGCCATTCCTTAAATAGCACATCTCACCAAGTCAGTAGTTCAAATACATGACGAGTGTAAACAATACAATAAGTCGTTGGATGAATTTCAATCGTGACCGTTGAAATTGCAAGTCGTAAAACGACCAAAGGACAATGAACTAACCTATAGTAACAAGTAAACTGAGAATACTAGAGAAAAAAACCACCATTCTAACTCCTGAAATCACCTCCTGTGCAGAAGTCTTTAATTTCCCATTTTCTCTCTTCGTTATTTTCAGTTTATAGTAGAAGAATCAGTGAAGTGTGATATGCGAAGCAGAGGGCACCAGATACTCACTACTGGTACCAGCTAACTAACCTGGCAATTAATTGAAATTCGTCAAAAGAATTCGGAGAACAGATTTTAACTTGAATAACTAACTTTCTTCTTAACTTTTAGAGTAGTAAAGATGTCAAAATAAGCCTCCTCGAAGTTTTCATAACCCGATCTTACCTCAGTATCATATGGGAAAACCCCTAACGAAAACTTGGGGTGCGTCAGTGTCATGAATACTTGCGAACATAACTGTTATTGTGCCGCGCACTAATTTTTTTATTGAAGATTGTGATATGTAGCATGAAAAGGAAATAAAAACAAGATAAAGCGAAAGGAATGGGTTTAAAAAGAAAAGGTTGCGATTCCTTTAACGTTTTTGTCCCGAATTTTTGTTTCTGCTGTGGTATTCATTGATAATAGATGAACAAAAAGTCAACTTAGTGGTGTCGATGTCATTGGTAAAGGAGAAGGAGAGATCTGTTACTATGGTTTCTTTTGCTATAAATGACATTGAGCCGAGATGAAATAGCCTTCCTAAGTATTCAGAGGGTTGTGTGTCCTTATTGAACTTTAGAAAATTTGCATTAACTTTCTTAAAGGCCAACACTTTCTAGTCCTTACTATTCAAACTCTCTAATTGTTATTTTTAAGGTTTCATGAATCAATATTTGTATATGAAGTCAATGAAAATATTTACGACGCTATTGTTGTTGTTGCACAGGTAGCCCAGGCTCGCGAAATGAACCATCTTAAATATGCAAATATCATTACTTTGGCCGAAATATAAGGATTCGTATAGGTAAGCTATTCATCCAGCGAATAGCCGACACAGTGGACCAACAACTGAGAAGAGAGTAGGCAGGGTTTCGGAAAGGAGGGGGATGTACAGATCAGATCTTAATCCTGCGTAACATCATAGAGCAGTGCACAGAGTGGCAGAGACAACTCTACATCAACTTTGTAGACTTTGAGAAGGCTTTTGACAGCGTACACCGGGAAAGTCTGTGGCGCTTCTTTCGGGCCTATGGGATACCACAGCAGATTATCGACATCATCAAAAGCTTCTACAACAACTTCACACGCAGAGTAGGCAACAGCGAAACCAGCTTTGAAGTGAAGACTGGCGTCAGACAAGGTTGTACAATGTCGGCGATGCTCTTCAACATGACCATTGATTGGGTAATGAGGCGTACAACAGAAGATCAGTCACGGAGCATCAGATGGACCCTCTTCTCAACGCTGGAGGACCTAGATTTTGCAGATGATCTAGCTTTGGTCTCCCATACTCACCAACACATGCAGGAAAAGACGACCCGACTCAGTACTTACGCACAGCAAGTTGGCTTGAGGATCAGCCAAAAGAAGACAGGAGTGATGCTGTTGAACGTGTCCAACCCTACACCAGTTCAAGTGAACGGAGAAGACCTGCCAACAACTGAAGAGTTCACTTACCTGGGCAGCACAGTAAGGCATGATGGAGGAGCAGGGAATAACATCAAGAACCGTCTCAACAAGGCCAGACACGCCTTCAGAATACTCAACAACGTGTGGAGGTCCTCTCACTACAGCACAAAGACCAAGCTGAGAAGATCTGAAGATCTACCAAAACCTACTATATGGCTTTGAATGCTGGAGGATGACAGAGAGCGACATCACCAAGCTGTCAGTCTTCCACACAACGAACCTCAGGAGAATCCTGCGAATCTTTTGGCCTGACACCATCTCCAACCAACAGCTACTCGCCCGCTGCAATCAAGACAGCATGGAGACCATCATCATGGGAAGGCGATGGAGATGGAATGGGCACGTCATGAGGAGAGAGCAGGACAATATCACTAACACAGCCCTTCACTGGACACCTGAGGGAAAGCGCAAGAGGTGAAGACCAAGAAACACCTGGCACCGAACTGTGGAGGCAGAGCTCGAGACCATGCAACACATTTGGGGTACCATCCAGAAGCTGGCCCGGAACCGACAGACGTGGCGATCCTTCCTAGCCGTCCTACGTGCCACACGGCATAATGGGCATGAGTGAGTGTGATGGGTAAACGGTCGCACTCTCGACCTAAAAAATTCTGAATTAGTTTAGTTCAGCTGCTCTGCCTTCTGTCAAAGCCGAAAGGCGATATAGCTGCTTCATACCTCCATTATTTTTAATAAATTCATTACATGAGCTTCTGTCATTCTATCATAACTTGATTTGCCTTAAGACCATACTCTAATACCCTCCCGCTCCGTTTAAGACCAAGGGGTAACAGGACGGAAAAGTGTCTCATACATGACGTCTATGAAGAAAAATTCTTCACAGTCAGCGGTTACATTACGGAGTTTGGAGCTTCCTTCGAGCATTTAAGAGTTGTGCGGATCTGTAGTAATCTTCTACCGACGAAAATTTCAGCTTTCTCCCTTTTTGATTATATGTCTCTCTGATAGAAACAGACATGGGAGTTCCCAAGTTTTACAGATGGGTTAGTGAGCGATACCCATGCATAAGTCAAGTTGTTCAAGAACATCAGGTACAACTGCAATGTGCAATAGCACTCCGTCTCACTGTGTCAGATATTTGTGATAAAGGATGTGTTAAGTTTTTATCTCTGTCTTGTTTAATTTCAGATACCCGACTTTGATAATATGTACTTGGACATGAATGGAATCATTCATCCCTGCTCGCATCCTAATGACGATGATCCTCACTTCAGAAAAAGTGAAGAAGAAATATTCGCTGACATATTTCATTACATCGAAGTGAGAAGTGTTAAAGTCTGATCTAATAGTAATTTGTCGATCTTGTTGTTATTGTGGTCAGGCAGTTGAAATTTTCAGGTTTCTTAACCCTTTTTGTGGGCTTTTATGCCATATAGACGACAAATCCGATGTAGATGAACTTTTTCATTGTTCAAGAACCAGAAAGTACAAAAGTTATATCACTAAATAAGAAGAAGTAGGTAATACTGTAAAATTACATGTATAGATCGACAGTAACACTGATTAAATCACCTCCAGATAAGTATTTACTGAGGCACTGCTATGTTGTACAGCATAATCATATGATCTTGTTTTTGGCAAAGGGGCTTTCCTGGTGCTCAATATATGTGTAATGTCAGAGTTCTAAATTGAGATGTTATCAGTGTTCCCTCTTATTTTGAACACAGCAGGTAAATTGTATGTTCAAACAGGAAGAGGAATCCTTTTACCTGTGGAAGTTTCAAGAATATCCAAGCACATTGCATTGAAAATAAATATTCAGTACAAAAATTATATAGCATGTCATTGTAAGGCTAGTACTTCAGGAAAGGGTACTTATTAAAAGGCAAATGTTTGGACTGCATGAAGTGTTACTAGCTTAGCTCCCTTGGGCAAGTGCTATGATGAAGGATATACTGGCCCTGTAAAGAAATGATTGTTGATATAAGTTTGGTTCACAATTCTATGATACAAATTATTTTAACCAAGCAAAGTTTGTTCTGCTGTATAATGTTTTGTTTAGGTGCTGTTCCAGATTATTAAACCCAAGAGAGTTTTCTTCATGGCTGTTGATGGTGTGGCCCCTCGAGCAAAAATGAATCAGCAAAGAGGACGTCGTTTTCGGTAATTTTCAAATCTTTAAGTAACACTATATGCTTCAAATTTTTTCCTATTCAGATTTAATTCTTCTTTGGAACCACTTGGTGGGAGGTTGTTCTTTTTATTTCATTTTGTTCCCTTGAATTTCACAGGTCTGTATACCTGTCTTTTATGTATACATGTTTGTACATAGTACATGTATGTTGGCAAATTTGCCAGTTATTTGATCAGCTAAAGTTTTTTTTCTCTGGTTTAAACTGCAGGTCTGCTAAAGAAGCAGAACAAAACATTCGTAAAGCTTTGGAAAAGGGCCAAGTTCTACCAAAAGAAGAAAGATTTGATTCTAATTGTATTACTCCTGGTATGTGCTTGTAATCATGTATATTGTGGCTTAAATAGTCTTTCATGCGTGATTATGAGTTGTGAAATAAATTCAGTATTCTGTTTTTACACCAATTTTTTGATAAGTGAATGTTAACACTTTTTTGATAAACATTTAACTTGTGTGTTTATTTGGGTTTTTTTTCTAACAAGAATATAGATTTATAGCTTGTCTTATTCAACTGTTGTGTGTATGGTGTTTTTTCTTTTTTAGGTACTCCTTTCATGGTAAGACTCCATGAACAATTGAAGTTTTTTGTCAGCTATAAGATTTCTACTGATCCTGCTTGGCAAGGATTAAGAGTATATCTGTCTGGACACGAGGTATTTATCACCTAAGTTTCATTAAACTGTATTTTTTCTTGACTGGTCAATAAATGGTACCTGTGGTGCCTTTCAGTAATATATTGTTGCTGTATAGCCTTGCATCAGCTCTTTAGGTAATTATTATTGTGTCTTAATTTTTTATGCTTATCCTCAAGCTGTGTAAAACAGGTCATTTGATACTCATTGGAACATTAATTATCCTTTTCAGACACCTGGTGAGGGTGAGCACAAAATCATGGACTTCATCAGGTCTGAGAGAGTGTGCCCTGATTATGATCCCAACACAAGGCATTGTTTATATGGCTTAGATGCTGATTTGGTGAGATACAAGCTGAAACTAAGTTAAACAGTTTATTGAAAGTTCTGATTGCCTCTTAAAAGATGTCAAGCAGTAATTATACCAATCTATAGATTTAGTTAAAGTGCCTTCAACCCTCCCAATTTTTCTTTTTTTTTCTTTTTGACAAAGTAAATCTCCTTTTTTTATTGTAGCATCTATTTCAGTTATTTGTTTATGAATTTTCAGAGATCCCAAATGAATTTTTAATATCATAATTGGAGTGGCTCTTGAAATATTGCTCTAGTACAATTAGTTGGTTTTGAATTAAATGTCATTCCACTATCACTGTGTTTTTGAGGGTGGGAAAAGCAAATGATACTGTATTATGTTAAAAAAGGTAATAGTTTCTCCTGTGTGTTATTTTCTTTGCTTTGGACTGACCTTTCTCTTCTAGTAGAATTGACTTCAGAGATATACCTGAGGTATTTGTCCAAAATTTCATCTGAGTATCCTCTATTCTTCAAGCATATTTTGAAAATCTGTACTAAATGTGGAGCATGATAAATTTGTTCTTGGAAAGCATAGTACTTTTCCTTTTACAAATCTTTTCTTTACGCCTGGAGGATGATGCCAATAAAATCTTGTGTATACAGGTCTTCATCTTTTTTTAATGCATTTGTATGTCAAGGGTTGATTCCCTGTAAATCTCTTGCTTCCACACAGGTTTGTGTCTGGGAATCTAATTTGAGCAGATTTATGAGTGGCGGATTTGTTCATCTGTCAGTTGTTCATTTGACAGGTTCCTGATGTGCTGTTTACGTGACTCAATATTTTATCCTTCTACTTCTGTCTCTGTTTTATTTTACAATTTTTAACTGCCAGTTTTATTTGGGTCATGTTTCACCCTTGGCTTTCTTTTTCTGAGGAGGCACAGATTGTACACATACAAGAGTCAACTTCTCTACTGCCTGTTTGTGCTCTCAAATTTCCGAGAAGCTCGTCTATCCCATGGCTAATTTGTCTACAACACTTGCTCTTAAATGGATTAGATCTATGGCTACTGATTCTAGGTTGAAAATTCTATTACAGTTTTTTGCCCACTCAACTCTTCCGAGCTTTGTTGTAAGTCACCAGTGCTCCCACAAGGTCACAGTCTGCTGTCTTTCTAATCAAGCTTAGATATTTGATTTAAACTCTTCATTGATGGCAACATGTGCCCTCACATTGTATCTTACGCTTTTTGAGCTTGTACCCCTCTTGAGATGAGCTTTTAAGAGTCCAACAGAATTAGGAGATGAACTTTATTTGTTTGTCTCACGATGGAGTCACTTTGGATGTTGATTGCAACATTTCTACTGCAATACTGCTAGTCTTCATCAGGCAATAAGGTTGATTGTTTATGTGTCGCTGTTTGTAGCATATTGGTTTGCTGCTATTGTTGCATTTCAATCCTCATTATCATTCCAGTTGTTAGATGGTGTTCCTTCATAAGTCCTCATTGATTGGCTGTTGTGTTGTTTGATTGTGGGTATCCAAGCTTCAGGAATTTTTATATCTTTGACCCTAGGTGTATAACAGTGGGGGTCATGATCAATAAACTTAACTTGCTCCAAATAGGAATATACCCCATTTTGTTCACATGCTCTGAAACCACAGAGGTCTGAGTACGAGCAAACCATATGTCTCTGTCATGTTCTTTTTTCCTTTCTCACATTGATCTCCTTATTTCACCAATATACACTTTATACATGCAAATGGGATCTTGTAAACGACACCTTGTTTTGTTGGTTCCAGGGCCTCTTCAGGTTGTACTAGGTCTACAACAAAGATGTTTGTCTGTCAGTGTACTACAGAGGCTTTTGAAAATTTGTCACTCAGTAGTTTTGGATGTGACAGACTTGCCCTTGTCATAAAGTACTGTTGACTTGGGAGCACATTCTTTTCCAGTCCTCTCTAAGAATCCATGATTTTAAACCTCAGTAAAATCAAACCAGGCCAAGACATTACACCCATTATATGTTGGTCAAACTGTCCAGCTAAGGTATCATTATATACATGTATCAAATACAATGCCAAAGATGGTTACTGGATCCTTTCACAAGATTGTCATGCTCATGTAATGAAACACATTTAGTAGAGTTTTACTGCAAGGAATCAATCATTAATTGAATGCATTTTGATTAATTGTTTCAACTTTCATTTTTCTTGGAGACATTGTTTGGGAACAACATTCGTATTTGTGTAAAGTTGCAGTAAGAATGAGCAGTGCATTAAAGCTAATACTCTTTTTGAAAGAAAGATTAGCAGCTTTATTTATTCTTTACCAGATTATGCTTGGGCTCTCCTCACATGAACCTCATTTTGCCTTGCTGCGAGAGGAAGTAAAATTTGGAAAGGCATCAAAAAGGTTAGCTAAATTTAATCATTTGATCTAATAGTCAAATGAAAGTGTGCTTATTTGGAACCTGTTTTTTTGTTGCATGACCCCCCTGAAACTTTTTGTTGTGTAGTCCAACTGTGATGAATATTACTTACAATTACCCCTGACATCTTTTGGGGAATAATAATTTATGATGATCCATTTTCCTTCAAATTACTTTGCGAGGTGTTACAGAGTCTACTTGTAAACTTGTATAAGGTCATGAATTGCTGAGTTTTTTTGACAAGTTTAGAAAAGCATAATTGAAAATGTTATCCTTTCACATGTTTGATGGCACTTATTGTTTCATTATTTCTTGGTTGTTAAGGTTGACTCCATGATTAAGGAAACTGTTGAAGAGCGTTTAGTCTCACTAAGAGAGTGATCTGTTTATTTTCATTCTTCCTGTTCTTAGTGAATGTGCAGCACCTGTTTCCACTTTAAAACCCCTTGCCAGTTGTTGATGTTGAACATTTGTCCTAGTATGGTCCTCACTTGCAATTTTAGAAACAACTGATTTGTTTGCTTTATTCTTATACTATTGATTAAACTTAATTTACCCTTACACTAAGGATCAGACATGTTGCATTCTCTGTCTTGTTGTTTTTTGCCTTTTTTTTCTTGGCAGAATTACAAGGCCTGAAAAGATTACTTTCCATCTTCTTCAATTATCTTTGTTCAGAGAATACCTTGACTGGGAATTCAATGAATTAAAGGTGACAAAAGAGTATGTCAAAACTTTTAGATAAAAGATCGTTTGACACTGTTTGATCATGTGGAGAGCCAAAGAGCATGAGAGCAGAAGATTTACATTTAGGGAACAAAGAAAAAAAGATTGTTTAAAGAGTGTGCAATTGAGAGAAAGACGGTAGATTAAAATAAAATAGCAGAGACAAGGAAAGAAATTGAGAGAGAAAATTTATTTAGTGGTAAGAGAAAAAATTATTCAGTGGTACTCTATGCGCAAGGTAACTTTATGATTAAAATAAGTGATATGAACTTTCATCATTGATATCACCTGGTAAATTGCTCCATTTAATTGCCCCCCTTTTAAAAGTGCAGTCTACACTAGAGCTTTCATCAGCTTTCCCTGACAGTTTGTCTGTACCAATTTATACTCCTGGATGAAGATATGGACAGTGAGATGAAAGTGTCTTGCCCAGGAACACAACACAATGACCATGCTACTACTCAAAACCAAATCTCTATACTTGGAGTTTGTACTGTTAAGCCACCCCATCTCCACAATAGCACTCCAATACCTACTTTCAAAGGAAATACTGCTATTTTACTGTGAACTTTATTTGGTATGTACTGTGTATTTTTGATACTCAGTAGTATACTTGTGCACCACAAGAGGGTATTTCTTCACTTGCTATGAAAAAAGTTGCAAAATATGTAACTATATATGGTTACAGTTGTGATTACTATTTATTTCACAGGATAAATTGCTGCATCCCTATGACCTGGAAAAAATCATTGATGATTGGATTCTTATGGGATTTCTTGTTGGAAATGACTTTATTCCTCACTTGCCAAATCTTCATATTAATCATGTGAGTTGGGAGTTTCACACTTAGAGACAATAACTATTGCATTTGATACACTGTATGTGCGAATGTTATTCCAATTTGTTTCATTTTTAGTTAAATTAAAGAGATGGAGTGTCAAATCTTTTACTTTTCAAGCTAGAAGTATGAGCTTTGAAGTGTCCATTATTATTTTTTACCGAATGAATTTAGAGTTTTACAGTTCTAGTGGCACTATGTTTTTTTATGCCTTTGTATTAAATGGATACAAAATTGTGCATATACTTTCTCCTTTCCCTCTGTCTTGGATGGTTGCTGCTCTTTTGGATTTATCACCATGTGGTCATGGTCTGTGGGGTTGTAGCAATATTATTTTGTAGCTCTATATATTTGCTATGGTTGGTCATACTGATTCATCAAACTGATCACAGATATTTTTTTGATTCTGCCACGCATACACAAAAATTAACTCATACTCGTAAGAATAATTTGAGTTAATGTTTAAATAAAAAGAGGTAAAGAGACTGGAAAAAGACCAGAAAGCATTTGATACTGAACAGTGTATATGACTGTGTGATTTATCTTCTCTTATCTAAGAAATTTAAAGGACAGTCTAGCATTTGTACCAAAAGAGGATGTTTACAGGAGTGTTTTCTCACCACAATAGGTTGTTGGTGATTAATAAACCAAACCAGGCATGTAAGGACAGCAGTATTGGTCCACTGGAGTTGAATTTGCTTTTGTCCCTATGATTAAGGATTGTTGAGCTAGATGAAGTGATTTGCACTGACTCACCAACATTCAAGTTGTCAAGGAGAGCAATACTATCTTGTTGGTTTAGGTGGCTTATAAGGCTCTCTCTTGCTCCCCCCAAAAGGTTGAATGTCTTGTGTTGCCTTTACACAATTGTTTCATTGTGACAATTATTTACATGTGAACAAGAATGCCATTTTCTTGTGTCATTTCTTAATAGGATGCTTTGCCCTACCTTTACAGAGTTTACATTGATCTTATGCCTTCACTTGATGGTAAAGTATTGTCAGCAATAAAATTTGTTTCAAGCACATGTATCTTACCATTAGTCTCTTACTATTTGCATATAAGTGGAATACTTATGAAGAAGATATTTTCATGTACAGTTTACATTAATTGATGTTTGCTTTTTGGAATGATATTTTTTATGAAATATTTTACATAGAATCAATAGGTTTTTACATAATTGTATTAAGTTCAGTTCTGTGTGTTTACACTGTGTGATGTACAGTGCACATGTACATCTACTCTTAGTTAAACACTCCTTTTTTAAAAACATCAAAAGTTTGAAAAGATTAGAATATTCTGCAAAATTAGAACAAAACTGTAGAACTATACCTATGGTAGTATGGTACAGTGGGCCTATTATTTTACCAAATTCTCTAGAGACATAAATGGCAGTTCACTTTGCTTATTTACATGAGCGTTCACTTTCCAGAATCAAAGCTTTTAGTTCTTTATGCTGTTTAATTTGTTTGATGTGTTGGGGCAAACAAGGTATTGAAGGTGGCATTTGAAATTGAATGAAGGAGGAATTCAACCTAAACCATGAATTTGAAGAGGTCTTTTTGAAATATGAGGTGACTCTTGTAATCAGCATGATCTGTTAGTTAATCACCTGATCTTGTGAATTCCTGGAGATTTTCATAGTCACTGCGTGGACAAACTCTTAAATGTTCTCTCAGAAGGAGCAAAATTAACAGTGTTGCTGTCATCAAAATCAATATTGAGAAACAACCTATTTGTACTATGTATGAACATTAGTACATCTTTCAGAAGAAAGGACTAGTTGCTGTATTGTCAGTAGGGTTTTAGTCAGAGCTCAGTCACATTTTATTGGTGAAGGTGTGTGAGATCCCTATTTTTGGAATGAAAATTGAACTTTTAGCTATTAATTCTGCACTTGAATTAGAAAATAGATGACTCTAAGGGATAAATTTTGAAGTAATATTTTTTCCATCAAAGTTTATGGAAAGAAGCCTTGACTATTCTCTGATTTATTACAACTCACTTAGCCATATTTAGAGCACTTTGTTATGTGCTTCTTTTACAGTCCTTCTGCTCTCTATTTGCTCTCTTTGAGCTCTGCAACAGAATGGAGCACAGATGAAGCTTGTTTGATTGTCAACTAAAATATCATTAAATGATCATCAATATTATTTCACTAAGGTTATCTTCATGACAGTGGAAAGCTTGTATTACCCAGGTTTGAGAAGTATCTTGAAGCTTTGTCAAAGGTTTGTTTAACTTTTAACTTTTTCTTTATTATTTTAACAATGTAAGAGAATGTTTGTAAACCTCTTGAGTTTGGAGAGCCTAAGGATTAGTTTGAAAAGTGTATTCAACCATAACCTAGGTTAGCCTTTACTTGGATTAGAATAGTGATGGTGAAGCATGTGTATGGTGATTTCTTTGATATCACAAACAAAACATTGATGCACTGGTTTCAATGAACTGGATCAAATCTAAATTAAAGGTGTTTTAATATTACACAGTGACTGTAATTCATATGATAGTGTAACACAACAAATAAAAACTTGGAAAGAATCCACCAGCAGAGTTTACAGTAATTGTTCTTCAGTTTGGAGTTGGGAGCTTTTTTTAGAATTGTAGATCACAACAATAAAGTAATGCTTCCAATTTGTCCTGTTACCTACTATTGTGAGGCTTATGGAATAATAGTGAAGTGGGAATACTAGTGAATAATAGTGAATGGTGAATTAATTACTTTTATCTCAGTTTGATAGAGAACATTTTGAAGAAAAGTTTGTCGACATGAAATGGTTTGAAAGTAAGAAGGGCTTTACATTTGGAAATAACCCTACGGATTTTGAGGTACTTGTACTAATACTTTGTCTTTCCATTGTAAAATTTTAATTCTTAACTCTCTTTGTGAAGAAGCTGAGACTTAATTAACTAGATGTCTCACCTTGATTAAATGCGCAATCTGGTCAACCCTAGCTTTTTCTGTAATGATGACACATGCACATGCTGTTACTACATTTTTGTTAAAGAATCAGATCTTGGGATTTAAATTCAATTTGTTATACACACTGTTATGGATTCAAGAGTTATGTCCATTTAAACATCACAACTATGAGAAAATGATTCAATTTATAAAGATTTCTTTAAGTTTTGGGTAGTGAGTATTTTCTCTGTCTAGACAGTCCAGTTTAAGAAAAACACGGGTAACTCTTGTTTTGTGGAACACTATTGTTTGAGACTGTGATATTGTGTGTTGTCTGTAATACAGTGGTGTCTGTTAAGTGTTATGGAAAACAAATTCAAGGTTTTAGACATGTACAATTAATTTAGAGTCAAACAGAACTTTGATTTTTCTGGTACTTGAGTTGTTTAGTTTAAGAAAAGAAAATTTCATCTACACCAGTCCTGTAGTAACACAAAATGTATTAAAATATATTAAAGTTCACATGGCAACAAGGTGGACAATCAGACATAGTTTGATGCTACTCTGGTTTGCAGATTTAATGAATGTAACTGAAGAAGTTACAATTCATAGACCCAACATTTCAACACTCCTGTCTAGTGCCTTCATCAGGGGTGATCTAAATGCTGCAACAAGAGGTCCTTTTATATGATCACTAATTAGCGGCATTTTTTCTGACGAGGTGTAAATAGGCATCAGGAAGCAAACTGCCATCGTCACAATTTAAAGGAGCATGGGCGGAGTTAATATGCCAAGCCTCCAAACAAAGGCACTGGTGGTAACGCCGATTAGTGGTGATAATTTTAGAATTATCCCAACCTATTGTATGGTTGGTTAGGCATGAATGCTCCGATAAAGCTGAATTTTCCTTTTTGCAAAGAAAAACCGCTTTTTGGTGCTCTTTTAACCGTGTACCAAACTGACGTTTGGTCTGTACAATGTATTCGTTGTCACAGTCATTGCAAGGAATAGAATAAATGGTGTCGGTTTGTTCTTCTTTCATGAAAGGATCCTTAGGTTTGGCGAAAATATGCCCCAAAGTCTGAAAAGGTTTTTGAGCAACTTTAATGTTGTGGCTATTCAAAATTCTCTTGATGGGTTCAGTAACACCTTGTATGTAAGGAATAACAGCAAAACCAGTCGCTGGTTCCCTTTCATCAAGAGCATTACTATTTGTAACTGGTTTCTGGCAGTTACGGAGAAAAGTTTTTGTATAGCCATTTGCCTTAAGGACATTGGAAACATATTTCCTCTCCTAAGCCTTCGAATCAAGTGAAGATGGTAGACAGTCAGCCATCCTGAGTAAAGTTTTGGCTACAGACTTTTTATGGCAAATAGGGTGGTGAGAATTGAAAGCGAGGTATTTGTCAGAAGAAGGGTTCAGGATAATTTAGAGACAAGTGTCTATCGTAAACCTACCCAAACCTAAGGATCCTGTCACGAAAGAACAACAAACTGACGCCATTTATTCTATTCCTTGCAATGACTGTGACAACAAATACATCGGACAGACCAAACGTCAGTTTGGTACACAGTTAAAAGAGCACCAAAAAGCGGTTTTTCTTTGCAAAAAGGAAAATTCAGCTTTATTGAAGCATACATGCCTAACCAACCATACAATTAGGTGGGATAATTCTAAATTATCACCACTAATCAGCATTACCACCAGCGCCTTTGTTTGGAGGCTTAGCATATTAACTCCACCCACGCTCCTTTAAGTTGTGACAATGGCCATTTGCTTCCTGACACCTATTTACACCTCATCAATAAAAAGGCTGCTTATTAGTGATCATATAAAAGGACCTCTTGTTGCAGCGTTTAGATCACCCCTGATGAAGGCACTAGACAGAAGTGTCAAAACGTTGGGTCTATGAATTGTAACTTCTTCAGTTACATTCATTAAATCTGCAAACCAGAGTAGCATCAAACTATGACAAAATGTTTTTTTTTCTTTAAATCTTTTTTGGCTTTTACAATTACAGACAGATGAATCTGTGCTACCTTTAGACAACAGTTTTGCTGCTTTAGAGTTCATGCCTGAGGAATCTGTTACCTCAAAGGGAAAACAGACAAAGGTGAAGCTGAATCCAGAAATTGAAAAACTTGCTGCAAAGTTTGATGAAGAACAAAGTGATGAGGATGAAGATGTCTTTGAGACTGAATTTGCTATGCACAAAAGGGATTACTACATACAAAAGTTTGGATATGAAGAAGTAAACAGGTATAGACCATATTATAGACCATTGAACCATTTCACATAACAAGGCCGTTTTCACCTGTTGGACTTTTATCTAGTTGGACCATTTCTACCTATTAGACCATAATTTATACCATTCTCACTGTTATAACCATTAAATCAAGTAAGACCATCTTAGCCAGCTGGACCATTCTTCTAGTTTGACCACTTAAACTGCTTGGATCAATTTAACCAGTTGGACCATTTTTTACGGTGTGACCATTTTCCACTGGTTGGACCCTTTATCTAGTTAGACCATCTTATGCATTTGGACCATTTTATCCTCTTGGAGTAGTTGAATCTAGATGAGCCATATTAATTGGTCGAATGGTAATTTTATACATACAAGCACTTGGACTTTTTAAAGCGGTTGGACCATTTTATTTAGGAACATTATGTTACCAATTTGACCATTTTCTCTAATTAGTCCACTTCTATCAGTTAGACCAGCTTATCTAATTACCCTATTTTAATTGGTTGGACCATTTTAACTACTTAGACGGTTTTCACCCATAGTCATTTTATGTAGTGGGACCATTTTAACCGGTTGGGTCATTTAAATAAGCTGGACCATTTTTCTAGTTAGACTTACTTAACCAATTGGGTCATTTAAACCTGTTGGACTCTTTTGTACATGTAGCTAGACCATTTTAACCAATAATGCCATTTATTTGGACCAGATGGTCCTAGATAGACCAAGTTGAGCCATTTTTATGTGTGTTTTTATTTTTATAACTTCAAGCTCTCAATGGAAGTTCAAAAGTGGGTGACTGTACACAGCACTACACTGGGTTGAAAATTCTTCAAATTTAGATGATATGATCTAAATCTTTCATGGTATTCCAGTCACTAAATAAAACTTTTCTCTGTAGCACAATGATGGTGTGGGGTTTTCTCCTGCTAACATCTAATGACAAATCTTTATCAGGTTTCTGCCTTGAAACAATATACCTCAGAAAGCAATTATGTGAACACAAGTGTTTTGACTGAAAGCATGATGCAGTGAATTCAACAAATTTTCTTGTATCTCAGAAAAGCACAGGAAAAGTACTGCTGCCCAATCTAGCAGCCAATGTTTGCATAAGATAATTGAATTTAATAAATTAGGCAAAAACTTTTACTGTTCCCACATTCTTTTTCACATCATTTGTGCATTACACTACTAGAATGGACTCAAAATTCTCTCCACTTCAACAAGATTCACATGTTAGTTAAGGGGAAAAATAATTTCCCAGCAATGAACCCAGTGACCAGATTGATTCAAATATACTTGGCTCAATCACCCACCTCATCACTCTTTCATAATATATTTTCTGTGTTAAGTGGCTCACAGACACTTTGATGTTTAGTTGGACCATTTTTATTAGTCAATTGAACAATTTTATTTAGACCATTGTAAGCGGTTAGACCATTTCAATCAGTTGGGCTATTTTAACTAGTATGGTCATTTTAACTAGTTGCCCCATTTTTCTTGGTAGGCCATTTTAACCGATAAGGCCATCTTGATTTGATGGACCAATTTCCACCAATTCAACAATTTTGTACCAGCTGGAGCATTTCCTCTAGTTAGACTGTTTTAACCAGTCAGAGCACTTTTTTCTAGTAAGAGCATTCTGATGGATTAAACCATTTTTCTGGTTTCACCATTTAACCAGTTGGACTTCAGTTGCTTAATACTAATAGTTTGGATTGTTTTCACTGGTTGGACTATTTTAAACACTTGGACCATTTAGTTGGAATAGGTGGAGTTAGTTAGACCAATTTAACCACGTGGACCATTTTAACTAGTTGGTTCATTTTAAGTATTTAGACCATTTTAAGTGGTTGGAGCATTTTTTTAGTGAGACCATCTTATGATTTTTGGCTTTTTCTGTGTACTGTAGGTAGACCATTTTAACTGGTTAATGCTTTTGTAGTAAGTTGACTATTGTAATCCATTGGGTTAAGCTAGTTGGACCATTTTATCTAGTTACCCCACTTGAACAAATTTAAAGAGGGTAGCACTTATCAGCCAAAAGGCTAATAAACTTCTGGCCCTTACACAATATATACATTTATCATTTAGTAAAATATGGAAATAAGGACAAATAAATGAGTATATTTTTGTGCCAAATGGAGGCTTTTGTGTTTAGTATCCTTCAAAATACTATTTTTGCAATAGACAGGGAAAAAATGTTCCTGAGCACCTTACCACATAATATGTGCAATTTTCAGTGTTCTCCATTACGACTTTGAGTACAAACAAACATGTCTCCTCTATAACAACTGCAAAAACCTCTTTCATCTTGCATTAGATTTTAAAGGAACTGAAGACTAATCATGGCTCATGAATGGTTTAAAAAGTGGGGAATATCACATGTTTTGTTTCGGGGATATTAGGTCATATTATGCATTTAGAGCAATTGCATGAATGCAAAAATATTTGATGGATTGTGATTGGTGATAGTTAAAAAAGACTTGTATATGTTCATGTATGAAGCAGCATCTGTCTAACATTCACCCTTCACCCTTAGAATGCTAAAATAGACCAGTGGCCATATGCGTGTTATTGACTTTTTGCACAACTTAATTCAGACTAAATTAATTTTACAGAGATGTCCTTGCGGAGCTAACCTACCAGTATGTGACAGGAATTCAGTGGATTCTTTCATACTATTTCAATGGAGTACCATCATGGAGTTGGTATGATGATTATAATGATCAAACAATTTTTTTTTCAATTTTGTTTTGAAATATTCCATTTTACAGTTGTGTGCTTGGTTGCCAAGCCTTTGAATAGGAGTGAGGCCAAGGGTGACCTTGTTATGATACAAACCTTGCTGCTTTTCAAATGTAAATTACTTTGTTATCATGTTAACTAGATACTGGTCTCTATCACAACAAGGTCACCTTCAGCCTCACTCCAAATCAAAGGCTTGGCAACTAAGTGCATAACTGTAAGATGGCCTATTCTTGTAGAAAATTGTGTGAAGAAAGTCTGTGAAAATAGTCTTAGCTTGCAGAATGTGAAAACATTTTGTTGAAGCCACCTCCCCCCCCTGTTTTGATAGGGATTTGATCCTGCTGAAATTGGTTTATTTGGGAGTGATGTACACCAAACTTTTTTCAAAATTTTTGCATGTATAGACACTAGATAAGTGGAGCCACCTTGCGATCTCCACTGCTAAGTGCAATTTACTATCTGACCATTCCTGCTAACTTGGCTGACTGACAAATCAATAAATTAAGCAAGTTACTTGCTACCCATCCACTTCCTGCTGTCTTTAGTAGAAAAACTTAGTAACAACATATACTAAGGAATCAATCTTTGGCTCTTTTTTTAGGTTTTTTCCTTTCCATTATGCTCCATACATGTCAGACATAAGACATTTTAGCAGCCTAGAAATCAAGTTTGAACTGGGAACTCCTTTTCTCCCCTTTGAACAACTACTGGCTGTGTTACCAGCTGCTAGCAGGCAGCTACTCCCAAAGCCTTTCCAGGTAAGAATATATCAACCTTTGTTTGTGGATATGTTGGTAATTTTTAACACACACAAAGTGCAACTACCAGGCAAGGTTGTTCACCACCAATATTGTCTTCTTGTGTTTCTTTCAAACAAAACTTGTCTTTTTTGGCAACTGTGGTGAGGCATCAATTCCTTCAATAATCTTATCTGCATATTTCATCAGCTATGAAGATGGCTTTGTGAGTTCGCCTTTTCTTACATAACTTTGAATTAACATTGGCAATTCATTGAGAGTGAAAGATATTTCTTAATTGACATGTTCAAGAGAAGATGGCATGGAAGTCTCTTTAGCTGGAATAAAATAATAGACTTTAGTGTTCTTTACATGACAACTGGTTGAGAATTTGGATTTTTGGTGACAGGATCTCATCAATATGTTGTGAGTGGTTAATGATATTTAAAAATAGTCTTTTTCATCCACACCTTAAAAATGCAAAACGTGTTTTTCCATTGTTTCTTCAAAGTGTTTTCAGTTTTTAACTATTGAAGAAATGATTTTGGATAAATTTTGTCTACCTGTACTGTGATACCCAAACATACCCAGTACCTTGCAGTTTGAGCAAACAAAAACTTTACCAAAATGTTACAACTAGTTCCTGGCAAAATCAAAATATATTAAGTTAATGAAGGCTGAGGATAGAAGTGTTTGTGTATTTTGTTCTCTTGGTTCTAGACCATTCAAAGTTGGAGAAATGGAATTTCAATTTTTGTTGGGAAGGAGCTTTGGTTTGAAGTACTGAGAGTTTCAAAGACTCAAGAAGGCAAAATATAGTGTAATATTGGAACAACATCAGTTTCTTGCAACAGCAAATCCAAGGGGGGGAAAAGTGAGGTCCAAAGGTAGCAGGAGTTTTGAAAAACAGAGTGTTCCAAAAATCATGATTCAACTTAATGATTTGCAAGCCATTAAGCACTAAAGGATTTGTTGTAATGGAATGTGTTGTGTTTTGTTTATTGGGAATGTCAATGTTCGCAGATCTGAGGGATGTTGAGATACAAAGGAAACAAAATGAACTGTTTCTCAAGGGACCTATCTTTAAGTGATTTAGTACCACAAGACAATAGAGGATGCAATATGAAAATAAATAAAAAATGCATTAATTAATTACATGTATTTAATTGAATTGAGTGCAAAATACTGCAGTTATAAAATATACTACATCACCTTCAAGCCACCTTCAAGCCACCTTCGCACCACTTTCAATCATGCTTTGATCTGGGTAACAGTGCTTGATGACATAAATTTTACATTATTAGATGTTATGTAACCTCATTTAACCATTGAGAGCATGGGTTGTAGTTACATGTAGAGGGGAAACAATTCCAACCTCAAAAAAAAATCTATTATCATTTTCCACAGAACTTGATGATCATGGAACAGTCCGATATTATTGATTATTATCCTGTAAATTTCAAGACTGATTTGAATGGTAAACAGCAAGAATGGGAAGCTGTGGTGCTCATTCCTTTCATTGATGAGGTCAGTATGAGTAGCAAGGTTGGAATGCACTAAGTAACGAGACAGGTCTTTGTGACTAGTTGCTCTGTGTGAGCTGCTTCTTAAACAAGTCACTGCAACATCTTGCAAGGTTACAAGTTACCTCACCAATTTGCCTTGCATGACAATTTTTTTGAAAAATTAATCTTTGTCCTTTATAGAGAATTTTTTTGCTTGTATCAGGGCATGAATTTAATTCAGTTTGAATTGTGTAACTGCAACAACAAAATTAGTTCAGCAACAAATTTCTGTTTAAGGGACAAAGATTTTCCCCAAAACTTAAGGTAATTGTGAGTTAATTTAATCAAGATGGTGGCCACAGGTGTGAGGCTAGTGCTCTGCACTCTTTTGCTACAACTGTATTTACTTTAAATTTGCTATTTAGCCAGATACATTTTGATATTATCCATTTTGTAGAGAACAATACATGGGTGCACATAGATATAGAATTTCTCTTCAAGTGTTTAACTCAATAGCTCACGGGTGAGCCCAGCAAATGATTGAGATGTTGTGTTGAACACGAGAAGAGAAATTTCATATCTATAAGCAACCATGTATTATTTTGTTTATCTTATAGAAAAATAGCCCTTTACTGACAAGAAAAACCGCCTTTACTGATAAAACAGTAGGCGTAATTTTCAATATACAAAATTCTCAGTTATTGAATTGGACCTTACTGACAGGAGAAATCTTTCAGGTACATGGCTAAAATAGGCCTGTGGCAAATCTTTCAGTTGTCAATTTTCTTTCTCAGCTGCAAGAAATGCCATTACCAAAGCCACTGAATATGTAACTTTCAATTTTTCTTTTCGTATATTGGTTTTCTTCCCCTTCTAGGAAAGTTTGAATGTCACTGTCTGTAAGCAATATGGATTTTTCAGCGTTTTAGCAGCCATAATCCAAAAATATTCTAACAAACAATCTTGGATTGAGAATGGTGAAGGTTTTGTTGTTCATTCATCACTTGACCAAGTGGCATGAAAGATGAGTGACATGTCAGCAACTGATTGGCAATATCAAACACATGAGAAAAAAATTCCATATTTTTCCACATGTTGCTGCAGCTTTTCTCAGGGCTGGGAGTCCTTTTATAACACTGTAGTTTATACTATAAAATTGTAGTATTAGTTACTTGATAGTGAGTGCTTTATGTGGTTTTGATGCAGGGTTGTAGATAAGAGCCGGCAGCCGGCGAAGTACACCGGCTTCTCTGCAAGGTTTCGCCGGCTACTTTCATTGCTTCGAGAGCCCATACAATGATGATGTTAATCAGGTCTAAACTTGGGCTCAATAAGAATATAAATTTGCACTGCCTATTTTTTCTGAAAACATAAAAAGACTTCTGACCCACGGTTAGTTTAAAAACGTTCTGATGGGGACTGTCTTTTTGACAAATCTCGTTGCGGTGGCAGGAAAGTACGAACGATATGACGTTTTGTCCGCCATATTGGATTTCGAGATATGAATACATAATTATGCGAGCAGGAAACTGGGAAAGAGCAGTTTCGAGACCACTCCAGACCCACAGCCGGTTACCTTTAAAAAAGCTCCGGCTACTTAAAACCTTAAAGAAAACCCTGTGATGCCAAGTCTTATCCTAGTTGTAAAGATGCTCTCAGAAGATTCTGTTGTGTATGCACAACATTTCCTGTTGATACAGAATGCTGATGTTTCTTTGTTTTCACAGTTTTTTTTTTCATTCCATGAAGGCTAACTATTAGAAATCCCATTACTATTAACAGGAAAGGCTTCTAGATGCTATGGCACCTTTGTATTCAAGATTAACTAAGGAGGAAGTTTCACGCAACAAGCATGGTCCTTGCCTTCTCTACACATATGATTCAAGCCTAACATTTGTTTACCATTCTTCGATGCCCAGAAAATTTTCTGATATTTCCTGTTGTCATGCAAGGTAACACTTACATTGTTTCACAGTTTTTGTTTAAATATTAGCTTTCTAGCCCTCTAGGAGCCAATTCTTTTCATCTGTGATAACAATAATAATATTATTTATCCAGGGAGCTCACATCACTGAATAGTTAAAGATATTAAAATTGAAAAGTATGGTATTAAAATGTTGAAAAAAATAACAGGATAGAAACAAGTTAAAACATGTGGTCTTCAAGGCTTACGAAAGAAGTGAAAATGACCTAAAAAAAATTCAAGTGACCTTATAGTTATAAGTATAACAGACGACAAGTCAGTATACTATTGGGCATTAGAAACAGAGTAACTGCCAAAGTTACAGCAGAAAAATAAATGAATGAACACGAACAGAGCTGACACAGCTGACAGAAAACACAACTGTAGATTTACATGGTGTTGTAACAGTTATTACATGGTACCCATGAGACATTGGAAGCTATTCCTAAAGAATCTTGGACAATAGTGCTTCTTTCAGTGACATCTGCAAAAACTAGAAATGTTAGCTTGTACAGCTGAGATATTGCACTTGATGACAAAAAGAGAATAAGAGAAAGAGGATAGGAACTGCATTGTAACCAACATCCTGTGCTCCTTGAGGAAGATCATGTGAGCAATTATCAATTTCTTTCATTATTTCTGTTGAAAGTTACTGCTTAGGCTATTTTCTATGCAGCTAGAGCTGAGAATTTTATTAGTCTAAAACGTTTTTGCTTTTGGGTGTAATTTTCTGAGAGCAATAAATTTAAGCTGTTAAACTCCAAAGCTTTTGAAATAATCTTCATTTTCAAGGACTTTGAAAAAACAGCTTTGTTTACTAAAGAATTCCAAACTTTCAATGTGGAAGCAAGTTCCACAGTTATCCAGATATAGGAATCCTTTCAGATATTAATCTTTCTAATTATTAATCTTTTCATTTCCAATCTTTTCAGTGTCAGCTCTATGTGTCTTTATTTTTGTTTGAAGACAAACTTACAGTCTGGTTTTTAAGGAAACGTTCACTGGGGAAAAAATTGTCAAATTGTCAAAAATTATCTTTAAATGGGAATGGGAATAAATGGGAATTAAGAATGTAGCCTAAAATTCGGAAACAGATATTGAAAAGGAGTCAAATTTGCTGTCATGTTTGATTGCGTGACATTAGCAGTGCCTTTTTCTTTTTTGTACATTTTAGTTCTTGCTTCCCAATTTTCCAAATAATCTTCATACATGTAATGTAAGAGATTCTTCTCAGTGTACTGGCAATATCTTCAACTGGTGGAACTGATTTTGCTCGGTTACATTTCCAGAAATGTAGGGAAATATAACTGTAAGTGCAATTTGGGGGTGTTTCTTTTTCAGAGCCCTAAATGATGTTGAGTCATCGTAATATTATTCTCTCACCTTTTCTCCCCATAAAATAAAATAGTACATGTATAGGCAAAAGTAGGTAGGCAAAAGCTTTTTTTACTTCATAAAGAGAATGCCTGCAAGGCATGTTATTACAGCTATACATTCATTTAGGCTGTGTATGTGTAGGATATCTTGCTTTATTTTATCTCTCAGTTAACACATGTGATATGACTGATCAATTTTACTGTAGGGCCCCCTAAAGTGGAAAGTTTGTCAAATTTAAATCTTCCCCTTCTATTTGAGTCTGGAGATAAAGTGAATATCTCACTAACCTTGTCTTCTTGATCTATACTGGAAGTTGTAGAACCTCATTTTTTCAGCTTAGATTTATGGCCCTCATACTTCATGCCTGAGCCATAAATAACAATGAAAAAAACTTAGACTGATAAATTATGAGGTACTTGCTGGAGTTTGCCCTTTTTAATGATTTGCTGTAAATAGATCAAACCAGAGGAGCCACTCTTGCAATGAATTACATTACAAACATTACAAGTCAGTGCAATTCTGTAGGTAAAACTGGCACATTTATTTTTTACCACATTTAACATGCAGGTGGGAAGTGCTTGATAAAGATGTCTTCCATGTTGCAGTGAAACACATGCAGCAAGGTAAAATTTCCTATATCCAAAGTTATTTTAACTCAAGTGAAGCCACTAAATACAAACTACATTATCTGACTGATTTTTCTTAATTTTCATGGTTGAAAGTTCTAGTTTTGCGGAGAAGTATTTTGACAATTTGTAGTAGTAATGATTGTATTTTAAAGTCTTATATTATTTATAAACCTTTCTATAGACATTTTCAAGCTTTAGAAGGTTTTAGCATCAACTCAATTTCAGCTTTCACTCATACATATGTTGGTGAAGCAAGTATTGGTATGAAGAATTTGCAGGCTTCACCTGGTAAATCCTTTCCACTAAGCACACTTACCATAAAGAATAGAATCTCCATAAGTTTTCTGTTACAGCTACATTCAACAGCTTTTTTACTTAAATTATCACCCAAGCTAGATAAGTAAACCTGTGAAGACATACTTTAAATATTACTAGACATAGAACCTATTGATCTTCTACTTTTATTGAAACATTATGCTGTTAAAATATGTACAGTTCTCTTCAAACCAAACTTGAAATGTTCTGTAGTTTTTGAGGTTGAAAGTAATTATAATTATCAAAAACAAAATTTGTTATAATTCATTGTACAGAATACCCCGGTGATAAAATGTTATTAGTTTTTTCACAATGCAAGTGTAGTCACTTCCAAGGTGGATTACCACTGTGCTGCATGGTCCTCTTCAGGTGATGAGGTCAACTGTTACATATCACCTTGCAAGGCACCATGGCCTATGGTGATGTGCTGGTTATCTGAACCAGAATAGGCTTCTGGGGGAAGGGAAGGGGTTTGTTTGTGCTAAAATAGAGCTGCATATCAGTTTTACATGCTATACAGAAGGAGGATTTTGATATAATTTAATTTTGGCAACTATTATATAAATTGTCTATCTTTGGCAACTGAATTTTCCATCCTTACTCCATCTCTCTTTGTATATTAACTTTCCTGCCCACTTCTTAATGCTTCAGGTCTCTGTGAAGGGGTTAAACTTGATGTGTATTATCCTGGATTTCCCACTTTGTATCATGTTCCACACAAGGTGAGATAAGAAACATGCAAACATGTGCATCCATAGAATTATATTAGTATGTATTAAACTGATAGCAGTTCAACCAGAGGGCTTTGGCTAGAGATTACTTGGCTGGCTGTTTTTTCTTTGCCCTATTGGAATCTGTAGCAGTACTGCATCCCAAAATCTTTTTGATGTCTTAAAACTGCATTTCAAATTGTATGTCTCTACTGTTTATAATCTTGCAACAACAAACAGAATTGAATAGAATTTAAATAGTCTCAAAATTGAATAGTTTCAGGGAAGTGGGCTGTTGAAAAAGTTGTGCTTTTTATGTACATGTAAACAAAACATGTGGCTGATAAGAATTCGCTTTTGAAGGCACAACTCAAGAAGGCAGGTGTAAAGGTTTTTCAGATGCACAGCAAGAGTCACAGTATGATTTTAAATATCATGGAACCCCAAGAAAAGGTACACAGATTGAAGTAACTATCGTGTTAAAGAGTCTTAACTTGTAGTAGTAATCAGATGTGTAGATTGTCTGAGAGGAAAGGTGTTAACAACAGAATAGAATGTAATTATCTCAATATATGAACTAGAATATGTGTAAAAGTTGTCACATTTGTAAAGTAGGTTATTTTTTTGTTGGCATACAATCTTTTTATTTCCATGGTATATATGGGATTGTGGGGAATGTTTTAGACAAATTGCAATAAGGAATTATGTCTGAATAACTTCCCCGTGCATAGTCTTACAATTATCACTAAATTGCATTCTTCTACCTTTAGGTTTTGTCATTAAGAATAGCTGAGGACTTTCTTGGTAAAACTTGCTATGTGGGCTGGCCTCACATGGTGGAAGCTCTTGTAGTTGGTGTTTGTGATGGCATTAAAAGGTACATGTATTAAATAACATAATTTACCCCACAGGGTTTTGGTGTTAATTATGACTTGGCAAGCAACACCCTCCTGGTACCCTGTGCATTCAAACTTCAAGAATACCATAAATGCTGGCTTTGTTGATATCATTCTTCATGATTTTTCCTAGATATTTTCACCAAAAGAAAAATTCTCACAATTCTGATAAGGAAGTGTTATACCAGGACTTGACAGAGTTGGAGGTTAAGAGCTGGAATCATCAAATCAAGTCTGCAAAAGAATAGTCAGTGAAAATATTAGTGGTATTATTTTAGATTACAAATTATTTTCCTTTCAAATGTTACACTTACCTAGGTATATGCACATTTGCTCAATAGTTCAGGACCATTGTAATAGGCTATTTATTATGTTGCCTTAGGGGAGGCTGATTGTTCATCAATCTTATTTTTCAGTCAATTAGAAAGAAGAGGAATAGAACTTGGAGAAACAAAGATTATAATTGAAGCTTGCCCTATCAAAGGAAAGAGGTCTGAACTTTTTTCTTATCCAGGTTTAGGCATGAGATTTAATGTCCTAAATAGGTCTGAAGACCAAAAGGATGACTCAAGCCCTCATGAGAAATTGAACAAAATTGAGTTACTGGGAATTTGATTCTTCAGGAATTAAGTACAAATTATGCAAAATAATGCAAAATGTTGGACGTGAGACATCTGCTAGAGGAATGTTTTCTCCTCCATACATAAGTCAGGTAATAGAGATCATCATAATCATTACGACAACTTACATGTGTATTGGATAGGATATAACCTATAGACGAGAGAACAAGAGGCAGATTGATCTTCACTGGCTAACTGCAATTAAAGTAATGGCAAAAAAATAAAATCTGCAAGACTAAGGCTTTGACTAGGACAGGCACTTAGCAAAAGTGAGCTACAGTACAATGTATGTATGAAGCCATGTGATACGATTGAGCCACTTGTAGTGTTTATTCTCTGGCTTTCAAAAAGTGTGACAGATTATCGTGGGTGTACAGCATGTTATGAATTGCATCACTCACCAATCGTGTCAACGAGTGAATTACACGCGCTTCAGAGCATGTGGAAACTTGCGTGTAGTACAAAAATTACATGTGTGCAATAGTCTACAGAGTACACACAAATGAGTGTATTGAAGTTAGTCGCAGGCATTTCCGTGTACTCTCTCACGCAAATGCTATTGCTGTGGGAGTTTGTATTCCACTCAATGTGATAATCCCTAACTGAATGCTTTCCTGCAACAGAAAAAATGCGAATTTGATCATTCAACCATTATTTGCTGAACAATATACCCTTCATTTTAACGTACTTCTGCTTTTCACTCCCTTCATGCAAAGGTTCAAAATAAGCCTCTAACATGGACCAAGCTTCCCTTACCAACCATTTAAGATTCTTCGGCATGATGATCAAAATAATATTTCGCGGGAGTAGTTGTTGCTTCCTTAAAGTTTGTCTGACAACTTTCAATTTATAATGATATATTTTTATATCAAAGTTTTTTTAACATGATATACTTTTAGTTCAAATTTGTGTAACACTGTATTGTTATTTTGTTTTTAAGCTTTGGGGAAGTTACTTTTGAATCGTAGTACTCTATGATGTCTCATTGAGTATTATTTAGATTCTCTTTGAAATCTTGAATCAAGAAAATCCTAATTGGGAAGATTTCCAATTATTCTAGATATGTATGTGGAGCCAAAGGTCTTGTTACCATGGAAAAGGAATGGTCACCTATGCCAGTCTCTTACCCTTACCAGTTGACTGTGAAAGTATGGCAGCTTTTAATTGATTTACTATTATTTTCTGAAGATTATGCTTTTTTTTTATTTCTAGTTGAGCCTTCATTTCCATCTACTTGTCGAGTGAACTTCTTAGATGTTTTCAAAATTTAACTCCACTTTATACTGGCAGTGTTATCCATCAAATTTTCATTGGTTATGATAATTCTTTGGGGTTTTCTTCAGTAAAAGGAAATTAGGGAAAATAAATTTCTGTTCGTTGTTCAACTTCTATGGAACTTTTTTTCCTTGTTCTATAGGATATCCATGTTCATGAGTCCCATGAGGATGATAAGATACACACGATTGAGGAACTTTTCCCCATTGGCAGCCAGTGTTTCATGTTAGCATCCCCATACTATGGTTCCTCTGGTGAAGTGATAGAAATTGATGTGAAACAGTCTCGCGTCAGAGTACAGCTTCATGTGCCACCTCAACCTGACTTACATTCTGTGATTGATAAATATAAGGTAGGATTTCTCTGAGAAGGAGTATGCTTAAAAAAAACCAACTACCTGTATATCTGCTATTGGAAACTATTTCCTATAAGATTTACTTCTTGCTGCAGAATAAAAATTCTAAAGAGTAAACTAAGTTTTCGAAAAGTATCTTCTATTGCGCTAAAATTTTGACTGTGCTGGAAGTCAATTTGATAAAAACTCAGAAACCTAGCGGATGCGGGGACTTACATCGCATTGCTCATGAACAGCTGCAGCCCTCGTGATCACCGAAAGAAATAATCATTTTAACACCTGCAAGAATTGAAAAAATAGTTACACTAACACACCTTAATGCTAAGGTCTAGAAAAATAAACAGTGGCTGAACACAGGTAGAGTAATTTTTGGTCGTCGCCACCACATCCGATTAAAACTAACATCATTTTAACACTTATTTAATTTTTTATGATCACAAAAACTAACATAGGTTTTACGACAGTTGCTGATGATCTTAAAATTTGTTTTGTTTAAGCCTGTTTAGGCCTTTGCCTACAAGCACCCACTATTCTCTTGGGTTTTTCAAGCTGAGCCAGCTAATGAATCATGGTGAGATGATGCCAAAAAACCTATGAGACTAGGAAATGCTTAAGGGCAAAAACAAAAGTCTTCACTAGCTGAGACAAAAGAAATGCACAGAAAAAGTCTATTACTTTTTCTCGATGATTGAAAAACCAGTGTTAAGGTGTGATATCACTAAAAGGAAAAGGAAAAAAGAGAAAAGACACATCAAAATGACATGGTCTACAGTGGATGTTGGTGGAGACAAGTGAGAACACAGGGAACCCCCTTTGGATGTGTTAACATCTTAGACATACGAGAGAAATTAAAAATAAATGTATGATGGCCATCAATAAAGCACTGAATAATCCAGTTTTGGTAGGATGTAAATGTGTAGTAATATCACATGTTGCCGGCGAATTTGACATTCGTGTGCTACATCTTTTGTTTTTAGGCTCTATCGGTAAATTACTTGCCAGCACATGTGGCTGCCAAAAAGCTTGGTATTACTACAAACTTGCTTTTAAGAATAAGCGGGAGCTTTCTGATTGAAAATGAGTCCAGCAAAAGGTAAATAACCATGTCAGGACACTTTTTTTTTAATGACTGCAATGTTTTAAGTTATAAGTTTAAGTCATACAACAAAAACAGGAACATGGTTGCTATTTCTCCAGCCTAGATCTGACAGCTTTTTTTTTTGTCATCGTTATCGTCATTACTTTCCATCACTCCATTTCCTCGTATGTTGGTTTTGAGGGCTGACTGTAATTTGCGATAAGAAACGAAATCAAATGGAAATCTTTAATTTGCAAAATGAAGTCAAAATTTGTAAATTCTGATATAGAAATATTGGCCATTCCTTTTTCCTTTCTCCATTTTTCTTAGCATTGATTGTTTCATTTTCCCGCTAGGCATGATATTTTCATTAGAAACAGCTTGCACACTCCTTTGGTCACGCAAAATTTTCTGGTCATGGAAGGTGTCGTGTCACGCATTCGAATTATTCATCAACTACGAACAGTGATGATTCTTTATAAATAGCTCAGCTTCAGTGCCAAGTAGTTTTTCAAATTACAGTTTTGCATTTTATAGCAACATGACGAAATTTTTCACATAACCGACGTATTGATTTCTTCTCCAGTGCATTGAAGATTTCGTAAGTACACTACAGAGATTTCCATATTGCCCAAAAAGAGGATTTAATTCATTTCGCAAATTACAGATTCTCATTTCGTCTCGTTTCGTAGGCAAATTACAGTAAGCTGATTTGTGGTTATGTAAAGTGTGAATCGGAAAGTGAAAGGGATGAATTATATAACTGGTTACCAACTAAAAACCTTTAAAAGCAAGAGATTAGAAGTACGAAGTTACGCCACTTGTAGTATACCTTTGACTGAAGCTATTGAATGTACCTTAGCGTGGATCACTTATTAATGTTGCACTTCACAACGTGTTCTTTTTTCTTTTTTGCCCTCAAGTTCTTCTGGTGGGACTACAAAGGTTGATATTGGACTCAACATGAAATTCAGTAAACAGAATAGAGAGGTAATTCCAACAAGGGCGTACTCATTCGCGGAATGTCATAAGAATATGAATCACCTTTAAAGGAAATCCTTTTTTTTTTTTTTTTTTTTTTTTTTTTTTCTACTTTATACTACTTTCATCGTAATTAACAGGCGAAAGATCTAATTTTGATAATTGGCTAATCTAACCAATAGAATAAGATGAAATCTGTCTTGTCGTTAGGCTGTTTTTCAAGGATGCTGGGTCTCACTCAAAGCTGTGATGACATAGTTTGTGCTTAAAATCTTTAAGTTTAAGGAAGCAGCAGAATGCAAATCTTGGTATAAAGTGTTCCACACCTCAACACCTTTGTAAGAGAACGTTCTTTTTAGTAATTGGTGGGAGGATGTGAAAGAGCCAAGTTGATTTCGGATTCCTGAATCGCTAGAAAGTAACGCCAATTTGAAATACAAAATTGGGGAGTCGTTCCACGTAAAGTAACATCATGTTCACTGCCTTCAGATATCAGAATACGAGCTCCACGGTTTTGGTCAATATGCCCACCATGCGATTTCACAGATGGAACCTGCATCACTGGATGGTCGTTTAACGTGAAAGATGGAATTTCTGATATAGTTTACAACCTTTATTTCAACGCTATGAACATTAACTTGGTTTCGTCATGTCGACGGTCCGTATATTAGCTGATACCCATGGGCACGCCCTATTTAGATTGTAGTAAGACAGCAATCGAAACGTCTTAAATATGTATTGGCAAAGGTTAGGCTGATATCGTCTGCATACAATCCATGTTGTCAAAAATGCAAGCAATTTGGCAAGTCATTAATTAACATACAGTAAGAACAGTTAAGTTCCTAAAAAAGTGCCCTAAGGGACTCAGTTTTGGAATTAATTTTCGGAAGGACGATTGTTTGGATATGTTGTGGTTTAATTTTATCCTTGGTTCAAATTTTCTTTTCTTTTGTTTTTGGGTATTGTTATGTATGATAATGAGTTTGAAACAAAGGAAAATAAACTTTGAACCAAGGATAAAATTAAACCACAACAGATACAAAGTGAACCGTTTGTGTCAAGGGCCGCGAAATCCGCAGTTTTAATTGTTTTGTGGTTTATAGTGCCAAAAACCTTTTTTTAAGGCCAATACAACTACAGCAGAGACGCAACCACGATCAATGTTCATTGCCCAACTGTCAATAGCCTCCAGTAAAGCAGTTATGGTGTAATGTTATGAATGAAAACCAGATTGGAAGCCGTAAAGAAGAATGTGATTGTCAGTGAGATAGTGATATTGCTGGTCATAAACGACGCGTTCAAATAATTTGGCCAAGATGTGGATTATCGACATGGGTTGATAATTTGTGAGGTCATTTCGTTTATCAGAAATTTTGTACATTATTAAAGAAAGAGATTTAACAATTAAACCTGGGCATTCTCATAACAATTTCGCCGAGATTTTGTCTAATCCAGTCGCCTTGTAAAGTTTCAAAAGGAGACAAATGTGAAGATGAAATTTTTTCAAAGGTGAACTCTTTACTGTTGGATTATGTTACTTAAAAGTCGCACGAGCTTTTTACTTAAGCTTTTTGATACGCTACCAAGCGTACATTGTCTTGGTGAGATCATAAGAATTCTTTTAGTTGAGCAATTCTTTTTTCTATCAGTAACTTTCAGTAGAGGAAAGAGTCAAGTCTGATCTTAGGCCATCTGGCTTACCCTACTCAAGCATGCGGTGTGAACCATGAGTTCTATTGCTCTTTCCAGGTTCGGTGCTTTTCCAGCGCATGGACTCCTACAGCATTTTGTCATATTCCCCTCTCAGATAATAGCTTACATTTGTTTTATTTTCCTTTCTAGGCTCTTGGATTTGCCAGGAGAACAGAAGGGGGAGAATGGACTTTCTCTCCCGCAGCTCTGAAAATAATTTCTGGGTATTTACACAAGTAGGTTCATTATTCTTCTGATATTTCATTATCTTCCCTGTATACCTTTATTTTGTTTAATAGCACTTCATATTGATATTGGTATAGTAGCAATTGTTTTGGAAACTGATGTGCTGTGTTGGTGCCCAAAGGTACCAAGTGTGAGTTACAGAAAAGGTCTCTCCAAAGGTTGCCCACTCTACCCAGCATGGCTAAAGAGGAAATTTGAAATCAGAGTGATTACTTTGAACGGTCGATCAAAGGCCAAACAAACTTTATGGCGATATAAAGGCAGCGTCTTTTGACTCTGGTACAAAACAGAAGAATACCCTCCCTTATTTATTAAGCGTCAAACAAGTGACTAACATTCTGCTCCTATGTATGCAAAAGAAGTTGAGTCACATCTCTGTATCAAGTACAAAAAGTGGCACTTGCCAGTCGTTGAAGGCATTTGCACACGTTTTACAATTACAATCATTGATCTTAATCTTCAGATCCATGCATTGTTTGTAGACTTAGCATACTAATCAATTACTCATCCTCAATGACGATGGATCTATAAAACCAACCCTCTTTTGATCACCCCACAGGTTATGCGTTTAGTGCAATATATCCTTTATTACATTCGTACTACTCCCTTTGTTGTTGCTGGTGCATTGCCGAGTGATTTCTTTTTGTTAGGTTTCCACATCTTTTTGAAACTTTGGCTAAGATGTCATCGAACGATCGGTGTTTTGCAAAGGACTTAGAAGTTGATGAAAAGGGGTAAGCTTTACAATTTAGAAGAGAATTAATTCAGTACGAGTAGAACAAAAAACAGCTGCGGAAATTGACGTCATGTTTGGCAGAACGATGGAAAATGCATATAGCCAATATTTCAATAGCTGGAATTGCCGTAGAACAGTGTTTCATTACAATAAAGAAAGAGTTTTTAAGCATCATGTGATAAGTAAATCAACGAAAGAATTAATGGCTTCCTTACAAAGCCATAACATGAGTTAGCTCGAAAAATTGTTTTTGTAGCAGAGTAGAGGACATCGCGACACTAGTAAGGAATTCACAGAAAGCTGTGCAGATGAAGAGATATCAGTCAAATTTTCTTGCTGCAACTGATGTTGGTTATTTCGCTCTAAAACAGCCTTTGTTGAAAAGATCGAGTTCAAGAATTTATAAATTAGGTAACGGACAAGTAATTTTAAATGCTCACACGATCCAGGAAAGGTTCGAAATGAGTGGCGAAATGTTTGTCGTGTGATAATGGCCATGCGACAGCGATTTGTTACTTAAACGAAATGATGTACCAAAAAAACTGTTTTTATATCTCACTAAGTACAAACGAAGGATTCCTCAGTGGCTGCAATAACTGGACGGGGTAAAAAAAGAACTGGTTCATGCTTAGCGTGTGTACATGTATATATAATTTTGGATCCACGTGGGGAGTTTAGAGAGCACGAGGGGAGCGTAAGAGTTGCTCGAGGCCCGCTAAGCATGAACCAATTCTTTGATACCACTAAGCCGCAGCAATACGTCGCGGAAAGAAAGTAATATATTGCTAAGTACCGCTCTATTTTTCTGTTTTAAAACGATATTTAGCTTAGTGCAAGCGATAACTTTTAAAGGGGTCAGCGATATTTTACGATAGCTTTCCATAAATTATCAATTTAACTTTGCTTTGTTTTTGCACAATTCGGTAAGTTATTTAGCAATAAGGCAATGCATTGCTTGCAGTGGTGTAATGTAACAGTTGGTATTTGCTAATTTCGTATTGCATAAATATTTTGGAAGTAAACAAGAAAGAATTGACTTGAAGTTTACGATTTTGCAGGTCTGAACTGCTATCAGAGGTTCACGACTGGCTGAAAACAATACCTTCTCTCCAACTAGAGCCTGTGAAATGTGGCAGTATCAGTTTAGATGATCCAGTTGTAGAAGCGATAGAACAGGCGGTGCTGAGTACCAAGGTATAGATATAATTGTGAAAGCAGTATTGAAAGAGTTATACACAGGCCTTTGGTCTTATTGCCGAGCGTTTAATCATAGCTTATCTTCAGTCAAGGAAGGTTCTCAGGTAGTCGGCTGAACAACTTTTTTTGGCATGGTGTCATTATTAAACTTTAGGTTCCATTGCCGTGCTACTCATTTCATTTCCTCATCTAAAATTGGATTAAAACTGAAGTGACACTAATGTCAAGATGATGTAGTACTGTGTAAGCAAGAATGACTGTTGACCTTAGTGACTGATAAATTGTCCTGCTTAGGCATAGTTTTCTGACACAGATAGAAGTAGCAGGAAAATGGTAGAAATTCCTGGCATGACATCGGCAATCCACTTTTCACATCCATAGTTTGGAATAATTAGAGCAACGGCCTTATCCCATTATCCCATGGGTGATGGCTGTTCTGTTCCTGCATGATCTATCTGCCAAAGGAGGTACTTCACTTTACAAGTTTGGCATTTGCGCTGACGTGATTTATAAAAATCTTCCTGCATTGTTCTCCTGTTTCTTTTTTTATTATCCATCTATGGTGATATTTGTTTCAAAGAAGCTTCCGAGGAGCTATGTGATATATTCCCTATTGCTAATCACATAGTTAACGCTGCTGCTTGGAGCAGATCATTTACCATAACTTTGTTAGAAATTACTGATTTACAAGATGATAAAACATATATTTCCATATGGCCATCTGAGGTTGAAGAGAGGAAGGAGAAGGCCACGTAAGATGGAACGATTGCACATCAAGTTTACTTTTGGGTGTTTGCTTTAGACTTGTATCCAAATTTGTCAAGTTAAATAACGTGATTTTTTTACAAGCATTATCTCCTGGCGATGACCTACGTTTGGTTTCCCTATCCGATCTCAAACGTTTAGTGAACAGGTACTCTAACACTTAGAGATTGCTATAGATATCAACAATGTTTTCTTCTTTAATCATAAGGCATTGAACCACAAACCCAAGGCAGTTAAAGTACGTGTGCGGCCTCACCTCCTCTTTAAAGTAAGTTGCCAAGCCTTAACTATTCTTTTCGAAAGGAAACGTTCACGTACGATTGTGTTGTGGATACTTAAAGTTGGTTTCACTAAAAGTAGTGACTTCATTCAGATACTTTTCAACTCTTAGCGGTAGTTACAATGTCGCCACAAGGTTTTGCAGGATAACTGAAGTGAAATCAACCAGTTCCATTTCAGGAAGCGAAATGATTTCAACTATTTTCAGTCGTTCCAATCAGTGCCAAGGATCAAAGTGAGCAATAGTGACAAAGAACTTAGATGTAGTTCATTGCTCATTTCCTTAAATAAGATTTGTCAGTTTTGTGTAATTGGCCTTGCTAACAGCACCTATTTCTTCCTTCTACTTTGAGAGCTTTTTCAGTTTAAAGGTGTTATTCCCATTTTCTCCTAATTCCCATATTTTTGGCAGAAATACCGTAAAATCCTTACTAGCAATGATAGCGCTTTAATTTCAAAAAAATAACTCGGCCTTTTTGAGATATGATTTCCTTTTTTAACCGTCTTCCATTACTGACTGAATCATGTTTCAGTCAAGTTTCATGGAGAGAGAGTCATTTACTTACGAGTGTTATATTGCATGGTGTGAACCCAGCTGACTTACTTTCAAGTGTGAATTTGCGGAGTGTGAACCCAACGATTGTAATTTTATTTGCAGAATTTTCTACCGACCTTTCTTTTAAAGAAAAAACTCTCCCACTCTTTACTTAATTTAGTATCTGTGTTCACACAATAAGACTTGTAGGTGAGTGACGTCCAACCAGCTCTTTTATTGAAATTCGACCGTTAAATATTTTGGTATTGGAAGATGATTTAATTGGGAAATAATGGTTGAAAACAAAAACGGTCCTTTTGTCTACGTTGAGGCTAGGCATATATTGTCAAAAATATAATCAGAACTTAGCTAGACTGAGAACATCTTTAAATCTCTATAACGCTGGGGCATTCTTTTATATTTTTTGTTCCAGACAAGTTTTTGCGTTTTGTTAATTTTTGTTTTCTTTGTTTGTGCGTTTTTTACTCAAAAGACAGTTTAATTCCATGACTCATTGTTCTCCCGCAGCCATCTGGCCATCAGGGAGCTGTTCTCCCTGATAAAGATGCAACATTTGAGCTATTCGACCGAGTAGTCAATGTCAAACTGAATGTTGCTGTTCCATTTGGACTAAGGGGAACTATTATTGGAATCCATGAGGGTAGGAGCAGCTTCGTTGGTGGTTTTTCGGTTTTAAGACTTTTTTGTAAGCTTTATATGTATCACTCTTTAAATGCCGGACCGAAAGATTTAAAAAATCTTTCTTTCCAACAATGGCGTCTAACGCCCAGTTCTTGTAGTCAAGCAAACCTAAGCGTTTTTCATTGGTATATAACTACTGACTCTTGTAATTCCCAGTCCTCTTAGACTTTTAATTTTAAAGTCAAATGTAAGATTGTCGTATTTTTTAAATATTTAAAGTATACTTGTAAATTCACATGTATTTCACCACTGGGGTGCTATTTTTGAATACTTTTAATAAACCCTTCTTCTATAGTTTAATTCCATCTCGAATTTTTGTGTTATTAGCCCCCAACTCATCAGATGTTCTGTATGAAGTTATATTTGATGAACCATTCCTCGGTGGATTAGCACTAAGGTAGGAAACTACTTTTGCTGAATGAGGCAATTTCGCAGCCTCCCGTACAAAACTATCAACTTTTATTGAAAACTAAGAATTATTACAATAACTGTGGAGTTGAAATGTGAAATCCCTAACTCAGCATTTAGAGAGATGCACTCAAAGTTTACTTTGTCTTGTTATTAATGTTTATGTACTCGTTTTTTTTCTGCAGATGTTCATCCAAAAATGTGTTCTTGCTTGAAGCTCTGGCACTTATCAATATCAGTTATGGTGAACGATGTGAAGCGAAGAAAGTTGAAGGAAGATCAGTTGGCAATAGTTCATTTGGCACAAACCTCGCCAGCTCCCCTCAGCTGAACAAGGAGAGCAAAGGTAGTCAATCCAAATCAGGAGACAGCAGGCTAGATTCTCCAGGTGTGTAGTATTGTAATGAAATAGCATCAACTTCAAACACAGAATGTAATTTAATTAGATTTGTTTTTTTTTTAAAGGAGCCCCTGATTACTCAAATGCCCGCAGCAATCAGCGCACCATACCTCAGCGTAACGAGTCTTCGAAATCAGCTACTGTCAGCACAAAACTAAGAACACCGGAGATTCAAGGCAGTGGGTCCTCTCAAGCCCAGGTTAACATTAGTACAAGAATTGACAGGTCAGTATGTTTATTTGAAATCATACGTAATCAAATTTTGAACCGAAATACACAAAAACGAGGGAGACTACGTTAATTAAAGCGAAGTAGATACACATTTTTGAAGTCGAAAACTACAAATGAATGGAGGTGTCACCTTGAAGTTTAAGTTTTTGTAAATGGCTTATAGATGTAACCAATATCGAGTCCCATTTTAGGTCCATTCCGTTTCCTTGTTATTGAGTTCTAGAGATTGAAAATCTGCTCTTACAAAGAGGAGTGCTCGAATTGAATAAATTGACTTGTTTATGATACTATTACTTAAAATGTTGGTAATCGGTAGTTACACGCCTTATGTATATCGATGAAATAGCATATTAAAATGGAAAAAAAAGTAGACCATTGCGTCCGTTTAAGGACGTTAACGCCATGTCCTTGGGCAACTAATAAATGATTCGCAGCGCCACTATAAAGCCTCTCCAGGAACTGGATTGTGCCAGGGTTGCAACAGGAACCCCACAGTATGAATACAAAGTGACCTAGGAATTCCTAGGAAAAAAGATCCTGACGAACGCTTAGAGGGAGTAATCTGATCTGTTCTGAGCAATCTGATCTGTTCAGTGAGAGTGCGGAAGCCAAATCAGTTTCTCGTCAAACGTCTTCCTTAGCAGGCGTGACTTAGTCACCGATTAAATGACAGAGTTTCAAGGGAGGATTGAAGAAATATAATTAACATTACTTCTGTTTTATTTATCTTTAGTTAGCAGTTTTCTCTGAGAATAAATGTGGTGGAAAAATTGGAGACTCGCCACCTTAGTAATATTTAGCAACCAACATGACCGCCTTTCTCCTGTCACAACGTAATTGACGTTTTCTTTTTATCGCAGGCCTGTTAATGAGAGGAATACACAAAACGTAACACCTCCTGGAATTCAAAAGGTAGCAGTGTTCAAGTCAGACATAGCGTAAATTATGCGACAGATACCTGGCATGGTTTCTTATTACTATTTCATGCATTCTATCAGGAAACAGAGGAATATGCGGTCCTTCGAGGGGAGGTTTACTTATCAAGTGATATTGGACTGACTGAGCTAGTTTCCAAAGAAAGAAAGAAGGAATTTTCATTGTGTTCCTACATAAAATTATGTACCTCTTTCCTTTTAATCGCCAGGTCGCTGGCGTCTTAACGAATCAGTCCAGTAATAGTCCAAGCGAATTTGCTGACATGTGGAAAGAACTTAAACTAAAAGAAAATAGTCATGGTGCCTTCGAAATCCCTGGGGACACCCCTGAACATAAGAGCAACGACAAAGGCCAGGATACGAGAGAAAGCGAAGTGCTGATCAAGGTCTGCGACTGAACTGTACAAGTACCTTAAATACTATTCGATGTTAGTTAGCTTTAGTTAAGGAAAATTCCGAGTACCTAAAGGTGAATAATTCAATATAACATGACAATGTTTATTCGGTATCAAGCGGACTTGCTAACGTAAGGTGAAATGCACGTTATCCTGAACCATGAAGTGTGTTCCTTTCTTAATGAAGCTTTCATTTGGCATGAGTATATTTATGCGCGTACTTTGCAAATTATAAAGACACCCCCCCTTCCCCCGCCTGCTAGCAGAGTTCGAATGCATGGACTCTTTAAACTGTAATCTTCATTCCAACGTAAAAGGAATAGGTTGTCCGCTATATTCTCATGAAATTGTGTTCTTATTTCTGAACTGTAAGCTATATGGTGTTATTTGATTCAGGGTCATTTATCTTAAACCAAAACAATAAAACTTAACCTACATACAATAATTCGCTTATTAGCCTTCCCGTGCCGTGCATCTTCATGGGATGTTCAATGGGATAGTCGTATTAAGTAAAATTTTTCATTAACATTGTGTCACTCCCTTTTTGCCGTTTTTTGTTTTGTTTTGTTTTGTTTCCTTTACAGGAAGGAACAAAGGCTCTTCGTGAACTCCTTCAGATTGGCAAGGCGCCAAAACCCAAGATGGACCAGCAACCAAACAGACCTGAACAAAAAGGCCTCGCGGGTAAACATCTGACCGTGGATGAACTCTTTCGCAGTCACGGTGAGATCACATTCTTAAACCACAGTATTACATGTTACCCCCGGGTTCAAACCATTTACTGTATTACGTTCACTTGGACGACAGGGCGAAAGACTTGCGAATTCACTTGACTCTGATGATGACTTCCGCACAGGTTGTCGAAACGTCAGTCACCACGACCGACAACAGTCCCTCTCAGTCCCCCGGGTTCAAACCATTTACTGTATCACATTCATTGTTAAACTCGGAAGAACGTGAACTCCTGAAACAAGATCATAAAACGGAAACAAACTACAAAATATTAACTTTCACTAACTGCAGTATCTCGCGTCTGATTTTCTTCTTCCTCTTGACGCATAAACAATCTAAATTTTTAAGTGTCCACGGTTTTGTGAGTTTGACAAAAAAATTTGATACCCCTTTCCGTCGACTTTGGCTGACATGAAGCGTCAATGGTACAAAGGCAAATACTGAGTGATCAAAATTACTGTGGCTCTAAGATTTTTCTACATTAGACATTTAGATTCTTAGTTGACCAATTGATTGCGCGTTCGACATATTCCCGTAGAGAGAAAAAGTACGCGCGCGCGAATATGCTGGACGGAGTAACACAACAGTCCTCATTATCGGAAAAGTGTTGATGAAAATAGCGCAACACGTTCGCGTTTTTTCAGTTTATAATCAGGAAAGAGCTCAATGTCATCCACAAACAATAGCTGTGCCACCCTTTTTACTCCTAAGGAGTAAAATGAAGCTTTGCGAGATGTAAATGTTGTCAGTATTTCGCTTAAGTCTTCATCTCAAATCTCGCATTTGTAGTTGAACTCATCGAAGAATATGAAAGTGTCTCATGTTTGAAAAGTTCCTGAAAGTTTGATATGATTTACTTATCACTTTTCACCAAATAGGGCCAGTTTACTGACGTGACCAGCTACGGTGTTTTCCGTTGAAACAAAAGAAAGAATTTACTCTAAAAAAGAGTTGAACTTCCACAATACTAATTTGGACTAGTATGTACTAAAGCGGTGGATAGCTTTGAAGGCGCGCTCTGATTGGCTACTCAAATTCCGAGTATCCTTTACTTTTGACTTGAGAACATCGTCCGCGGGATTTGCGCCGAAAAGATTGTATTTGTTGCAGGAATAAATAAGCATAAAGTCATCCATCAAAATGGCCGACTTTTCATTATTTAGAAACACCTGTATGGCTGCCGTGGCGTCATGTGAAAACACTCTTTAGAATGGAAGCAACTTCATCCATCCTTTTGTGCCAGCCTGGTGTATTAAGAGATCAACAGCCTCGCAAAGATTGAGCTTAGGTGTTTTTGTAGTAGACCTTAAAACTACGCACAAAAAGTTTCACTCGAAAAATCATTTTCTAAAATTTATTAATTGTGAGAATGTTCCTTACTTACTTCAGTGAGAAACCAACTTTCCGTAGGAAATATCATATTGGCGAACTAAACTGATGAGCTTAGATGTAATGCTTTCAAGAAGTTGAGTATAGATGTATTATTTTCATTTCAATACTTTTCATTTGTCTTAAGGCTCTGCCCAAGGAACTATGGAACAGTTTCCTCCGACAACCTTACCGTACCACTCGGGGTAAGTTTTCTTATGTTAGTGTGAGTCTACCACAAGTGTTGTATTGTGCAATGCCAAGGATGCCATACGTACAGTTCGTATGTGAGTCTGCTTTTGAAGTCTTTGTCATATGTTTTCCTGAGTATTTTTGTTCCCTCTAAAACGAAAGCAATGGCCATGTGATGTTCTTAAGTTTAAATGTTAATTAAAACCATCAGTAGATGTAAAACTTCCCGACGAGAATAACAACACAATAGGGAATATCACAATCCTGCTACCAATCAGTGCTAAGAACATTAAACAAAAGGTTCTCCCTTTTTCTGCCACTTGAAAGATTGAAAATTTTAATGTTCAATCTTTCAAGTGGCAGAAAGTTGAAAAGAGAAGAAGCATTTAGCCTATTTTTTGCAAAGCCAGCAACAAACCTTTTAACTTTCTGCGTCAAGAATTGATCATTATCAGCTAAGAAAGACACTGATCATGCTAGATGTTACTAATCATCCACCTGAGTTGATTTCGTCATCACACTGGAACAAATTAGAGACTTACCTGTATTTTCTTTGTTTTACTAAAATTTCAGAAGTTCACCGTCATTAGCCTTATTTACTTGGTGTCAGTTATCTGGTCTTCCACCTCCCTGTTATCACCATACTCCATCAGTTGAGGTTTGCTTGCTTTATTTAACGCATGCAGTAGTTACGCTAATTTATGTTTAAGTATAACGGCAAGGTGTATTTGTTAATTATATCTTTGTCCTAACAAGAATGATATTCCTTTACTATAATCGTTAACTCTCTTTACTATTTTATTCCTCGTGAGAAAGTACCCGCTTTAATGTGATTATGATTTTAAATGGCACAGCACGTTATGTAAAATTCCGAGTTAAACAAGCATTCGGTTTTAAAATACTCGATGAAAGATTTTTGAAATTTGCCAAAAATTGCCCATCTTTTGACCGTTGTCAACACGCTGTCTGCTAATGTTGTGGGTGTAAAGGAAATAGGAGAGAAATCCTGAGCTTCTCGTTAATAGAATACCTCATTGTGCTAAAACTTATTTCAGGGTGTAAGTGCCATTGTCGAGTTGGCCAACGGGTTTAAATTTGTCGGCAGTGTGTGTCGCAATCCCTTCGAAGCCATGGATAGTGCAGCATCTGTCGCACTGTTTCAATTGGTGAGTACTACTGAGGAGCACTTAAATCTCGTTCCGACACGAGAAATACTAGTCTGTAACCTTATGCTTTATAATTAATACTATGAGGTTATGAGGATCTAGCCTGCGTATAAAGTGATACGGTGATTCCTCAGTACTACATTGCGCATCCTCTGCTGCGCGCAACATCACCCGTGACCCCTTGCAAAGAGCACGGGCGCATTTGTATAACTTGACGGGCTTTCTCAATCTATGGACGACCTTAATAGGGCCCGGTGACCTTATCTTTTATTATATATATTTATGTAAAAACGATCTCCGCAAGGAAAAACAACTATGAAGTTTAAATTGATAGAAACGAAGAAAGATGTAATTCAAAGCGTGCACAAAGCCGTAACTCGAGGTTCCCTTCCTTACTGCCTCTGATTCCCTTGGTATGACGTTTAACATACTTTGTCGTCAATACTTAACTTAGCTTATGTTTCAGCCACGAATCATGCCGAACATTCCAGGGCCCCGAAACCTTGTTATGCAGCATCAATTTTCTCCAGTCGTGTTTCCATCGCTACCCAATCCCGTAACGCCTCAAAGTTTTGCTGGCCTTGCACCTTTGCCCTTTCAAAAAACTGTACGCCAACTATCACCTCAGTCTCAACCTTGGGCAGTACGCACGAGGAGTCAAGATCAACCCAACAGGGAGGGTCCTCAGTCTGCTCAGCAAAGAACAAGTGCGACTCTGAACAGTTCGGCAGTGCCTTTCATTCCATTGCAGGTGTGTTATTTACTTGACGTCATACCTTAGGAAGATGTAATTTAGGAAGCAACTTGTGTTTATGTTTCCGCCTAAGAAGTCTTGTTCCACTTCGCCGTATCCTTCGTTGAATTTGGGTATATCTTTAAAGAAGTGTGTTGGTTTGATGGCATGGACTAGTACTTCTTAGTAATCTTTTTTTTTTCTTCTTTTTCGGGTAATGGAGGCATCTTGTTGTGGCTTTCATTTCGGAATCGAAAATAACAATTTCTAATGGCGTCAAGGCAGCTATACTTGTTGACCAAAACATTACAACTGCCGCTATATTGGTCTTCAAGGTCAGTCGTGAGGGATTTAAACTATAATCTCATGTGAACACTTTTTATTCCAGTACGTGTTTGTTTGTGTTTTCCGACTATTATTTATTTGTAATTGTAGAAAGTATTCTTTTGCTTCGTTTATTTCAGGTTTCCAGGAGGAGTTCTTCACGTTCACAATCGTCACCAATGACATCGCAAGAGACGGCAGTCAAGGAGACTTCAGAACTTTCTCAACTGAATGAAAGTCGACAGAAAGAGCAGAGTCAAGACTTTGAGTATCAAGAGACTGGCGAAATTTTCCCCAGAAATTTGTGTTCAGAATCATCAGCAAACAACGTTTCGGCTCAGTCAGATGCGTCGGAAACGAATTCTCTGTCAGTGGACAAAACAGAGAGAGCTGGCATCCCCCCTAAAAAAATGCCAATTTCATCCAAAAGGTTGTTGGCTCCTAGTTTCTTCTCGAAAAAGAGCTAACTGTTTTGAGTTATTCGGCGTATTCGACTTTTCCTTATGTGCAATCCGCCTATCAAAGGAATGGTGGCTGTGAACAGTTCTCAGGAATCTTTCTCCGTTCAATGACAACCGTGACAAGGATTCATCGTCTTGCAAGGTGGCAGGTTTGTCACACTGCAGTGTTGTTCCGTTCTCGAATATTAGATGGCACATAAGAGACATTAGGCCTTCAATGTCGCGGCTTTCAGAATTCATGAATTTTTGTGACACAGTTAAAACAATCTGCATCGTCCGTGTACCCTGATAAAATGCGCGATTTTAGTCTAGGTATATGATATAATATTCTGCTTAGTAGAAAAGACCATCGGTGATGGTTTTCAGTTTTTAAATGACTTTTTAAATGGATGATGGTTGTATTAGAAATTCTTACCCATACAAGCATTCTTTACGTCAACTTGTTACGTATGTAGCTTAAAGAAGTGGATAAAATGAGCAGCTTTTAATTTCCTCTTGGGGTGTTTAGTTGGTGTGGTTAAGCAGGGAGGGAAGCTATTCCTTCAGCCGGAATGTTTCCCAATGGATGAAATAGCTATTCGTTTTCTGAATGTTTTCTCTCAAATTTCATTTCTTGGTTGATTTTGATTAAGAAGTAAACCAAAATCAAGCATCATCACGCTGAATTTTCGAGTGTTCTCCCAACCTCCCAAGTGTTTACATCAGGCTATGTAAACAAGGAAACCATTTTACATTTCTTTTATAAAATAACTAATGAAAGATGAACGAAAACCGTGTTTACATACGCTCATGTAAAATGGTTTTATGGCCAATCAGAGCGCGCGTACTATTTGAATTGTTTTATAAATTTATATAGCGCCATCTTCCGTTAATTGTCCATGGCGCTTTAAAAAACTCTAAAAACCGTAAAAATTAAAATCCTGAGAATTAAATACACTATAACTACAAGTAAAAACTACAAATTAAATGCACGCTTAAAAAGATAAGTCTTAAGATTAGCCTTAAAAACTGCCTCTGATAATGAAAGCCTGATCTGGAGTGGTAGTTAATTCCAGAGCCTTGGTGCCGTCACGGATAAAGCCCTTTCACTATACGTTTTAAGATTCGCTCTAGGCTCATCAAGCAACCTGTTGTTTGAAGATCTTAGTGTACGACGAGAGTCATTATACTTCAATAGGTCTTTAATGTAATCGGAGGCCAGTCCATTCAGAGCTTTGTAAGTCAGCAACAGTATTTTAAAAACTATCCTATAATGAACTGGCAGCCAATGTAAGCTCCTTAGTATTGGTGTGATATGTTCCTGCCTACTAGTCAAGGTAACAAGGCGAGCTGCCGAGTTCTGTAAAAGCTGAATTCTTTTAATCAGATACTTCGGGAGACCATACAGTGTGGCATTACACTAGTCCAAACGCGATGTTCTGTAAGCGTGAACAATAGCCTCGGTAGTACTCTGGGATAGGTATCGCCTAATTTTAGCTATACTGCGAATACGGAAAAATGCGCTCTTGCAGGTTATTTTAACGTGTCCTTTGAAATCTAAATATTGATCCAATCCAACTCCTAAGTTCCTGGCCTGTTTACTAGACTTGATTACTTCTTCGCCGACTCGTATATAGTCGAGGGGTGGTCGTGGACGATAATTAGAACTAGTAAGCAAAAGTTCATTCTTATCCTGATTTAACTTGAGTTTGTTGCGCAGCATCCAGTTACCAATTTCCTTAACACATAGCTCTACTGCCATCTTTGTGCTGGATAGATGATTCGGACAGTTGGAAGTAAACGACTCTTGATTTTTTTTTATAATTCTAGCCTATTTCTCGCTTGCAAACGATAGAAAAAGTCTCAATATAACGGTAGTGGGTGGAGCAACAGAATTTCGTTGTGGAACACGAACAGTGGGTTCCCGTTTTTCGAGCCTCCATGGGAAATGAAAATCAGTTGGAGTAATTGGGTTGACTGTTGGAAGGGGAACGACTTTTGGTTCGAGTTATCGAGAGTTACGACAAGTCGAGGACCCGAGCAATCGGGATTCCAGTAAAGTGAAAATAATTAAAGCTTTCACGCGCTTCACACTTACTCTTAGCATATCTATCATTTCATGTTTCACACCTCTTTCAAGAGGATAATCCAAAACCCAAAATCACAACGCTCGGTTCACAAACAAATGAGGTCTTGATTGTTCAAAGGAATCGCTGAAATTTTAGTCGTGGAGTTAAACCAAATTTGAATGCAATTTTCGGAAGGTTGAATTATCCTCTCCCGTGAGATGCGGGTGCGTTTACTGACGCCACACAAGATGTTGAGGTTGTCCACCAGGCCCCGGTTGTTCGAAGGTTAGATAACGCCATCCTTTGGATAAATCTCTATACGGTGGATAGTGCTATATGTTTTGCTATCACTTATCCCCTGGATAGTGATTTATCCATTGAATAGCGTCATGCAACCTTTATGCAACTGGGCTCTGCAGTGTAAAACAGATTTTCTGTTTGATTCATATACAATTAATGAAAGTAAAAATCTTCACAAAATTTAAAAAAAATGCAAGGAAGTAAAGAATAACAAACAGGGCATGGTTCTTTCGTGAGGAGTAAACGAGGAGTATGATTCCCATTCCGAGTTCGTTGATTTCACTTGTTCCAGTCTGTTGTACTGCTTGCTTCACTTTCGGTTTTTAAACAAAGAGAAGGCCCTGGGTCGAGAGAAGACCACCTGTCACTGAATATGGTCGACGCGATTGACGATCCCATTGACTATCTTGGTGAAATCGCCTTCGAACGACTTTATGTTATAGAAGCTGTGCGTGAAAGTCTGTGTAGATTTCAATTCTCGAAAAGAATAGTGCAACATGATACACACACGAGTACCCGGCATGGAACGTACAGAAAAGGCAAGTGAGGAGGGCCTACATGAATGATGTTAAGATATTTTTTAAGCTTACCTCTCTGGCGATTTTTCTGCTAAGGTTTTACTGATTAAGCTTACAATTCGATTTTTCGATTTGAGGAGAAAAAAAAAAGTGCTACTATACATATGATCTGATAATAATTTCTGCGTAAGCTATCCGTCGTGGCTTTGTCAAGCCTCCGTGTAATCGTGTACCAACTTAACAGAGAGGGGATTATGTACGTGTAGCTAGGATAACAAAAATGTATGTTTTAATAAGAGACATCATTGTCTAAAGAAAATTACCAACGGTATGCAAAGACATGTGTAATATATGGATATGGATATTCGGTTAATAGGTTGCTTGACTTAAGTCAGGGTTCTGTGTATGAATGTGCAGAGCTTAATATGGAATTTGTTGACAGTGAGCTGCAGTGAACTCGAGCGTACTCTTTAAGCAATCATCAGACTAGTTTTGACTGGGCGATCACAGTTCATTTATTTTGTGAGAATTTAACTTCCGTAACAAATGGAGCAAAGAACGTGTTCTTTGGGTACATTTTGCGACATGTGGGATCCACTTACTCAGCAGGTCTATATTGTGGTTTCGTCAATGCAGAGTTTCTTAAATAGGCATTCATTGTACGTTGCAGTAGGCCGGTTTTTTTTTTTTTTTTTGCCCTCTTCATGATTTTCCATTTGAGATCATTTTCAAAAATGTTGAAAGTTGTAGATTTTTATGTAATATTTAAACCTTTTCTTTCACTATTAAAAGGGTGTTGACATTGCTAATTGTAGGGGCACTTTTTGCTAAAGAAGAGAGGCGAGGTGGCCTCACAGTAGGCTTGCTGGACTCTTGGTGAAGACCTGACCAGATCATTTTCTTATGTTCATGGCAAGACATCTAATTCTAACAGTGCCTCTTTGATGCAAGAGTGTAAATGGGTAGGGGCAAACTGTCTGGGAGACTTGATTAAGTGTTTTGGGGTAATTCCAATAAACTACATCCCATTCAGAGGGAGTGGCAATACTCTTAGTTCGTATTTCATCTAGAAACTGGGATAAGCACCACTTGGCTAGGTGGCAGACTCGACCATAACCTTGATTTTGCTAAAAGAATAACAACATTTCAGGTCAAAATATTTTGCCTTCATAACAGCTTCTTTTGGTGATAGAAGGAACCCTGTGCCATTTGAGTTTTGCATTGCCATTTTTGGCATGATTACCCCCATGAAAAATGGGAAGCAATACTATCTTCAAATATCTTTCTTCTTAGTTTCACTATTGCCAGATAACTAAAGGTTTGTCTGTCAACAAAAAAGGTGCCTTTCAGGAATATTATCTTAAGCCCACTTCTTTAAAAGAAACTATGGAAAAATATATATCATTGTAAACCTTATAACATATAGATTATGAGAAGAACAAAGTTTCAACAGTTGTTGTTTTGGTAAGCATGTGTGAGCCTTTAAACACTTATCAATAAAGGGCAAAATTACTGAGCGCTGATTGGTTGAGAGAGAGGGCATTTTTTCTTAATCGAGGGCATTTTTAGTTATCAAGAGAGGGCATGATTACCTTGTTCAGTTAAAAGCACTTTGTTGTTTTTCTGTTGGCAGAAACGCTCTGTTGAAATGAGCTTTGTTTTCTAGACTTTTGGCAGTGTATCACGACACAGTTTTGGAGAATAAAATTTCATTGAATCGATTGGTCAGTTCAATTTGATTGATGATTTGCCGTAGCGCTAAACAGGCTTAATTCCCAGATAAAAATAGACTGCGCACGTGATTTTCCTTCGTATAAATTTTGCCCTTTATTGATAAACAAGTAATCCCATGAGACCTCGTACTATTAAGGATTAATTGCACTTGAGTTTTCAAAATTTTCCAAATTGCCCTCGTCGCTTCGCAACTCGGGCAATTTTGGAAGATTTTGAAAACTCTCGTGCAATTAATCCTTAATAGTACTTGTCCTCATGTGATTACATATACAAAACTGATGCTTTATGCATACTGAATTACCAGCCTTTGCATTACCAAACTGGGCTGTGTCAGATGATAAGCTAACCTAATGTGTGAGGCTTTTTTCATATTTCTATTGGTTCCTTAGAAAATTTATTTAAAGTTGGACAATAGAAATTATTACACTTGTGGACAAATACATTGAAATACATAAACTACCCTTCAGTGGGATAATATCTGATGGATATTCTGGTAAAGTTACATTAAAATCAGACAAATCTATTTACCCTACTGATTTGTTTTAATGGAGGTAACTTGCTTAAAAACAAGCCTCAAATTTTTTGCCCTCCAGAGAAGTTTACATCATTTTAGGGCATCAATGCAGGAATATCACCAACCATTGAAATGCAACAGAGAACCTCTTGGCAAGTTTTGTTACGAAAAAGTCCTTGAAATTTGCATAAAAGGTCCTTTGCAACTTAGCCATAGAAAGTAAATTTTATAATGGATAAAACAACATTAAAAATTCCACAAATTTATAGTGCACAAGTAAAAAACTTAAAAACATCTTATTTATAGAGTTTTGAAAAGAGACATGTTTTGACATTTGCTTGATTTCATTGTTGAGACAAAAGTAAAATATTATATGGGACTTGGAGCAAACTTGTGTATTAGAATTTTCCTACTTTTGCAGACAAAAATATATAGCATATGACAGTTACTATGGAAATGGTCTGGCAAAAATACCAACCAAGTAATAACTAATCAGAAGGCTCTGACCTCAGGGCTACCTTGCCATATAATAATATGATAAATTATTTGAGTGCAGTGAGGTAAAAATTGTCAGCTTACATACTGCTACACTCTACTATTAGTGCTTTATAAACTTCCTAAGGTTATTCTGAAAGATCTGTTTACTGTATGATGTGAATTATTATGTTGCAAAGTTTATTTTTGAGGACAGACCAATTGGTATTTTGACCACAAGCAGTCACATTTAGTAGAAGGGCCTCACAGAGTCTTGTCATGGTATTACCTCCAGGTGTCCCAGTTGTTGAAACATTATATTCTTAACCTTTACTGGCAAATTAAAGGGAAATTGAATTGTGAAAAAACTGTTTTAATGGAAATTGATGAGGATTGTGAGAAGCTTTATTATAGTGTTCTGTTTTGCAGAAGACCAATGAGTAGTGGTCTCTTAGAACATGTAAGAGAGATTATTTTAGGTAGCCATGTTTTGTGGTATGCATTCATGTTGCATATATCAAATGAAGCTGTAGTTAGGTTAACATGGATTAATTATCTTATCTACTGAGATTATCTTTCATCACTAGTTTTCTATAACTACAATCCTTAAGTCGTCTATTTTCATTTAGGAACCTATGGAAGATGATCTCACGGAATTCAATCTTTTACAGAAAAGCAGTGGTAAGAGCTAATCTGCAAGTATATTATTACAAATATAAGTAGAACACTTGAGTGTGTAGAATGCCTACAATTGTGTGTGAGCCTAAAATGAGTGTAACAGGCAGAAAAAGTTTGCTGGGTGGCCTCCTTGTTGTGAGTATGCAATTGGGCCATTAAAGATCACTGTCACAGGATTTATCAGAAATGAAAGGCAGCCCTTTGCTATTGACATTCATTGTGGAAATATTAAAAAAGTTGGTGCATAATTTAAAAAACAGAGCTTTCTCATACAGAAACACAAAACACTCTCAAAATTTAATATATTAGATGTTTTAGTTTTGTTGAAAAATGCCATGTCATAGGGCCTAGTTTCCAGAGTCATAATGAAATTCACCAACCTTAGTCTACTAATAACATGAGAGCATTTGAATGAGTTGTAAAGAAAATTGCAATGGATTATGGATGTTATGGATTTTCCATTAGTTTTTACAAAGAAAAGATCTAGGAGGCAGAGGCTGCCAGCTGCAAGGGAAAGGAGTTCATTAAGAAGTCTTATTAAGTAAGTACATATGGCCCCTATTTACACATACTTTTAAGTAGTAGCTAAAAGCTGGAGCTGTAAGTTTTGTAACTGCTCATTTTTTATGCACAACAGTAGTTGTCCAATACTGTTGCACTTTCACAGACAATCAGTCGAGATTGATGGAGCACTGATCACCTCACATGCAAACTATCAACTCTGCATACTATCCATATGCTGAACTCATCATGAGCTTGTATATGTAGGGTATTAAGCAAAAGTAATGCAAACATCTTTCAACATATTAACCACCTCTATAGGGCTTTTCCATGAAGTTTGCTCAAAACCAAATTTCAGTCGCATCGTGGCAAATATTTTGAGGTTATTTTTTTCCTTGATCTGCTTGAACTCCAAGTTTGGCAATAATGTGCTAGGGATATTAAATAGTTCCTTCAACTATTTACTTCAATGCCATATTTTTAAAAGGCAAACTACCTCATGATAAAACTTCTATATTTTCTAGCTGTGGTTTTCATGGGTAACTCACTTTTAATGTAACATGTGCATGTAAAGACATAGTAAACAAATACATCTGCAACACAATATACTAATGATGGCATGAGCTATGCTGAAAAGTGTCTTTAAAATGTATTATTGTTAGTTTGAAGTTTATTTTGATTCTATTATTATCATGAAGTTATGAAAGTATCATTTAGTGTGTATATATGTCAATTTTGCATTTTAAATCTGTTACACTAATAATTGATCATTATCACAAACACATGATTATTAGTAAATGTAAGTTTATTGCATTTGTGTTCTGTCTTTATTTTTTGTCATCTGGATTATGAGTCTCTGATCACTTATTTTTTTAGTTTCATGAAGTCAGTTGTTGGAAAGGATTTGACAAAAGTTACAATGCCAGTTCATTTCAATGAGCCACTATCATTTCTACAGGTAAGAGTATAATGTTGTAAATAAATATGCCTTATCGACCAAGCATGAGGGTAAATCAAGTGGTTATATAGTGTTAGTCCAGGTTGAGATGTCATGGTCATTCTCTGATGAAACCTTTTGAACTACATCCTCATTGCAGCATAAGAGAACAATTTATGATTGAAAACAGTTCAAGTAACAAAGATATAACCTTTAAAGAAAGGAACCAAACAAATATGAAAAAAATTAAATACATTTTGCTCTTTAAGCACTGTTTAACAAAGCCAAAGAACTTAAGAGGTGCTGCAAAGCAAATGGTAATGAAGTTTTGCATTGGGTATGGTTTGCAACTTTATCACAGAGACAGCTGATTCATTATTTTTTGTTGTCGTAACATTAAGACAGTATTTTCAAAACAAAAAGCATCAAACAAAGAGATTTTTTAATGTCAAGGTCAAGTTTATTCCTGAGAAGTCTTAATTCCTAATAACATATGCTCAGATTTCAGTGTGAGAATCCCTTCAATTAAAGTTGCTGCTGAAATACCAGTCAGAGGTCATGGGTTTAACTCCCTTACAGGCCTCTGTGAAGTTTTTTTTCTTCTTTTTTTTAAGGCCTTATTTTCACATCTGCTTAAGTGGTTTCATCACTGCAAAGATCACTCTCATATTCAATCATTGTCAGTGATATACACATTAGGATTTCAAAGATAAAAACTTAAAAGTAAAAGATTCATAAAAATTCATGAGACACCTGAATTTGCATTGCATATAAAAGCTGCTCAGCACATTCATCCTTTTCCTTTGTCTGAAAAAATCATAAGGATTTAATTTGGTGATGAATGAACATACCACACCAAACCTCATATGATGGCTGTTGTTCAAATAGAAAACTTTTGTTTCTGTCCTCTTAGTCAAATAATGTACTTTTAATAACAAGAAAAGAAGACTAGTACTTGTAAGACTGAGTACTGAGTTAGATTTATTCAGATATTATGAAAACAAAGGACTAATACCAGAAATTGGAAAATATTTCCGTGCATACCATTAAATAAATCAGTCAATTCATCATCTCCATCAAACTAAGGAGGAAAATGAATAAGCAGCCAAATTTGCTTAATTTAAAGTTTCTTGCCTAGCTTAATTCTCCTAAAGAAAGGGCTAGTCTTCAAGAACAATAAAATATTATTGCTGAAGAAGCAAGGAAAGAGAGGTAAACCTATAATGTGGAGTACTGGTAGGTTTAACAGGAGAAGAATTGATGACATTACATGCAAACAAAATAATGTACAATTCAGAATGGTTTACTTACCATGGGATGTTGTTGAGCACTTTAAAACACTGACAGAGGTAATGTAAAGAACATGAGCTAGGGAGATGTAAGGTGACAGAGAACTGCAAGCAGAGTTGAGCACTTGAAGTTCAACAAATGACAAACAAGATTTACATCAGGTTCAATTTTCACTACACAATAAAGAAAATCTCAGTTCCTGTGGATGAATTAAGCACAGTACAGGGTGGAAGCTTGTTTGTGCTCTATAGCATGCTATACATGTACTTATCTGTTTGTTCTCTGATATTTGTATATGTACTTCCCAAGAATCACATGCATCTATTTTGCATGTCATAATTTCTATGTACATATAACAGCCAGTATTATTAGACTAATCAAAACTTTACCAGAATTATCAAACATGATTGGTTCTGACCAGCTAGATAAGAACCCTAATTAAACATTGTAAGCTTACTGTGTGAGCTTAATAATAATGAAATAAAGATATTTCATAGGTTGCCCACATTACTAGAATTAGGTGGTTTACACTTAGTTAGTTCATGAATTAATGTGATCTAAAAAACATTTTTCCCTTCCAATGTACATGTACAACTAGTAATAGGCAGTTAGAATGGTTGAGTAAAATCTTAATTTTCAATTTTTTTCTTGTCTGATGGTTCACTTATCATTCCCATAGAGACTGGCAGAAGATTTAGAGTATGCTGATGTTCTAAACAGAGCCTCATGTAAGTCAAGTTTATTATTTGGCACTTCTGCCGTAAGTTAATGGTTTCCACACACAGTTTCTATAAAAGTAAGCTAACAGATGTGTTAAGAACTCACATTGGTCTAAATATTTAACCAATCAATGCTTGCTATGCATTTGAATGCCTGCAAGGGAATATATATTTGGGATAGCAGCAACTTTTGGAAAGTGTAAGGATTTTTGTTTTACATGGTAGTTATGGATAGCCATGGAAATTCTCTTGAATCCTCTTCCCAGAGCATGTTGCTCTGCTGTGATTGTGTGGTTTCAACTACTGTAACTATAACAAGGGCATTTTGAAGATGAGTTCCCACAGCACTCTGCTGTTGCACAGCTCTCCTGTTGTTCCCTCAGCAGCCTTCCTTTTACCATGACTGTGTTTATGGACTGTTAGGGGAACCCATTTTCACAAAATGTGCTAATCACAGCTCTGCAGTCTGTTTTTAGAGACTAAAACCAAACTTATTACTGAAAGATTGTCAATTTTTTTTCAACTTCTAAGCACTTCAAAGAGGATCTTATATCCTATTTTAAGATTTCTTTAAGAATTCAGAGACCCAGATGCACCACTAGTCACTGCTAATTTGAATTAATGCATGTTGATCATGTGCAACAACACTTTTTCTATACTTTTTTCTTTTACTTTTACACTTTACTTTTTCATAAATGTTGAAGATCATTTGATTTCATTTAGGAGGACTTTGTGTTTCTCGTAGATTCCAGATTGAACTATATTTGATAAATGACCTCAGGAGATCTGTCTAAAGAACATGTTCCTTAGCATGTGACAAAAATCATCTGAGCAGATGTGTCTTTTTTTAAATTGGGAGTGTTTTGTCAAACGCAAGTTACAGTTTCATTTTTGAGAGTGTTTTCCAAAACTACTCTACTTTATCTCAGATTATTTCAACCAACAAGAAGTTGTTTTCATAGCAACATTTGATTAATGTCATGCATTGTTCTCAATAACATTTGCATTTTGCGACTGTTCAAGATCATTAGAAGCACTTAATGCCGCTCAGATTAAAGGCAAACTGGAAAAAAATAGGAAAACCCACTTGAATTTTTGACGAAAACTAAATGCTAATTAAACCACTTAAAATTCGTAAACCAAAATGAACAATCTGATGCGATCCAGTCCAGTGCAATCCAGATTTTGTTAATGCAGCATTGTTCACATTGCTGAAGGTCGTACTGGTTATTGCAGGTCATCTTAGAAATCACTCAAGGTCATATCAGGTCATTTTAGGTCACTTCAGAAATCACTCAAGGTCATTTTCTAGGTCATTTTAGGCCATTTTAGGTCATTCCTTGTTTTAGAATGCAGAATGCATTTTTGCACTAAAGGAAAGTCTCAAAAAATGGAATTGAAATAATAGAGGAATGTTATTTATAATTGAAATAACACACAAAATTGAAAGAAGTATTTGGTAATCATTGTAGAAGCCCAGAAGGTAGAGGAACCAGTAGGCTTTTGAGCCAGCACCTTTTTAATGTTACAATATATACTATTGTTATCATTATTATTATTATAGTTAATATTATTATTTGTTACCATTTAATTATTGGTTGAATGTCAATCAAACAATGTATTATTGATAAATTATAATAAACCATCTCATAAGTGGAAACTTAATAGCCTTTCTTGGTATACAACACTGTAGATTTCATTACATAAAAACTACGATTAAAAAATATTAAAAATTGAAACATTGATTGTAGTGTACAATGATATATATGCAACCTCACCAATAGATTTTTGGTTTTGTTTTCTTTTGTTTTTACAGTTTGCAAAAATTCGTTGGTACAACTGGCTCATGTGGCAGCCTTTGCCAGTTCAACATATTCTACAGTATTGGGAAGGTAAACTCAGTTGTAGATGTAGAACATGTGAAACTTTTTGACACCTGCAACAGCATAGTTTGCATTTCACCATTAATCCTAATCACAAAGCATTTAAGCCATTGTTCTCTTCAAATGTTTATTTTATGCACACAAAACTCTTTGCAGATGACCATGTTGCTCTTTTTAGTGCAAAATTGACTGCCTTTTGAAATATCATGTAGTTAGGTGGGCACCAAGAATTTTTATGTTATGGCATTATACAGTCAGACACACATAACTGCATACATACATAACTTTTATTATTGATTCTCCTTAGCTAAGGTTTTCAGTGACAGTTATCAATATTATGAAAATATAGGCTATAATTTGCGAAACAAAATGAAACAACATGAAAATCTGTACTTTGCAAAGTAGAAATCTGTAATTTGCAAATAGAAAACTGTTAACAAAAAAAGTCGTAATCAGGCAGGAACTTCAAGATAATCTAAGAGCGTGGGTCAAGTCCATTTTCCCCGCAAACATGATATTTTATCTACAAACATTTTCATCATTTCCACATGTATTTCAGGTCAGGAAATTGTCATGTCACCCATTTGAATTATTTGTTGACAACACACTTTGATTACACTTTATATACATTAATTACAGCCACAGTGCCAGCTAATATGTCAAATTACCATTGCTCTTTCTGGCTTAATGACTTACCTCTTCTTTCACATAGTCAATGCATTGATTTATTCATGAACATAGTGGAGATTTTGCAAGTACACCTCACAAATTTTTCATTTCTCACTTTCACCAGTTCTTATTATTATTTGGAAGGGTGCATATGCAATCCACACTTGTGGTGAACCGACAGATTCATTCTTCCAGCCTATGGAGTTTTCTGTAGGAATTATCGTTTTGCAAATAACAGATTTATATTTTGCATATTACAGATTTCTATTTGGCAAATCATTTACAGATTTCTCTTTTGCAAATTACAGATTTCTATTTCACAAATCTTACTGATTTTCATTTTGTTTCCTTTTGCAAATTACAGTAATTAAGCCAAAACATAAAGTTAAAGTAATAAGCTACAAGTCTACATATGTATATTACAGATTTCTCTTTTACAAATTACAGATTTCTATTTCACCAATCATACTGATTTTCATTTTGTTTCCTTTTGCAAATTATAGTAAGCCAAAATATAAAGTTAAATTAGAAGCTATGAGTCTTCATATGAATATTTTAGGTAAAAATTAAAGGAAGATTACTAGCCAGTAGGTTATTGAGTCTTTTCATAGAGGTGGCCATATTTCCACAACAAATGAGTTTGTTTAAGGGATTTCATTCCAGATTTGTGCTCTTCAAAATGCAAACAACAACTGACCTATGGTTAGCCTGACTTTTGCAAGGCATAGATTCTTGTTTTGTCTGGATGTTTTGCTGTGGAGTCCAATTTGATCAAATCAATGCCATGCAGTTGTTAAATAAACTTTTGACGAATGCTTTCAGTGTTTTTCTGTTACATTAGGCCACCTAAAGAGCTCCAGTTGTTATGTACAATTGTAAATGTTTTAGTCCAAGGACTCCAATTCTTGCTTTAGGCTTAGAAGAGAAGGTCTGGGTCCTAAAGCTTGGTCAATATGAAGAAGCCCCTTTTGCAGATTTTGCCTTTTACAAAATAATTGAGTGGGATATTTTAACACAACTTTTGCCTTAGGGGGCAAGATACAAATTTGAACAAACATCTTCCTATTACCCAATTTTGTTGGTCCGTGATAAAATCTACTTGTGTTATTACATTATTCCAAATTACACATGATATCATGCGATTACCTATACAAATATTGTAATATTTGAAAGAGTTTGGTACCTTCACACTCCCAGAAGTTTTTCACAACTGATCAAATGTTCAATCATCCCTCCTAACCCATTAAGGTGATTTTCAAGATGGGAATGTGAAGATACATGTAGATTTACTAATTATTGATGGAAGAACAAAATTGTTGACTTTATATATTTACCAGTATACAAATTCATTTTAAAAAAAAGAACTCAACATTGTGACTATAATTACAAAAGGCTGGGGAAGGGAAATGCATCAGAAAATATGATTATTTCATATAACATTAGTAGAACATGGTAGAAAAACGATTCTAAATAATTTTTGTGACAGCTCTTACATGCCACCAATTAATGTGACTAATTAGTTAATGTAGGTTATGCATAAGTAGTCAGTAGATGTAGTAGCTCTTGGGATTTGTATTCTGGGGTGCTGAACAAACCTCAAGATACTTGTAGCAAGGAAAAACTTTTCTTTCTGCCAAGGTAAAGTCTTAGAGTCCAAAACTGTTATATTTCATCCTTGCTTGTAGGTTCTGGAAACCTTTCAACCCACTTCTAGGAGAAACATTTGAATTTGTTAACCCCACTGCTGGATATGCCCTAATTGCAGAGCAGGTTAGTGGATGACACAGTCTCGTGGTATTTTGTTGTTATCTGAATTGATATTTAACCAAGTGGTTGTTCATTAATGAATTGGTCCCGTAATTTGTTCCTGTGACTTGTGGTAAATGAGAGCTTGGATCTTAAAAGAAAGAACAATGAAATTAACCTTTTCTCCACAATCCATGTTCTAAAGGATAAAAAAAGGTTGACCTTTGTGAATTCTTGCGTCCCCTTTTTTCCACTTTCAGTTGCTTTAATGAAGTCAGTCTCCATTAAGGTGTCTGTTTCTGACACAAAATTAAAAATCATATGAATGACATCTCTATGTGCAAAAGGCCTGTGTGACTGCATCACAGCGTTGGTGTAGGCTGGTGGATATATTTTTAAAATATTTTTTCTGACACAGAAAAGGAATTTTATCCTATGACCCCAACATGGATATCTTACAAAGTATTTTATGGTATGTTGATGAAAACTGAAAACCAAATGCTAAACCAATTATAAAATGCGCAAACCGAAATGAACAGGATCACTGAAAAACTGTACTTTTGGCACAAAAACCAAAAAACCAATCTAAAAAAAGCCAAAACCAAAAATCCTAATGCTCGCCTCCTGATTGAAGAGTGATACATTCCTCTTGCTTGCCTTCATCCAAGCTGGCACTACACAACACTCCTTGACACAGCCGTGAAAGTGACTACATGGAGTTTTGTGGCAAAAAACTTTCAAATGGGCCTGCTCTCCATTATGTCACACAGACTCTGTTTTGGTTTGTTATGCAGCATCTCTAATTTTCATTGAAAATATTGTAATTTTTTCACAAAAAATTACAATATTTTTATTTTGGCTTGTCACACAAAATTTCTAATCTTAGTTGTCATGATCTGATCCATGATCTGATCCATGATCTGTGATCTGGTCTGTGATCCAGTCCGTGATCCAGTCCGTGATCCAGTCCGTGATCCAGTCCGTGATCCAGTCTGTGATCCAATCCAATCCAATCCAAATTTTGTTGATGCTATGGTATGTTCAAATGAAACTGCACATTGTGTCCAAGGAGTTGAGCTGCAAATGACATCTTCTGTTTTACTACAAATTACTCTAGCTCACTAAGAAATTACTTGCATTGGAGGTTTAATTTTTATCACTTAGAATTATTTTCACTCATATATGAACAACCTAAATATCAAAATCGTCCAGATATCTAAAGCAAAAAATTCAGAACAAATTGCTAATATTATCAGGCTCAGCACATTGTAACATAACTCGCATTAGCCAAAATGGGGGCTGTCTACTGTAGTTGTGTTTTGTGTGTAGTTTCCTGACTACTAACTTCTCACTAACCTTCCTCTTCATGCTCCATACACCTCTCCCATCTTACAGACAAAGGTATAAATTAGATATAAAGCTGAACTCTCAATTAAAAGTAGCTAGAATGGATTTTTTATATTCAATCTCGTCTCCATCTGTAATGCCATTAATAGCTTAGGACAAAACACACTGTTCCTTTCAAATAAAATTTAAAAGAACCTTTTCCTTTGGCATCCACACATGTAGCAGTGAAAACCAGAGCTATAAACAAACAATGGTTGAATTGACAAATTTACATTAATTTACCTTACTTAGTCCATCCAAATTACTGTCAAGTCGCCATATGGTACAACTCGCCAACACCAACTCACTGACATATAAAATTGAGTAGAGACGTTGGTGAGTTGGTCTTCAATCCAGTACAATTTATTAGAAGTTAAAGGTAAAGAAAAGTAAAAGATCTTTAGTTTAAAAAGAGACATTTTTTCTTTCTTCTAACAAAGTTTATATGGATCTCATGGCGAATAAAGCAAATTAAACATCGCCAATGACTATGAAAGCTTCAGACGCGAACGAGTTATTGTGTGACAACAACAACATATATAAAGACTCATTATGTCAATCGGTAAGGTTTTTTTTAAGAAAACTTGACTTTCTCGACAAGATCTTTTGAAAAAAAACAATTCTTCTTATTTCCAACAAAGTTTATGAGGATCTTAAGCAAGGTAAACATCATCAATGACCAAAAAAACTTAGGATGTGAACGAGTTATTGTGTGACAACAACACCGTAAAGACTCATCGTGTCAACTGGATTCTAAAGATCTTTTACTTTTCTATATCTTTAACTTCTAATAAGTTGTACTGGATTGAAGACCAACTCACCGACATCTCTGCTCCATTTTATACGTCGGTGAGTCGAACCGTCGGTGACTTGACTGGATACCGTCTATCCAACTGCAATGTACATGAAACACAACAAAAGAAAATACTACATGGAATGTCAGTGTCTTAAAAAATATTTAACAATTTAAGACAAAAGGATAAAAAAACACTTTAACTAATGGTGATCTTCATTGCTGTGAAAGGAAAGGAAAAAATAAAGTCAACACTTCATATTATTTTTTTTTTAGAGGGCACGGTAACAAATCCTACAATCTGATTGGTTCTTTACCCAGTCAGTATTTTCCTATCTCTGCCCAAGAGCCATGGTAACGCTTCCGTGAGTTGCCAAGTACATCCCAATTTTTGTTGCCATTTTTCATAGATACATCTCATTTTTCTTTCTGGGCAGTATTTTTAAGCAAACATGTCGGTCACTACCTCAAGCCAGTAAATAAATTATGAATCCTCTCTTTTCTCTCTCTCAAATCACTTTGATTGACAGAAAAATATTGGTTTCAGAATGAATTTGTATAAGCAATAGCGCCATTATGTTGGTTGACAAGCAGCCTAAAAACCGTCTGCAATTAATTTTAATCGTTCACAAAAAGTACATAGAAAGTTAAAACGTGAGGTATTTGGTTACAGGTAAACTGAACAATGGAAATTTAATTCATCTAATATCTGAATTTTCTCAGCAAAGTTTTAATTTAAGTTCTACAACAAATATACGCTCTTGGTGAGTCTTTCCAAGTCCGTTCAATTTGGACATTTGTACTGTAAATTGCACAATAGAAACTGAAGGAATTTAATGAGAAAAGGCTGCATTAAATCCCTGTGTGTTTTGGTAGTGTGCCATTCAAATTTAGTTTTTGTGAAGGAAAGACCAGATTTACACACGCCATTGCAGCAAACAAATGAACAAACTCTCACAACTTCAAAATAAAAAATTTTCATTTACTCACAATTACTTTCCTCGCCGTTTTATTGATGAACAGAGGTAAATCTTTGTAAATGAATGAATCATCGATGAGAGGGAATAATACTTTCTGTTAGATCATTGACTGTTTTTGAAGAAAAAATTGTCATGACAGTCCTTGCCAAACTAGTTCCATTGTTTTTCAAATGTTCTTGCTCTTTTTTTTCTTACATGTTCCCTAATTGACAGGTGTCAGATTGTGACAGATACTTGTAAAAATAATGTTTCAAAGTTTGTTTGGAAGACTTTTAAATCACCGTTATCGTTAGGGAAATGAAAATGTTTCGGTGAGGCATCTCTCTTTAATTTGCATCACCTCTATTTTAACTACCGTTTACTCACTCATAAATTGTTCAGTTTATGGAAGATCTTGCCGTATTTACAGCCCTAAATCATTTGGGTTCTTTCAGAAATAATTTCGTCAAGTTAAAAAAAATATATGTTATTTACTGGCCAAGGGTTGGTCCGTATGGTGAAAAATCGTGACCTCAGTCTTGAAATACTGCCCTTGGCCTATGGCCTCGGGCAGTATTTTCAAGACCTCTGTCACAGTTTTTCACCATATGGACCTCCCAGCTGGCAAATAACATATGTCTCTTTCCTGAAATAGAGTACCAAATTAGTTTTTATTTGGAAGACAAGTTAGTGTACTACCATTATGGTGGTTTTATCTAATTAGATTCACTTTTGAAATCTGTTTATGCATAGGTATCACATCATCCTCCTATCTCAGCCCTTCATGCAGAATCTGATCACTGGATTTTCTGGCAGGAATATAAACTTGATACTAAATTTAGGGGACAGGTATTACACATTATTTCTCAAATTTTTAGCCCACTTGTAAAAGTAACAGAAATGATAAGTATTGGGGGCACATAAACAAGATCTCTATGCTTATACAATGCCAGACAATAGAATAACCTATGAACATGGAAACAATGGTGGCCAGTTGAAACCTGTAGGAAAATATACATATATTTATATGTATATATCATTTGAATTATGTATGTGACTTTGCATATTCAAAATAAATCATAAAGTTCTAATATAATTGTTAATAAAAGATACTTATACAGTTGTGTTGGAATATATCATATGGATGACATATGCCTACCTTCATAGTTTTTGAAGGTTATTCCAACTGGATTGTGTCACGTGAAGTTTAAAACAGATGGTCATCATTTTACATGGCAGAAGCCAATCACAACAATTCACAACATCCTTGTTGGCAGTATTTATGTAGATCAGGTGAGTTTGCTTGTTTACTTCAGAGTGATTTGCCAAAGGCAAGGCAATATTGTGCACTAACGAAAGAAATGGAGTCATATTCACAGAACAGAAAGTCCTGTTATTACACTTTGAAAGCAAACTGAGTTCATTACATTTTAATATCCATTAACATGTGAATATCCATTGACATGTGAATATCCATGTATTGTCAGTGACAAACAGTGTTAACTAATGGTTACAATCTTGCTAAAGAAACCTTGAAAACTAGATCCGAAGTGATAAGTTGCTTTAGTCAGCTTACTACAATTTTAGTGCAAAAGGAAATTTAATTTAAACAAAATACAGTAAGCTGTTTAGTTAGCAAGACTGAGCTACATGGATAGAGCACAAAAGCAAACTATATATCCCAAAAAAACTCTTAAAACAAGTAGTGACCATGGCCAGTTTTCTGTGGTTTTAGCCTTTCCAATGTTTCTGGGTCATGTTGTTGACTTGGACAGGAAAAGTGTGTAAAAATGGTCTGGGCTAAGCCAACTTGGTTCTTCATTTCCATGTTTTTCAAAAAAGCATCAATTATAGTGTGAAGGCTCCTCATCCAATAATGTCTAAGTTTAAATAACATATATTTGATGATTTTAGATGTATAAAATTCATATATTTGTACTGTGGTGAAGAAATGACACTAAGAGATCCTTGCAGCTAAGAACGCTACTGAAATGAGTAGTTGAAAATAGGACCTGAAAAAAAAAATTCAGGCCCATACAGGATTTGAACCCATGACCTCTGCAATACTGGTGCAGCACTCTACCAACTGAGCTAACGAGCTAATTGGGGGCTGGTCAATGTGTTGGGTCCAAATAAACCATCCACAGGGACTAAATGAATGATGATAATTTTAGTTATTGTTATTATTTAAATTTTTAGACACTCTTTAGTTTATTTGCACTGCCATTTATCGACCTAACGTGACAAATGAAATTATGTATGTATGTATATAAACCATCCAAGTGATGAATGATGATTTTAGATATATGAAATTCATATATTTGCACTGCAGTTAAGAAATGAAATTAAGAGATCCTTGCAGAATACTACTGAAATGATATTTGTCAAATAAAATTAGTGCTAAGGATAATTACCTAATTTTTATCTACTGTAGGACCCATTATGATTCAACAGTGAGATTGAATATGCCCATTGCTTCCTGTACTTTGTGAAACCTAACCAAACTAAACAAACCATCTATATTCATTTTTGAAATAGCCTATCAAAGTTAACTTTTACCGAGTTACTAGTGGCATTGAAGAGTACCTTTTTCGATTGATGATTAACTATGCAACAAGCATTTCATATTGGTTGACTAAGGGGGAAAAAATAGTAGTACCGAAAACAAAGACCACAAAAAGCTGAGACCTAAGACCTAAGACCTAAGACCTGAAATTGAAGACCAGAAAACAAAGACTTGAAAATGAATACCCCTTTATTTTCTTTGTTTTTTAGGATCTTGTTATGTAGTTTCTCACTGGAAATATCTAGCTGCAGTTTTAATCTTTTTAGTAGTACAGTATGCAATTAAACAGTGGTTTAAAAAAAAGAACCCAAAAACACAAACCCAAAAACAAACAACTGAAGAACTCAGACCTAAAACAAAGATCCCCTTATTTTCCTTAATTTTGGATAGTGATGAAGGATGTGATCAAACTCATCTGTCATTTGCCCCCCACTTCTTGTGAACTAAGTGCCTTTAAGAATTGTGTAATTCGGAATGCAGTTGGAGAAGAAAAACTCTCCAAAGCTTCCTTGGCTGATGTGCTTTTTGAAGTGGAACTTACTGCATTCAAACTTCAGAGTGTCCTGCAGCACAGAAGCCACCACATGCTCTCTGCCTGTAAGCTTTGCCAACTAGAGTGGTGCAGACATTACACAAGCGATGAGAGGCAGGAAACCTTCCTTCACACAACACTGAAAAGACAAAAAATTATGCCGTTTGTCATGTTAGACTGGCTGCTTTGAAGAGCAGCTAGACCAGCTTTTGTATGAAAGAAGAACAATGCTGTAATGCCGACTGGCATCAGCCAGGTCAAAAGTTTACATCACCAGCTCTGATCTTCATTTAGAACAAGAACAGCTGGGGGCAGCAGTTAGAAATGTCGAAAGGCAGTACTTTTTTTTAAAAATAAATGAGGAAAGCAACAAAGAGGAAAGTTAAAGAAAATAAAGTGTACACCAGTGTAGCATTTTATGTAATTGTTAGCAATTTTGCTTTTGTTTAACTGATAAATAGTTAAACTGTTGCTAACAGAGAAGTTATCAAGCTTTTCACGGTTTCTTTTTTTTTTGGTATAAAGTGTGACCCGAACTTCTTGTCTCAAGATCATAAAGGAGTTGTTTTTAGGTCTCTGTTTTCTGGTTTTGGGTCTTAGTTTTCAGGGGTCTTCACTTGTGCTACAACCAGGAAAAAACTTGATGGTACCTCAAACTCTTACAGATAAATAGATTAAAGTGGCCTTTTATTGGATTTCATAGGAAGGAGATGTTGTGGTGACAAATCACTCAACGCGAGAGCAGTGTAGACTACATTTTCAACCTGTAAGGGAAGTCCAAGAGAGCTTCAAACAGCTTTCAGGTATTGGTATAGCACAAAGTAGAGCTGTATCCTTAAATGCAAACATGTAGAGTTCGAGAATTAATGTGTCTTTACTGCCATTTGGGGAATTTCAATGCTGCATCGTGGTCATGACTCTTGAACAAAAGGGATACACAAGGGATACAGGATTGTAGATATGGTTCTAATTTCTACACCTTATTGTAGTATCACAGTGTAGTAAAACATCAGGGAAGGGTCGGTTCGGGTCAACCTGTTTCAAAGCTTGGGCTACATGCAGTAGGTTACAAGACTGCTGCTGTGAAGTAAGTGAGGCACACTCAACTGAACTGTATACATAAAGGTAACTATAACTAATACACTTGATGGAGAATACAGAGGATAGCAAGAAGTTCTGATGACATAACCTAATTATAACACAAACACAACCAGTATGGAACGTACATAAATATTGCTGAACTAAGGCATAATCTTACCCTAAATAAATGTGTTGCAAGAATGTTGAGCAGGAAAGCAAAAATGAGATTTGCTATCCCATGCGACACATTATAAGAATACTTTCATGTTACTACAACAACAAAGGATCCTATATCAATCTTTTTTCAGATTATGCTTAGTCGTTGTTATTGCACATTGTTCTGTCTTGCTCTGTCAGGTTTTGTCACACTTTTCTACTACAGGAAAGTACTTAGCACAATGATCCCCTCACCTTTGTCAAATGGAATGATGAATGATTTTGCCTCATTTTTGTGGTGTCCCATAATGATTGGGCAATGAGATTGAATATTCAGGTCAAATAACCAACTTGTACTTTTCTATATTCCTAAATAGAGCCAGAATTGATGATATGAAAGTGATCTTTTTTCCAGTGGTAACACACCTACAACAATGTTAGGGATTCAATAAATACCAACTTTCTCTTATTTAAAAATGAAGTTCCGGGCTAAATTAGCTACATTTCCAAGATATTTTATGACTGAATCCCTTTTTTGTGGAAGGGGTTGCATGAGTCATAGAGCTGGTTCAGGGTGTGGATCACAACATGTTGGGTATGATGCTTGGAGGCACTATATCTGCTGCATATATTAAGCTATGGTGTGTTTCCCAGGGCTCCAATTCAGGTCTTGTCCTCTTCCTTCTATTCACTGGTGATCTCCCTTTGAGCTGGGAGAAAAGAAATGATCTATTTGTAGATGATGCCACATTCTGTGTTAAAGCAGTGACTTGCACTAATGTTTAGGTAAAACTGCAATGATATCTCTCAAGTGTAATGGAATTTACCCACTGGAAAAGACAACCTATGTACACAGTGATGAATGGCACTTAATAAAAGTAGTCCAGCACTGAGGACTGGACACTGGCAGTTTTTGAATGATAAGCAGTTGAAGAGGAGGGTCTACTGAGTCTATATTTATACCAATCCCTTTTGTGGTCAGTTTGGTTATCTAGAAAAATTGCCCCTATCAAACAAAATCTTGGCTAAACTGCATTGTGGATCTTCTGAATGATCTTTTTAAGGTTCAAAACAATGCCTGCATATTGTTTTAGATGCTCATTATTTAGATGCTCCCTGTCAAATTTGTCCTCTGTTGTTATTTCTTTACCTAGCCATTTATCGTATCTGTTATTTTATTATGACAAAATCTTCAATAGATGAACACCAAATTACCTCTATGAGAAATTGTTATCTTCCAGTCTGCCACATACCAACAATATGAAGCAACATTTTTTAATGATGGTGTTTGAGAACACCTGTATGAAAAGTTTCAGGGGTGAATTCTACTTTTGTAACATAAAGAAATAATGGAAAAGATGCTTTGATCCTGTTTTGTATAAATTGGCTGCATGCAGATAGTTTTAAAATCAATTAAGTTTTCTAATATGTTTTGAATGATTGCCCAGCATATATTTCCATTAGATTCTGTTTGTATTTATTTTGTGCTTTCAGTGTTGATATTTGTTCCTTTGTTTTGTATTCTTGTCATTTGGATTTTAAGGTCATAAGGCCATCACAGAATATGTACTTCTTTGTTAGATTGACATAACGGGTTATGGTTGTTGCTGTTTAAGTTACCTCTTAATGCTTTATTTAGTCCATCTAAGTTAAACAATCTTTTTGGTATTGTCTAGAGCAACCCCTGGCCACCTCAAACCTTTCTTCAGAAATGTTTTCTTTCGGTTCACTGGCCATAATATTTTTATAACCTTCTGAAAATGAGAATATCTGCTCATTCACACTCATCAGTGTTAGCACCGTTGCATTGTAGGGGAGGTGCTAAATTCGAAGGGTCATGTCAAATATAACATTGTGGGAGCATGGGACCGTAGCCTTGAATTGCATTCTGTAGATGGTATGTTGACTTGTTTTTGCAATTTAGTGTGTCATTAATAAAGAATAAGACTGGCTGCTCTTTTTATAATCCATCAGGTTAAATCTCTGTGTTCAAGGTTAGAGCTATACAGTAATCTTAGGTTATTGTTGCATGCCCATGCAGAATAGTCCCTGTAAAAAAATGCATATTTTGTGGTAAGATTTGTGTTTTGAGTTGTTGAATATTTTGATTGATTACATTAAAACTCTAAAGTAATTGGGATAGCAGAGAAACACAAAAGAGGTTATTAAATAGTAAAATACCAAAATGGAACAAGGATGTAACTGACCAATGAAGGCTGAGTTTTTTCTAGTGTTCAGAGCATGATGTATGTTGAAGATAAGTTCTTTTCAATGACATTGTATTTCAAACAGATTTCTAGAAACATAGTTGTATAAATGGTTCCTTCTAGTATAAATAAGATGCATGTATGAGTTTAATATAAAAATGAAGTACATCTGGACAAGAGCAAGCAAGTCCATGAGCACTTTATGGGTGACCTCTTCGGGTAGGAATTGTATAAAAGGGGTGGTAACATATACCAAGACTGGGTCTTCCATGGAGCCTACATGTCAACTCTGACCCTGGTTAACTTGGTATTTTGTGGTTTTATTGTATTTTTCAGACACAGACATGGATCCCATTGACCTATGGACAGCAAATACCAAACCTGAAGATTCCTGGAGGTACAATAAAGTTTTTGATATGCAGAGCACTGAACTAAGTTATGATAAGGGACTGTTAATTATTTATCAGAGGTGTTACTGAGAAACTGAGTGGACTTGAAATTTTCACAGGTCAATATTTGGGGGGGGGGCTCTTGGAGGTGTTTTGGGGAAGGAAAATAATTTACAAAGGTGTTTGTTCAAGTAGCAAAGCAATGGTAAAACAATGCCATTAAAAAGTGTTTTCTGCCAAAGAAGAATTGTAGTTAAAGTGTTATTATTTTCTATATGATAAGAGACAAATTTTAGGTGTGAAAAGTCAGTAAAATGGACTATCACAGTTCCATGCATAATGTCCCATATTCTAATATGCCATATTCAAAATATCTGTTTTAACAATTGTGGTGGTCATTAGTCTTGTGAATGAGTTAGTCAACCGTTATTTGTGTCTTTATAAATATAAGAACTTGCCAGGTTGTGAAATTGTCCAATTACACAGTAAGTTTCCAAGTGATGTTGGTGAACACTCAATTGAAGAAGCTGGAACTTTTGATCGGTTATACTGTTATACTTGTTTCAATAAATAATGAACTTGTAGCAATTTGTTGGTTCAATTGTTTTCAGATATTATGGCTTCACACAGTTTTCAATTCAATTAAACGATCCAGAATATGGTATGTATCAGGAGGATGTACACTGTAGATTGAATTTGAATCAAGGTTAGACTATGGTTAATTCAGAGATACATTGTATAAAAAATGCAGAAGTCAGATAGTGAGGAACATTTTTATAAAAGGTAATGAAGTAGTTTTTCGTAGCTCTGTTTGAATGAGCTTTGGAAGTAAATATGAAAATTTCTATTGGCTACATTTTGGGTCATGTGTACTTAAGAGTGTGTCCAGGAGAGCACATACCATCTCACCGATTTCAGTGAAACTTAGCTAGTTTATAGGGTCTACCCCAAAACTCAAACAGACAAACTGGTTTCTGTTTTCTTTATTTCTGGGGGGAGATAGACCACCCCCTGTTTTTCTTGGCCTTCCCTGAGGAAATCGCTTCAAATTAGGTAAAATGTATGAAGCTCTTACTGTGATGGTATTCAACCGATTACTTAAAGGGTTTTACATACTTATTGTTACATCCTTAATGATTTTACGATGCAAGTGTCAGTCAATTTGATCGATGGCTTGTCGATCAACAGAGGCATATAAATGACTGTTTTAGAGTTTTCGATTCCATAAATATTCGATTACTTTGAAGTCAAATATCTCCCCTTGTCAGAAAGCTCCAGCTCTAATTTTAACTTCCCTTTATAATCCATCACTTTGTCTCTGAAAACCATCAAGAAAATCTTTGGGTACTGCCGTATTTTTGTCCAGGATGCCTTTTAAAATCTGTGGTTTTGACAAGCTTCTCTCAACTACACCTGCCACACAATACTGGTTCTAAGCGCTCATTTGAGCGAATAAACCTACATTTTATTTAACAATTGGCTCGCACGTCATCGTGCGTTCATCGAGATATGAAGCACGTGAGAAGTTTGGAGAGCACGAAAGATGCGTAAGAGTTGTCTCGGCTACGCCTCGAGCAACTCTAGCTTCTTGAGTGCTCTCCAAACTTCCCAAGTGCTTCATATCTCGATGAACGCACAGCTGACGTATGAACCAATTGTTTTATAACATTTTCAACCCGATGGAAAATTTTTTTTCTCGAGGGATTTGTTTGCTGACGTCATGAGCGTGCACAATAGGAATATGAAGCACGCTCGCGCAATTGAATTTGATTACACAAATTTACAAGCTATGTTATAAAGCTCATTATACAAGATGATTGATCAAGAAAGCTACAAATGTGGGTAAAAGTGAAGAACAGTTCCCGAAAGATACTGTCGGCCAACTGTCGCAAATGTTAACAACTTTCAAGATTTTTTTTAGGAGTGCAAAATTTCATGTTTGGAGAGATGCATGTAGGCGAATATAGCCTTCACATGGCAGAAAACATTGATTAGTTTATAGTTTGATTATTTATTATCATTTCCCTCACGTTAGGAGATTATGAAGTCACATGTAGCGTGTTGGCTGATAAACCAGCTCACGTGTGCGACAACTTCGGCTTTACAGACGAGAAATTCTGCCCTATCATTTGAGATGGAATATCAACAGCTCCATCAAATTCAAGAACTGTGCTACTGTTCCGAAAATAAAGCTAAAATAGTGTTGTCGTTCTCAGTTACCGCCATCAAATATTTCCATGCTAAACTCCACCCAACTAACATCTGTAGCGTGACCGGAAGACTTTTCGTAGGAATCATTCAAGCGCGTTGTTTCTGCTGTCTGCTGGATAACAATTTCAGAATATTCTCCAGATATCTATGTGTATTTGCCTTCTTTGATCGTAAAATATCTGCTTTTTTTTTTTCAAGTATTCTATAACCAGATGTAAATCTATATCTCTCTCTATCAAGTATTGCGGCGTTGAATTACGCGACTTAAGAATGAGCCAGCAACATTTTGACCAATAGGCCTCCTGCCAATTTCCCAATTTTCCCAATTTCCCGCTCCTTTTCTCACGCGCATGAAAGGATTTCATGCCCGTGGCTGCTTATATCTTTTCTTGAGATTTTCAAGCTCTCTGTTGCTGATGTTGAGTTGGGCATCTGAAAGGATGAAGATGTGTCATTTCACATTTCCTGAACCTGATGTTTTTCTGTTAATTGCGAGCTGAACTCGTTCTTTCGTATTTACCAATTTCAATCCACTTCCATGAAGATCATTGTCTCTCATACTCCTGAGATTGATGAAGAGACTAAATCTGTCTCCGGCATAAAAGTCTGTTGCATTCATTGCGCTGTTTCTTTACCAAATCTTCTGAAGACCTCTTCCCACATATCTTTTGTCTTCTTTCCTTGGCTGTAAACCTTATTCGGAATTCTACTCACAACCACATTCACTTCAGTGATGTCAAGTTTGAATGTGTTCTCACTGTCTCTCGCACCAGCGACATATAGCTTGTAGAATAGAGGAAGACCCTTCATTGACCCCCACGGAACACTTAAGCTTTCATTGATTATCATGTCAGTCGCTTTCACGATAATGATTGTCTTGAGATGAATGAGGTGCTGTTACGTATATGTAGTAAGATCTCGTTCATTAGGAAGTTCTTGACTGTGAATTACTTCAGACTCAAGCTGGATGTTTGTAAATTCATAGGCAAGCTGTGCGTTGTCAGATCTTATCCCAAAATTGCTGGCAGGTGCTAGTCTGAGTTCAAAAACAAGCTCATTATAGAGAGCTTGTGGGAAGAAGACTCCCTGATACTTCAGAATCTCATGATCCAATGGAATCCTATATTTATTCTCATGAACATCACTGAGCTTATTCTCCTTGTCAACTCCTGATTTCCTATCTCCAGCATTGCATCTGATCTTCGAAAGATCAACAGACTAAATAACTTCTCTGAGCATGCTTGCTCTCTCATTCTCAGTCGAGGAGAAGTTTTCATAGAGCTTGAAGAGATCGTAGCCATTGGTGTCTTGCACGATTTCTCCTACAAATTTCACAGTCAACCTGTCAACAGGCGCTCGTGCGTCGTTGTTCACGATATAATTGTTTGCATGACCACTCCGTATCCGTATTCCGTATCCAGGCACAAGGACAACTTCTTCATCAAGGTTTGGAACTGGAACATTGTGTTTCACAGAGAGATGCCCTATTGGGGTTAAGTGTCACTCTGTGAATTACGCGATCAGCCTTGATGCGTTCTTTTTTCAAAATTTTGCTTTTCTCACTGACTTCCATTTAATTAATTAATAATTTATTTCAAATGGATGATTTTGAAGATACTGATCCTCTATTGAAACAATTTTCAAGCATACCTTTTATGTAATAATTCAACTCCAGCGCCATCAGATGAAGAAATTCCAATGACAACAATGAACAGGGGAAAAGAGAAAGGGTCAAAAACCGCCGAAACATCTTTCATTGAAGGTGATACTAACTTTGAATTAGAAGGCATGGGACTCCCTTACCAAAATTATCCTGAGGCAAAGGCTTTGGAACTCAAAGTTTCTTATAGTAAAAGGGGACGGTGGCAGGTAAAGATATTTGGTCAGGGCAAGAGGACATCCCTTGTATGGTGAAGAAAGGTGTAAAAAAAAAAAAAAAGGTTGAATCGATCACTCCTGAAACAATTTAAAACCTCACTTGGCCCGGAGCAAGAGAGATTGATTACACAGAAGGATACAGAAATTGAAGAGCTGCAGAAGTCTATTCAGGAGGATCGGGGGTTGCCGAGGATGAGAATGAAGACCAAGCTATAAGAGAAAAGGTAATAGAGCGGAATGTTGCCCTTGAGAATGATAGAGAAGAACTTGAAGAAGGTACTTCACAGAGAGTGAGAGTAAGAAACATCCTCAAGAAGTATGGCTTCACAGTTTCAGCTGTTGTCCTGGCAGTTGGCACAACGATCGGAGTTATTATTAGTTTAGTGACACAAAGCCTTCAGTCTGTTGCCAAAGGTCTTACTCTTGGAAGTCAGATTGCGGGAATTCTCCCAGGTCTCTTCCTTACAAGGGATATGTCCTTTTGCCTCATGCTTCGTATTCAGAGCTGTTAGATCAGTGATCAGCTTCCTCGGTCAAAATGCATGGCTTCTGATAATGGGAGTTGCTGTAGTTATGGTCGAGTGATTTCAGAGGAAGAATCGATGAATCAAGAAGGCTGAGACCATTCCAGTTGAAATCAATCCGACCTTCACCATATCATGATTTGTCTCTCTGTCGCTCATGCTTCACTTTCCATCTAACCTTGATGGTGACTTCACCTGAACTTCAGTTGAAGTCTTGTTAATTGAATTTGACGGGTGAGAGGCCAGTCTGTTGATCTTTTATAAGCTCCCATTATGTGCCTTACTCCAACTGATTTCGCCTCCAAATTCACTGATTTTGTCTGACTTTCTGATTACATCCTCAACCAAGAAGAGGAACTCACGTTGAGCTCCCTTACTGCTTCTTGATGAACTCAAGATTGATCATCTGACATTTGCTTGTGCACCAAGAATGCAATAAACGAATGCCTCAATTGACTGATTCAGTCTGACTTGTCTGCCATGAAGAAGTCAAATTGTCTCTCAACCCTACCGTTGTCATTCGTTGTCAAGTAGATCAGATTGCCCGTGATGGCTTTTCCACCGTCATCGCCGAACTTGTTATAACGACGATAAGAGTTTGAAGTTGCTGATGGTCCAAGATTTGTGACATAAACGAAAGCAGATCAGAGACCGTGATTATCACATTCTCTGAAGCGGAAGTCTGTAACTGGAATTCTGCTCCTGATAAAATTCCAAATTGTGCACATATTGGTTTGAACAATGGCGTGTCACAATTGACTCTGAATTCCGCCCATCTCAAAGAGAATCCTTCCGGCGGTGAAGTAGAAGTGAAACGTCAGAAATGACTTGATCTGTTCTGGAACCTTGTCAAATACCTCACAAGATATTCCGTAACCTGTCTTTGCGTACCATACTGCGAAGTTGAGCTGTTGAGGCCAGTAGCTCAACGGAGGCAGAGGCAGATTTGAAGACAAAGAGAGAGAATGACCTCATTGATCCCATTGTTGGAAAAAGAGAACCTGTTTTCAAGATCAATCATTTCAAGCTGATGGAAATGGCAGGAGAAAAAAGCACACTTTACTCACCAAGAGAGAGCTGCAAGAATCACTTGGCATCAAGAATGTTGATAATGAGATCAGATTAAAGCCATACATTTTCATCAGACTCAGAAGCCAAACAATTCACATTCAGAACGTGGAAAGAAGCAATGGATTTCTTCAGAATAAGTGGCAGTCGCCTCGCTGAAGGAATCAAAATAAGCGATTAATTATTGACGCTACTGTGTACTGATTTGAAAGACGCTGAAGCTTTTGTCTTGAAAAATTGATTTTTCAAACATGAAATTTTCAAAAATCTAATTTTTTTATATCTTATAAAAATGGAGTCGTTAAAACGACCAGAGTTCATTGCAGTAGCAAAAAGACTCAGACTCAGAGGTTACAGCTGCTTAAGAAAGGTTGAATTCATCAATCCCATTTTCAAATGGGTAAGAGGCCCAAGTCATGCTGCGTGGAGCGATGATAGTGCTATTTCGTTAACTTTGATTTTACGCGAGAACGCTGGTCTGAAACTTTGACATAACTGCTATTGCAAGCTACATGCTAATTGCTTTAGCTTTCAAAAAAATTCCAAAATAAAATCTACAGCAAGAAAACTAGTAAATCATAGTTAAGTAATTGCTCACTTAACTGTGGTCTTTTTCTTAAATACCTTCCTCCAGCTTGTGATACTTAAATAGCCTTCTTTTTTCACAGACGTTTCATGCCACACCGACTGTCGAGTCAGAACAGATATTCGGCTCCTGGAATGTGGAAAGGTTTGGTGAACAGGAATTACATTTTTGTCGCACTATGATTTATAGGGATTTTTACAGATGAGCTTTGCGAATTGTTTGAAAAGTTACCTGTTTGAATAGTATAGCCATGGAAAACTCTACGTTCAAACTCCGATCACGTATTTACGAGCCAGCGTATAAGCACTTTAATGTCAATGCTGTCCTTCAACTTTCACAATAATAAGTACATTTACCTTGTGAGGTTAACATAGTAAACTTTTCCCTTGAAGCTGACCGCTCTACACTATCTCCTACCATTTTTAATGCTGTGTTACTAAAGAATTTTTATTACCCTTGTGTCTTCAAAGATTGATGCTTCCGCCAGCGAAAAGCATCGCCTAGAGGAAAAGCAGAGAGGGGCTAGAAAGCAAAGGGACCTTGCTGGCCAGGCCTGGATACCAAGGTAGTTTTAATTATTTATTTTGACAGCTTCGTTGTTGTTTTGTTTTGTTTTGTTTTGTTTTGTTTTGTTTTGTTTTGTTTTGTTTTGTTTTGTTTTGTTTTGTTTTGTTTTGTTTTGTTTTGTTTTGTTTTGTTTTGTTTTGTTTTGTTTTGTTTTTTTTGTTTTGTTTTGTTTTTTTGTTTTGTTTTGTTTTGTTTTTTTGTTTTGTTTTGTTTTGTTTTTTGTTTTGTTTTTTGTTTTGTTTTGTTTTTGTCTTTGTTTTGTCCTTTTTCTCTTGTTTTGTTATGAATAGAATTTAGGAACAACAGCATTTGTTTTTTATGGTCGAATGTTAAAGTAACATACATGCATGGACGAGTGAAAGAGCGGGAAAAAATGCCTAAATGTGAAAACGCATGAAAACGTAGACAATTGTACAATTGTCGGTACGGTATCAATGCGCTTATTGTTTTCCAAACTGAAAAATGTATTGCTTCCGTACAGAGCCTCACATTATCCGACAATTGCTGGAAATAACAACCCTCAACCCTGAATCAAGACCTATCATGAAAACTGTCATGGTATAATAGTCACTTTTCTTAAAAGTTCTTTCTTTGTGTTTAGATGGTTTGTGTCTCTGGAAGATGCGGATTCTGGAACATTCTGTTATGTGTACAAAGGAGGTTACTGGAAAGCAAGGTTAAAGGGCCAATTTGTGGACTCACCCTATATATATTGAATAGGCTTTTTCGATGAAAGCTACGTACGGCTTGTATATGGTGTTACGCTTTTTAGATATATCTTGGAAAATGTTCCAATTTTTCTCTAGCTGTGGTTACAATGCATGGTTAATACAAACCGAGCATAACAGGAATGAATCTTATCGTATCGAAATTTATTTATAACATTAGATGTAGATTGATAATCATGGTTTTTTATTAATTATGTTGATTCTCTATCTTGCACATGCCAAGAAAAAACAAGAATCTTTTCGGCTTTGTTTTCGCTCGTAGAGGAAAACGTGAAGTTTGTACGTATCCTCAGCCAAGAACTTGTTAGGTGCACTAGTAACTTAGAACAAAGAAAACAAGCAAGTCAAAATGATGAAGCCAAGAAATATGATAGTGACTAAGCAAAGAAAACCATTACAGGTTCTCATATCGAGGTAAACTACCAGAAATAAAGATAATTATACAAACTAAAAGATATCGTACAAGTACATATAGGTACATATATTTACGTCTAAGTGTTTGAGAAAAAATCACGACCCATCACCAAAAGGTTGAATTAAAATTGTAACGCGGTTAAAAGGAAGACAGAGATTGCTCGTTGACATGAAAGGCTCTTCTCCTTTCTTAGGTGGACCAGTCACGTGAATGACCTCTTTGTGTCTCGGAACCCCTTCATCATGTCTTTCAATTCGTGATTCGTCTTAACAATAAATTTTTAATCACCATTGCTTTCAGTACAACGTTGACACCCCAAATATAATCTCGAAGCAAATGAATGGAACACATGATCACCACCTCCCTTTTATTTGACGATACAACACATGGATGCGTTTTGCTTTCAGCCAATTTTTTTACGCCTTTGATGTCACACTCATGAATCCCATGACTGAAGGCGAGTGGGCAGCCTGAAACTGTGTGGACACACTCTTTATTTATTTTCCAGCCATTTGCACTTAACTTTTGATTCGACCTCCTTAGTCATTTGTGTTTGTTGGATCTTCTGGACCATATCAGTTATTTGCCCCAGTTACACAATTTGTCATATTTCAGTAATTTGGGCCAGGAAGGTCCTTTAGACAATAGAAGTATGTAATTGAAGTGGAGTCTTGTAGACGATATCAGTTTTAGTGCCAGTTAGATGTTTTGAGTTGCCGTCACTTGGAAACATTCACCGCAATAAGACACCATTCGCCGTCGTAATACATCATTCATCGTCGTTTGGCTTCATACGCTATCATTAGTAAACTGTTATCGAATTTCTAGCCTTCTGATTGGCTGAATAGAGCCATGTGAGCTACTAACCGGGTCAAGGAATTTTTCGGTGAAATGAGAAAACATAATATCCAGCCATCTTGATCTCACGCTTGGTCAATAACGCAATGAATTTATTTCATGCGGACCCATACAAATCTGGCAAGGTAAAACAGTAAGAAAAAAAGTGCTTTTCCGAGCCCGGAATTTGTCTTACGTATAGGTCAATGGACTTCCATTTCCTTGTAATTTGGTTCAGAAAGTGTTGACTTCAGCACTGATCGCACAAATATATCGTCAAAATCTGTTGTACTTAAGAGTCTGAGCCAATGATAAAAAGAGAGGTATTGGTCAGCGTTCTCATTGTTTTGACGTCTGTCAATTTGATGCCATAAAAACACATCAGTATAGGGGTTTGTAACCAATGCTTGTCGACCTCGGTCACTAGCAAATAAAAAGACGCTGATTAATACCAGCGATCCCGCAATATGCCATGAATATTGGTCAGATGATTCTTCGGTGAAACAGCTGCCACCTCAACATCTTAATGTGAATATCCGCTATAACAAGAATGCACTAGCGCAGTTAAACGATTGTATTGAAGGCTTATCACATTTAGGACCAAATGTTACAACATTGAGGCCTCTATTACATTTAGGACATTTATTACATGTAGGCCTTCAACGAAGAATGACCAGGGATGCTTAAGTAAGGCTACGAATGGTTAGGGACGCTTAACTACGACTAAGAATGGCTACAGATGCTCAAGTACAGCTCAGGATGACTAGGGATGCTTACGTACGGTTCAAAATGACTATGGATGCTTAAGTACGGCTAAAGGTTGCTAGCGATGCTCAAGTAAGGCTAAGATTGGCTAGGAATGCCAAAGTATGGCTGAAGATGACAAGGTATGCTTTAGTACGGCCAAGGAAGATGGCTATTGATGCGAAAGTACCTCTAGGATGGCTATAGATGCAAAAGTACAAGGAATGCTTTAGTATGTGTAAGGGTGGATACTTTACGGCTAGGGATGGTTCGGAATACCTAAGTACGGCCAAAGATGGATAAGAATGCGTAAGTACGGCTAAAAATGGCTAGGGAAGCTAAAGTACCTTTAAAAGATGTGTACGGTTTCTTATGTACGTATAGGATGGCTATGGATGCAAAAGTACTAGGAATGCATAAGTATGTGTAAGGGTGGTAAGGGACACTTTACGGCTAGGGATGGTTAGGAAATACCTAAGTACGGCCAAAGATGGATGAGAATGCGTAAGTACGGCTAAAAATGGCTAGAGAAGCTATAGTACCTTTAAAAGATGTGTACGGTTTCTTAAGTAAGGCTAATAATGGATATGAATGCTCAAGAACAGCTAGAAAATTAGTAGTAATGTCGGCCCGACCAGGACGCATTTTATTTACGAGATGAGTTGAATATTAATCATCACGAGTCATGTGACAAAATGTCACGCCAGAGTATTTCGTAGGTAGCGCAGGGTGTTATTTGGATGGGAGAAAGTAAGCAAAACAACAGGTTTTTAAATCAAACCATTTTAATACCAAAAAATTTCTTTAATGTCAAGCGGGACGTGTACTCTTCGCTAGTGTGCAGCGTCCGGCACATCATAAAGAGAAAAAAATATACATTCGTGAAGTTCTCACGAATCAGTCAACATGGCAGATGGATATGTTTTAAAGGTGTGAGGATCAACCACACGTTTCCCGTACACCAATTGGTACTTTTTGTTGTGCTCCACGATAGAAATAGTATAGTTCTTAGAATTTCTGACAATGTGGTATGGTTTTCGTACATCTTTTTGGCGTTTCTCTTTCAGAGGGTCTTTTGTCTCATCCAACGCATTTTGTCACTCCACCGTTTCACTTTGCAAAGTTTGACCTTTTCACTGATGCAATTTCAGCAAACTACAAGCATTCTTCTCCGTGGATACAAGTCCGCTCTTTTCTTTTAGCGATACACGGAAACGTTTCTTACACTTAAGGGTCCGCTACTACGCAAATTCCGATAGCTGTTTTCAACAGACTCGACCCCTCGTTAGTGGCGATGTTCCCTCTAACCCTGGTCCTGTTACGAATGCTTGCAGATGTTCCGTTTGCTCCAAGACCGTCGCGCGGAATCACCGAGCTGTAAATTATGACCATTGTCATGAGTGGTACCACATTAAGTGTGGACAATTCAAGCCGAGGGATAATAAAGTTTTTCAAAACATGGCTTCCTTTGACTAGGTCTCTCCTTCCTGTATTAAGATAGGGCTAACTCTCAACGATTCTCGCCTCCATGTTCCCGCTACCAACGAATCTGCAAGCGTTAACATCCAGGAGCCCGTAGATCCATTGCGTTCCCTTCGACAATTGGTGGGAGATTAAAATCTTAAAATCGGCCACTTAAACATCAATGGCCTGGTTAACAAATTTCCGGAAGTCCAACTATTATCGGAGGTTACCAATTTTGATATTCTTGGCATTACGAAGACCCACCTAAATGGGAGCATAACAGAAAATTGGGTCAGGATTCCCGGCTTCAATCTAGTGAGAAATGACCGTGACAACCATGGTGGTGGTGTCTTAATCTATTACAAAGAAAGTCTTCTTGCTCCTCAAGTTACCACGTGGGACCACCCTAACTTGGAAGCCCCTTGGTTAAATGTTACCGTGAGATCAGTCTTTTCTAGTTGGCTGTATTCATAGACCTTCAAGTGACTGTTCCTTCTTCGATGTTTTCAGAAATCGAATTACTGAGATTTGTATGAAAATAAAAAATATTATTTTAGCGACTTTAACTGTGGCATGACTCCCGGCTTAGAGTCAAATAAGTCTCGTTTGGGGAGACGTTACAGAAGGATTTTGTGCAGCTACGATCTCAAGAACATCAACGTTTGATTCGAAATCTCTCATTGATCTCATTTTAACGAGTCAGCTAGCGAAAGTTCAAACGTCTGGTTCCATTGACTTGGAAATATCTCACCACCATTTGAGTTTTGCTGTTTTTAAAGTGGCTAGGAGTAACCCTTAGCCACTGGTGATTTCGACAAAGAAATATAAACAAGTGGATAAAAAACAACTTAATACAGATTTTGAACATGCTGCTTGGCATCTTGTGAGTTTGTTTGATGATATCGATGATTGCCCCTTCATCTGGAACTACTTATACAACGACATTATAGATCACCATCTACCATCCAGAAAAGCAAAGGTCAGATCTAAATACTTTCTGTGGATTGATTCTTCCATTAGGAAAGGAATGAACAAAAGATTTAAGCTCTTAAACGAAGCCAAAGCCTCTGGAGATCCAGTGAAATGGAGCCAGGATAGAAAAAAAGAAATGAGGTAAAAATTTTGTTAAAGAAGGCCGAAGCAGCTTATTGGAATGATCAATTTAACAAATTAACCAACCCTAAAGAATTCTGGAAGCTTACATACCAGGTGCTAAGAAAAAACAAAGTTACCAACTTTGGCCCAGTTATGGATTACAACAACAACAAACTATTAACTGATAATTTAGTGTAAGCAGAGCATCTCAACGATTTTTTTCATTATTGTAACTAAAAACCTCACAACAGAGTTAAATCCTCTAGACAAGTCAACCTTATTTATCTTGAAGAAAGATGTGTTTTCGTCTCGTCACGAGCGTGGGACAAAGAAAATATTCTAGGTCCCCATGAGGAATCGAACCTCAGACCTTCGGATTTGCGCTCCGATGTTCTAGCACTGAGCCACAGAGAATCTTCGGTGAGCGAGGTCTATAAGAAAGTTCACATGACTTTCTTTGTCCCACGCTCGTGGTACAGTATGCAGGACGCGTGTCATATGAACTTCGTAATAGACCTCGCTCACCGAAGAGTCTGTGGCTCAGTGCTAGAACATCGGAGCGCAAATCCGAAGGTCTGAGGTTCGATTCCTCATGGGGACTTAAATATTTCTTTGTCCCACGCTTGTGACAAGACGAAAACACATCTTTCTTAATTCTTCACCGAGCTCAAAACTTACCATCTCTACTATTTCTATCTAAAAACATTACGCTATCGACATTACTGATCCTAGCAGTGTGCAGGACACGTGTCATATGAACTTCGTAATAGACCTCGCTCACCGAGGAGTCTCTGTGGCTCAGTGCTAGAACATCGGAGCGCAAATCCGAAGGTCTGAGGTTCGATTCCTGATGGGGACCTAGAATATTTTCTTTGTCCCACGGTCGTGACGAGACGAAAACACATCTCTCAAAATTCTTCACCGAGCTCAGAACTCACCGTCTCTACTATTTCTATTTATCTTTGTTACAAAGATTACTCCCACTAAAGATTGCACAGATATAAATTGGGAACTTGTCACGAGAAATATCCAGAAGGCATCAAACCCTAAGAATGCTACGGTTCCAGATTTGGTCTCATCCAGGGACCTTTTCTTTGTATTCTCTGAATTAGATACCTACAGCTTACTTCCACTTTGTAAGAACAGCTTGACTAGTGCTTCATTCCCAGACAACTGGAAACTACCTCGTGCTACCCCTGTGTTCAAGAAAGGCAAACCATGTGATGTGAACGACTACAGATCCATTTCTCAACTTAGCATTCCTGGGAAGATACTTGAGGCTGTAGTGTGTAATTCTGTAAACAACTACTTACAGCCACAACCAGCGGGGCTTCAGAAAAAAATCGTTCAACCGAGGGTCTCTTGCTTCATATGACGGAAACTTGGAAGTCAGCTCAGAATTAAGGTCTGGTAGTGGGAGTACTGTCGACTTCCGGAAAGCCTTTGATCCTGTTAACCATTCTATCCTGTTAGAGAAACTGAAGGCCACTGGAATATCGGGTTCTCTCTTCTCTTGGCTTGCAAACTACCTGTCTAACCGGAACCAGTTTGTTCAAATTTCTGGAAAGAAATCTGACCTTCAATCTGTGAAGTATGGAGTACCACAAGGGTCCATTCTGGGACCGAGATTGTTCTCAATATATGTTAATGATCTACCCGAATCTATATCTTGTGGTGACCTCTATATGTTTGCTGACGACACGTCGGTTCTTACCATTGGTAAGGATACAGACATGATCATCTCTTCACTTCTACAAATTTTATTTCAGCTGCACAGATGGTGCACAGCTAACAGACTAATTGCTCATGAGTCAAAGACTGAAGCAATGATAATATCTAGATCAAACTTTATAGGCCCCCCACCAGCTTTAATATATGTCACCAAGACCATCGAGCTCAAGTCTTCGTCTAAATGTCTTGGCTCAACTATTGACAATAGGTTATCTTGGCAGGATCATATTGGGGATATTTGTAAAATGATTAACAAGAAATTGGCTGTTCTGAAACGAATTAAATTCCAACCTCAGTCCATTTTGGAATCTATCTATTTCAACTCAACTATTCCTGATGTTGTGTATAATATTGTTGTTTGGGCTCTTTCCTCGGCACTTACGGAGGGTATTGAAAGTATTCATATGAGAGCATGAAAGATTGTCTACAAGTTACCTATGACCACTCCGACTGATGAGATCAAGAAATTGAGGCGATGAAATCCCATCTCTTCGTGTTATGTAAAGAGGCTGCTGGTTGTGACCTACCAATCCTACCATGGTTCAAATACAGAAAAACTGATTATTCCAATATCTAAGGCAAATTAATTACAGTTTAAGAAATTCGTTAAATATAGAAGTGCCAAGACCAAGATCTGAAGTTGGCAGGTCCTCTTTTAAACATAGGGCTGCGTTGGCATGGAGCCTTGCGCATCATGTCAAGGACTGCGCAAATTTAAGATCATTTAAGATTGGGCTTAATGCGAACAAATATCTACTAAATAGCATAAATTTTGCCAGAGGTTCCTGGTTGGAAGGGTCGAGATCGATACCTTCAGGAGCTTTGTAGGCTACCAGATGTTCTTGGCGTTTCCGTGGATCATCACTCACTTCCGCTGGTCATCCGCGATAGATGATTTTAGGCCACGTGTTCACATAATCTCGGAAGAGACCTTCAATGGTTTCAGGAAAATGCCAGACTTCGTGAGTAGTAACGATGACGTACCCTTTCTCTACTTCTTTCTCTAAATCTAGGGGGCACCACGTGCCTAGGATTTGTCGTTGTTTGTTGGTGTGATGACACACGCAGGTACGGTCCAGCATGGTTTTGGCCATTTCTTCTTCTACACGAGCCTCACACAATGGAAAGGTGAGTTTGTCGTTGGTACGTACAGGAAGGACAGGATGGTAGAGGTTGGTGGGTGGTAAGATGGTGACTTGTAGTGCCGAAACAAGCCTAGATGTTGGTATGTCCCGGGTTCAAGATGTTTTCGGGATGACTTTTAGGATACACTGCATTCTTGTTGACGTACGGGTAAAGAGATGTGAAGTCGTAGTAGAGGATTTGTTCGTCCTTATTGTTACTGGAAAGATGAAATAACTTGACTGCGTTGGTACGACCTCCAAAGAAAGCATCACATGGGTTGAGAGAGGTCACAAGGTCTAGGCCAATGACAATGTTTGACATCATTGTTCTACTCTTTCATCTTACACCATTGGCACTCCCACATTTCTACTACATTGTACCCTTTATCTCTAAGGAACTGGAATTTTTCTTGCGTACAAAGATAAACATCAATCATTCTGCAGTCCTCGAGAAAACGATGTTCCTCAGTCTTGTTAGGGTAATAAGCCCTGCATCCGTGTCACAAACAACCTTGAAACTCGCACACGATGTTGTCCTCACTATCGTACCCGCCCACAGCATACCGACCGTAAGGAATGCGGTATTCACCTTGGTTACCAGCAGGTTGAAGGCACCGACCCAGTTTCTGCTCTTCCCACAGCAACCATTCCAAAGACGCCGTAGAAAAGTTGGTTTTGAGTCTCCAACCGTGGAAGTGCTCTGAAGTAATGGTGTTGGGTTCCATCCTATTTTTACGGAGGTCTCGATTTCAAGCAGAAGCGATAGTGATGCGATCAAAAGGATTAACTCTGGCTTGTTCTTCTAAGAGCCATTTAAGGGTGACATCCGTCTTTCAAGAACTTAGGCATCCGACTCACAATACTCGATCAACTCTTTTCTTAAATCAAAGACTGCATTGCCCCTTTGTCATTCCTCATACCATTTTTCAAAGTGTGTTTTTTTAACCAGTGGACATGGACTCTGGCATGTAATGTTTCTTGTCTGGAAGCGGTCCTGTGTTGTATTGATTCTCTGGGTGGTTGAAGAGATGTGGGAAATAACCTTTTTTCAACTCTGACAGTCCAAAGGTTTTTGGAAAGACGGACAATGGCATTTGAAAGAACGACGGAGAGTCAATAAATGAGATGCCGTCAAAGGTAACTTGAAGAACTTTACCCCCGCTCCAGAGCTGTTGTGCGACACGGTGCTAGCGATGATACTCTTCCAGGATGAAATAGCCATCATACCCCTGGAAATAATGCGCCAATACACGTACTTGTCTCGTGTCGTCTTCAGTCAAGGTGTGCAACCACTCTAAGAAATTGCGAATACAAAGCTCACCGCTGAAACGGAAGGGACAGGTTTCTATCTCAGGTTTCTTTCTCAGTTTCTGCAATGGCTAGACCTGCTGCCGCACCACTTTTGTTCTTTCTTTTTTTCTCTTTTGTGGTTTTTGTTCGTATTTCTCCTCTGGGGATTTACCAATTTGAATGAAACATTTACGGGCAGAGATTAGAACTGACTCTTTACACGAGGGACACTTTGCATAACCGCAATGGTGTTCTTTTGTTCTTTCAGGCCCACCAATAACTTCTTACACATTCGACATTTACGAACCTGAGTGCACACACTGACATGATCGACATCCACAGTTCTTCCTTGGAAGGATTTAGTCAAGTGATTTTGTGCACACAGGTCTTTCCAGAAAACATAAGGTGCTGAGGGTGGTTGGTTGCGGCATTTAGCTTCCTTGAAATTGGTGGAGTCCGTTTGCAGGCACAACAGACAATGATCTGGATTGTTAGTACAAGTGTGCCAGCCTTCATCATTGTACGATTTGAAGCACAACGAAGAAAATTGCTAGCTCCAAAGAGACCAGGCAAAAGACGTGATGACATCGTAATGATTTTTGTCGTACAATAGGACCAGTTGTTTTTCCCGCACAGGTCGATACGACATCACGAGATAACCGCGAGTGGCATCGACTAGTAAAGTTGGTAATCGCACAAACTGGGAGCCAATGCAAATCTGGACAGTTCCTTGTAGCCACATGGACTGAATGGAACGTTAGCTTTGGCGCGAAGTGCCGGGCCACTTGACACAGAATTCTTCCACCAACCTGAAAACCTTTCCGGCTCGGATTACCATTCACCATAACTTTAGCAGTAGCAATGGCACGAGCACAACACAGGCTGTTCTCTTTCTAAATGGTGACCACAGTTTGCTTCATGCGTTTGAAAGTCCCAGAATGGCCAGGTTTCATCTTTCTATTTTTGCCACAACCGCGAGGAGAACTTCGGACATGTGTAAACGACATCTGGAATGAATCATCCATTTCAGAGTTCTCGTTGAAGTTTGAGGCATCAGCCATCCGCTGTAGCATACCATCCACACGACCACTTCCATTTAACCATTCTTTTGCGGAAAAACCATGATAATCGAAGGACTTCTGGGCTCAGTCACTAGACAAATGGAAGTAAACGCGATTGTTTTAAGGGATCCGGTTGCGAGGAATTAGTTCATGTAGACTCTCTCGCTCTCTTCCTGCTTTTTTTCTATCCAACACTCTAACTCTGCTTGTACCCTCTTAATCATCATATCTCTTCATTTCATTTCTGCTTTAACATTCCGTAGAGTATGCAAATTTTGTGTCCAGGTATGACAAATTTCCCCCATCTGTTCCTCGTGAGTATCTTGATTTAAGTAATGCTTACAAAGAAGATATTGCATCGACAAATTTACGTTACGATTGCATTTCCCAAACTTATCTCTCCACTGATCTTTACGGGTTTCGAGCTCGTGACATTTGTTCTTCAAATGTTTCATCTTCTCATTGGATTGTAGCAATAGGCATGTCAAGTTCTGTATCACTTGTAAAGCTATACTAACGGAAAAAGTTGCAAAAACGCTTCCTTCAATCCTCTCCAGCACCTTTTTTATTCAATAGCCGCTGTTTGCGACGTTTTATCGAATTTCTTCGCTTAGCCAATTCTCGTAAGACTTGTTTTTAATGTTTTAATTTAGCTGCGGTTGGAGGTGAGAACGGTAATTGATTTTCGAGTAAAATTAACGCAAGTTCAGTCACAGTATTGATCTGATCACTGTTGGCATGTTGCAACATATCCTCTAGAACATTTTGATTTCCCTCTCAAGATAGATGAGAAGAACGCCCGATGTCTCTGTATTCGTTTCATCGTCTAAGTGGAAAACCCCTCCTTCTCCTGCCACGATAATAATTTCCATAATATTTTTTACCTTAAAATACCTGAGGCTAATTTTCCACCTAAGGTAGCGAAGGTGGGTGATGGACCCGATAGGAAATTCCTTCGGTAATCTTGTCATTGAGAACAGGTCCAAGTCTGATCGCAACCCACCTTCTTCTTCGACTACCTCGACGTCTGTCATTGATTCATTTATCGGCTTCGTCCTCTCTTTTTCTCGATGGCTTCCAATCCTTTTCTTAATCCGTACACTGCTTTCCCTCAGACTATCAAGGCTGGAACGAGACCTGCCGGGGGAAGTACAGCGCCTTTCTGTCCTTTTCGACGTCTAACTCTCTTTTAAGGTCTTCGACTTCTCGCCATAATTGTTCCTCTCTCCAGCGCACAATGCTCAAAGGACCAATGACTGTATATCTATCACTTCTTTATAGGTAATTTTAAGGGTTATTTAGGTAAAATGTAACATCTCATACACCCTTCGTGTTTTTTAAAAGGTGACTCAAGACTCTGGTAGAATCCTCACTTGCAGGATTTTCAGACGGTTTTTCAGTCAGTTTACGGAACACGTCCATGATCTCCTGCCAACTCGAAGGAAAGGCTTGAAGTAAGACATTTCTCATGCCCAGCTGATCTCGTGGATTTTCAAACAGTTTTTCAGTCAGTTTACGGAACACGTCCACGATCTCCTGCCAACTCGAAGGAAAGGCTTGAAGTAAGACATTTCTCATGCTCAGCTTATCTCGTGGATTTTTGAAGGCTATCATGTAATAAGCATTCCTCAAAATACTCTTGATGTATTTTCCTTGTAAAAATATATCTTGACAAAGTACATTACTGTGATGTTTTGATGATGAGAATGTTTAGGGAATAAATCCAACGTCTTTGTGTCGTTCTCTCCCTCAGCCATCAAATCATCGCGTATCACTAAACCTCCATGTCTTCAACTGACCAAAATCTGGAACCCCATCGTTCCAATTTTTTTCAAAGGTACAAATCTATCTCGCCGAGCGCTGTAACGATACGCGACGGAAGAAGGAACATCTGCAAATAAGTCGTTCGACTGGTGTAAGAGTAATACTCATGTAAAACAAGTATTTCCATATCCTGAAGGTCCTACAACCAAAATGCTTGAGGGTGTCTCGAATTGGAATGCTCTGCTCATTTCCATCGCGAGAGAATGAAGGGTTTGTGGAAAATGAAAATATATTGATTTACTCTGGATTCAAAACCAAGTTAGTATGGCTTGACCGAAAGGATCGAGCCTCCAACCTTTGAATCTGCAACTCCAGTCCTCTACCTGTACCATAGACCCACCCTGTCAAGACGACGGGAAATGTAATATTTTAACATCTCAGCTTTTATTTGTTACCAGCTACGTTTCATACTAGGTGACGAAGTCCATGTTTACAAGCGTAAGTATTTTGATGATCCATCTTAAATGCATGAAACCATTCTTCAGAGGCAATCTGTTTTTCTAGTAACCTTATTAATCCCACTTTATGATCTTTGTGTACATAATCGTGTTTAGAAAATTTACTAAGAAATCACATGGAGAATGTCCACGAGCTCCTCTCTCAAAGACATCACGGCATGATCGCCACAACTCTGACTATAGTCTACAGAGTCTACAATCCCTGGATTGTAGACTCTGTTCGATCTAGGTGACATATTTTCATTGTTTGCTTAACCATTCTACGAACGGTTCGATTGTGGCTAATGTCGTTTGTTCGGTTGGTAACCAATCAGAGAGCAGTATTTTGCACCACGTGACATGTATTGTCCAATCAAACTGCAGAAATGGTAGAAAGGGTGAAAACTTGAAATGTCAAATGTTTCCTTTTCTTCTGAAAAAAGTTCTCGTACGCTTCAGAATATGCCTTCATTTTCGCGATAAATCTGCGATATTCTTTGGCCATTTGTTCTTTCGTTTTTGCAAATGGAAAGCACATCTTTCAGGGTCAGTTTTTATTTTGTTGTAGACTTGCCTGCTACTTTCCCTCTTCCTCTTCAGAAAGTGTTCACTCCGTCCCTTGGTAAGCTTCTTATTATAGTTTCGAGAATACGCTCTTCTTTGCAGCACATATTTTTCTATGATCTTTTCGTTTCTAGGTGCCTTCCAACGGTCGTCGTTTTTTGCGGCGACACGCGGCTCCGGCCGCTTTTGATGTTTCTTAGCGTCTTTAAGCAATTTTTGCCTCCAAACCCTAGGATTACGCTGGTTTTTGGAAAGTCGACATCAAGTATCTTTATCTTAGTGTGTTTTGTATTTGCAGATTCGCTAATCTCAATCAAACTTTCGCTGCTATGATGGGATGGAATGTTACTTAAGATCAAGAAATCTAAAGGACCTAGCGAGTAGAATCAAATGTGGTGGCTAGTATGATCGTGGGGAATTTCGTGACGAAACTTTTGCGAGAAGTGCAGAGTTTACCATCTTTGAAACACTCAGAACCGCTACCTATCCAATGTATGCCAGTGCGTCAACATCTATCCGACATAACTGAAGTGAATCTTCCCAAAGAAAACGGTGAACACGCTACCTCTAAACCGGGTAAAACTACAGTGACTCTTCGCTTCAAACAATATGTTGAGCGGGGGAATCTTAATCACCCTACCAAGAGACAGCAGTACTTTCAATTTCCTAACAATACATCAACTAGTTACAAGATTCGTTTGCCTTACAGCATGAGATCGGATGGAAATTGGGAAGTAGGATTGATTGGTATCAGTATGCCTGATCTATACTTGAGTATGAGTTCACTAGAAGCCGTGAACGAAGTGGAACTTGGAAAAGAAAAAGATCATTATGGAATCCCAATAACATTCTTCGCTAAAGACACTTCTATTTTGTCTATTACCAACGTTATAATTGACTTCTGTTGAATCGCCTGGATTAAAAAGATTCATGAGGGCTGTAAGGTACGATGACATCAGAGGTGCTAACGTTATCTCAGATTGTATCACCCTCTTGAAGGTGGTGATAAACAGATATCGAGATTCCCTGATGTATAAAAGAACGGTATACGAAGGAATAGGAAAGAATATAAAGTAAAAATACCGTATTAACGAGTGTCAAAAATGCGACGGAATTTACTTTTTCAAATGGGAGGGAGATGATTTGGTCATAGACAATGAAAATTCTATGAATAGACAAGGATATGATATGATTATCCCTACAATTACATGAGTTGGAAGAAAAACTTGGCATTGAAAATGGGATGGATACTACCCAATCAACCCAATAAAGTAGATATGGAGAGGCAGAACAATCTTTAGGAATATCTCGATTATATCTGCTTTTACATTTTTTTTTAACAAAGCTGGATATTCTGCTGCGTTGCCGTTTAAAAGAAGACCAATCGTTTTCTTGAGTAGTTTGGTGGGCTTTCCTGAGAAAACCATCCCTTTTTTGACATCCGGAGTCAACGAAGGACATAGTCGGCCCTTGACCTTCTTTGAAATAAGGGGAGCATCCTTGTAGATAAACCGCTGAAGAATGTCCCGAAAAGAGGCCCATGCCTCGTTCACACTGATAGACAATGTATTATGAAACAAAGCGGAACGAGTAGCTGCTAAAGTGGATGTCCTTTTCAATGAGGGAAACGTACCAGATTTCATTGCTAATCAGAAAACCCGAGAATTGTTAGGTCAACAAAGACAATTGACCAAACGATTGAGGAATATTCCCAACTAGTGATGCTTTGTATCCTCAAAGGTGGCTTTACAGTTTTCTTTGTCTCACTTGAGCGCAGTGCGAGGTCAAATACGTTGACGTTGACTGAGTTTGCTCCTGGATATGCACAAATTTTGTTGTCTAAAGATATCAGTCCTTTGGAGTGGAAAGAGCGTGAAAAGGACACAGAGGTTACTCAAAACTACGAAAGGCTGAATTTGCCAAGCTTTTGGAAAACCCAATTCCGAGACAAGTTGAAAAAGCAACACTATTGCAAGGAACCAAGGCATCATAAGTGAGAAAAGCTATTCCCCCTATCTCCAAAAGAATATAAGAGAAGAATCAAGAGATTGAAAAAGAAGCCGAAAACAATCAGACAAAAACTCAAAAAGAACAAAAAACCAAAAATGGATCATTAAGCAACTTAATAAATTAAATCTCTCGAAAAACAGTTAGATGAAATCGGAGGTGTAAAAGCAACAAGAACCAAAATCAAGTCAGTCAATCAAACTTTTTGAATCGGCAAGTTCGTTGGGAGGTTTTCGAATTCAGTTTCAATCTTTTAAGATTGATAACACTTTAAGATAACACTTTAAAAAGTGTTGAAGGATATGGTTTTGAAGAGTTTATTAAAAAAAGTCAAACCTGAGGTCTAGTCAGTCATGGGAGAAAAACGTCACAGGAAAGTCAAGATGATTCTCTCATGTTAGATGGTGAGAGAAAAAGAGGATGGACCAGTCCAGTTCAGTTATCCACATTTTCGGACTGAATTGTTTGACAATCTTTAGGCAAATGACGAGGACGGAGTCTCCTACATCTACAAGGAGACACTTCAAGGGAGATTTCAAAACTTCAACAAAAATGGAAGCAGTTAGAGATTTATGAAGGTCACTTACTCGACCTTCATTTCACAGTTTGATCCACTGGGAGGTTCATCATACATCAAACTCTCGAAATATTTTCAGCAAAAAAAGGCGATCATAAACATGAAAAACGAAGATGATATGTGTGCTTCAATTGATGCATTTCAAGAGCCTTTAAACCTGTCGATTAGAGAGCAATCTGAGGATCGGCTGAGATGGCATGGAAATTCAATACGAAGCTGGCTGCGATAAACAAGTTTATGGATGACAGCATCGTAATCAGCATCACTGCTGGATAAAACTCATGAGTAGGTTACTCTCGAAACAGGTCAGGAAGCATGATATAGCATGGTTCTTCTGTCCAAGATACTCGAGTCACTTTCGGAACGAACAAAGTTTGGCCATTCATGATTTGTACCGCTCAGACAATAAGGCAGCTAAGGTCACGATGCCAAGGAAAAAAGAAGGTAGAAGAAAGCGGCGCATGAACTTGACAAATCACAACCGTTTCATCAAAGCTCCATTTGTGATTTGCACTGACTTTAAGTATTCACTGAGCCGAGTTGTGATGAGAGCTTCACTAATTAATATCAACAGCACAAACCATGTGGTTTTTGTTTTCATGTCGTTTGCTTAGATAAAAAATTGTTCAAACATGAGCCAGTTATCCTAAGAACAAAGAGTAAAGATGAAGATTGGGTCATCCATCCAAGATTGGATCTTTGTTAAAACCCTGGTGGAATAGTTCAAGATGATTCGGGAAGAGTTCGATTTTCTGAAGGATGTGGTCTTCACAGATGCAGACATGAAACATTTCAAAAATTCAAAGATCTGTTGTATTTGCAAAGAGAAATTCAAAGATGGTGATGATGACAAAGTGAGAGACCACTGTCATTTCACAGAAAAGTATCGTGGAGTAGCTCACAACAAATTGCGACCTCAATTTCAAGAAACCAAAATTCGTCCAGTGATCTTTCACAACTTGTGTGGATATGATTCTTATCTTTTCATGAAGAATCTCGACAAAACTGAAGGAAATATATGAAATGCATCCCAAACGTTGAGGAAAAATACATTAGCTTGAGTAAAGACATTGTTGACACAGTCATCAACAAAGAAGGCAAAGTAGTTAAAGTCATGACCTTTTCAAACTTGAGTCTTGATAAACTGAGGGAAACTGAGAAAATTTTCGAGGTCTAAATCAGGAATTCGTAGAGGTGTCTCAATGATGGCAAATCGATACTCAAAACCAAACAGCGATTAAATGATTGGAGATCACGATCCAAGCAAGCCATCAGAGTTCATCACTTATCTTGTTGCAAACAATCTCTAAAGTTGAGCATTGTGAAGAGATCCTCTTGTTGGAGAATTCAAATGGATGACTATCTTCGAGAAAAGGAAATCAACATCTTGTATCCTCGAGGTTGATCTTGAGAACCCGTGGGAGATTCATGATTAGTATGATGATCATACACTTGCTCCTGAGAGGTTGATTATCACCAAAGTTGAACAGCTCGTGCCAAATCGGAAAGACAAGGACAGATAAGTTGCTCATCACAAAGAAC